ATTCACCTTCAAAGTCACTATTGGATACAGATGTAGATTAATGTGTAGATCCATCAACAGTAACACATTTAACACCTGTATTAGTTACAAATACTCCCAAAACTGTGTTTCCATTATCTTATAAACTGGCTAAATGGAATTCATCACCCTCAGCAAAGGCTGGATATTTTTACAATCTTTAGAAGTATAAACCAAAACCATATTCGCCTGCAATTGTAAGTGTGCTACTAAATCCAGGGTCAACCTAAGTAGCTGTCAATTCTATAATATCTGTAGATTCAGATGATTGGCAAATAATTGGATCTTATTCTTCTTGTTCTTCTTCAAATACGATCTCTTCATGTTCTTCTGAGAATGGAAAACGCAAAGGAGAAATACGTGGATGTGGTGTTTCTTCAAAACCAAATGATTCTTCTTCTTCCTCTGGGAACACTAAAGGATCATGAGTAACAGGTGGAAGGGGTGTTTCTTCAAAACCGAATGATTCTTCCTCTTCCTCTGGAAATACTAAAGCATCAGGAGTAACAGGTGGAAGGGGGGTTTCTTCAAAACCGAATGATTCTTCTTCTTCTGGTGGGAAAACTAAAGGATCAGGAGAAACTGGTGGAAGAGGGGTTTCTTCAAAACCAAATGATTCTTCTTCTTCTGGTGGGAATACTAGAGGATCAGGGGAGACAGGTGGATTTGAAGATTCTTCTTGATCTTCTTCTGGTTAATCAGGTGTAGTTGGTACTGCTATTGGTACTTCTGGTTCTTCTCCTGGAATAGTCCATTCTTCTGTTCCCTCTTCTGCCACTATTGGTTAATCAGGTGATTCTTCGGTATTTGGATTAACAGGTGGTTCATCAGTTGGACCTTCCTCATCTTAAGGTACTACAGGTTCATCTGGGGTTGGTTTATCATCTGGAGTAGGTTCATCATCAGGAGTGGGTTTATCATCTGGAGTTGGTTCATCATCAGGAGTTGTTGGAGGAACACCTTCTTCTACTGGCTCTTCACCGAATTCCTCACTTGGGAGTTCTGAAGGAACTTCTGGCACAGGTTCATCTGGACATGTTGGCTAGCATGCTTATTAACATCCAGATTGAATAATCTTGAGATCTTCGATCTTACCTTTGACTTTAATGACTGTGACTGGTGATTGCTAGCATTGTTAGTGAACATTATTCATTTATTTAATAAGATAAGCACACAATTTTGTTAATGTTTCTGTGCATTCTTCTCTTTCATGTTTATCTTAATTATTAATTAAAACTTGTTACCCATGAGATTGCAATCCTTGTAATTTGTTTTATAATTCAGAAAGCACTGGTGGGGATATGAGATCCAAGTCTTTGATCTTATCAACCAGCTACTAATACTTTTTGTGTTTAATTAAGTGTTTCATTTCAGTTAATGTTTCAATGTGTGAAGGAATGCGTTCCTTATTCTCCAAAACATTCTACCATTGAGTCAAGGTTTACTCCAACTCGTCGAAGTGTGATCGAGGAGTTTGACAATTCAATTGCGAAGTGTCCAACGCATCTACTTCTGCTAATGTATGTGACATCAAAGATGCCTCGAAATTCAATGCTGCTGCGTACATCAACAGCACAAACAGGGCATGCATTCTCATTTTTTTAATTAATAAAATACTTATGCATTCAAAACGGATTATTACAAATATTGAATATTTAATATAAAGACCTCCCATTATAATATTGGTTGAAAAAGAAAGACAATAGCATTGCTTGGCCCTTGTAAAAGCTAGAGATCAAGAAATACATATATAAAGGAAAAGCTTAAATAACTTAGATTTAGAGAATTTTATTAATGCCAATTATTAGATTGAATTTCAACTTTAAAGTAAATTTATATAGAAACTATTAGGGGTGTGGGAAGTGATGATATGTTGTATAAATAAGTATTTCATTTGAAAATATATTGACATTTTACATCATTACATAATATTGCTCATACTAAATGTAAGATTAAATCAAGTTGAAACTGTTTCCCCATTTTTCAAGGACACCAAAAAAATGAATCAAATATTAAGAAAGTAATGAGTAGTTTTTAATAATCTAATTTATGAATACCTTCAAACTGATATTGTAAAAGGCTTTTTATACTTCAAACAAACATTTAACTGTTTAATTATATTACCAAAGTTCTTAAAATTTATACAAATTGTTTCACATTAATTCTATTTTTCTAAAATTAGTCAAACCTAATTATTCTCTGAAATTTAATTTAACTTCAAAAGTTTTATTTATTAATTTGTTTGATATGTAATGATAAATTTTAAGGTATTTGATAATTTATTTATTTCACCTTCAAAACAAATTTAATTACAAATCATCGTAAAAACATCAGAATTTAGAAATCTCAAATTTTCCATATAAATGTTCCAATTTTTTAACAAATTATCTGTAATTATATTATTTGTTGTATTTGTATAAAAAAATAATAACAGAAATTCAAATCTTTTAAGTTACAATTACTTATCATAGATTTCAATTGAAAATGGATAAACAAATCTTCGATTTTTAATGTCTCTTATTTGATTAACTTTGCCATTGCTTATTTAGATAAAATATTTGAACATTAATTTTAATATGAATCAATTAATAATATGATGTTAAGGTTCTTTGGTTGATTATCGTAGTGTTTATGCTTACAAATAGTAGAATTTAAGGATTCTTGGTTGAAAAGTGAACTAACGTCATGTTACGTTAAATATTTTATGAGATACAAGCATAATTTTAAATGATTTTGCAGTATCTGTATAATATTCAATAAATTAATTATTCAAATGGCAGAACATGAACATGAATTTGAGGGCCATGAGGAAGAATTAGAAGCTCCAAAAGATTCTTTGTGGAGAGATGAACATGAAATGGAGAAATCTGCAAACATCGTTTATTTTTTAACCTTGGGTATTGTTTCAGGGTTAATATTGAGAGAGATCAATAAAAAGACAAAGTAATGGAAGTGATATAAAGCTAGATTTCCATATTCTCCAATGATTTTATCATTAGGAATTTTATTGGGATTACTTTAAAAGAGTTTGGGTTACGTTGGAGAAAGTGCAAGTATCTTGTCAAAAATGCATCCTCACTTAATAGTGTTTGTCTTTGTTCCTGTTTTATTATTTGAGTCAGCATTTAATTGTGATTGGTATACTTTCAAATATCAGATGGTTAATATTCTGCTGTTAGCCGGTCCTGGTTGCGGTTGGGTATTTGAGATTATAAAAATAGGGTGCAATTCTTTTAGGAGCTATATTTAAGTTGGTTTTACGATATGATGATAATGATATGACGTGGTATTAAGCATTTACGCTTGGTTCTGTATTATCAGCTACAGATCCTGTGGCAGTGGTTGCTTTACTTAAGGAGTTAGGAGCAAGTCTGGCATTTAATCATTTGATAGAGGGGTATTTGTAACTTTAATAAATTTAGAGAAGCTTTATTGAATGATGGTGTAGCAATGGTATTTTTTATATTTTTTAACAAATTTTCAAAAGCAGCAAGCGGGAAAGGGGAAGCTGTGACTGCTGGCTAAGTCGTACTCAATTTTGTAAGGAATTCATTAGTAGGACCAGGCTTAGGATTAGTATTAGGAATATTAGCTGCTTTATGGACAAAGAGAATTTTAGGTGATGATATAGAAGTAACTTGGTTAACTTTTGTATTTACATATTTAACATTTTATTGGGCAGAATTTTGCTTTTTTAAAACTAGTGGTTTACTAGCAGTGGTAGGTTTGGGTTTATTTTGGAGTGCTTTTGGAAAAACTAGAATAAGATCATCAGTTGAACATTCTGTACACACTGTATGGGGATTTGTCTAATATTCTTGTGATACTTTAATTTTCTTATTAGTTGGAATTATTGTTGGTACTCAAGTTATTGAAGAAACATTTATTCATAAATCTGATTATATTAGAATGATAGTGTTCTACTTTTTTATGATTTTGGCTAGATTTATAATGATATTGACATTCTGGCCATTTTTAAGATGTTTTGGATATCCTATATCAAAGTCTGAATTTATAGTTCTTGTATATGGTGGTTTGAGAGGTGCCTTAGGTTTAACATTGTCTTTAATGGTTGGATGCGATGAAGAATTGCCAGCTAGATTTAGACATTTGTCTGTCTTTTATGGAGCAGGGATGGCTGCAATTACAAATCTAATTAATGGTACTACTTGCAAGGCCTTGGTTCAATATTTAGAGATGATTGAAAATCCAGTTGTTAAGAAAAAAGTGTATAAAAAATATTTGGAAGAATTGATAGTAAATTCCTAAGATAAAATGAGAGAGTTAGAGTCAGATTAATTTTATAGTATGGCTGATTGGAATTAAGTGAATTAATTAATTGGCTAACCTAAATTCATAGAAAAAATAGAGAAATTAGAAACTGAAATAAAATACATGATAGGCAGCAATAAGGTATAAGCCAGTTCAAATAACTTATATGAAGGACTAACAGATCAAGAAATCTTTGGAGAAGTGAGATACAGAATCTATCGTATTATGAAGGGTCTGTATTATGACAAATTTGAGTATGGATTATGTGAAGAAGACACAGTTCGTTTATTGGTTGAATCAAGTGATATAGGTTTGGATCACACAAAGGCAATTTTAAATATTTGGGATTAACTATATAAGAATTTCTTAAATTTTAGCAGTGTGAATTTCTTCTTTAAAGTTAAGGAAATGCCATTAATTGGACCATTTGCTAGAGATTATATGATTAAACATTTAGGATTTGTCTATGATGTGACTACAACATTCTTATCTTGTGCAAGTGAAGCATTTCATTTAACTGGAAGTTTCCCTATGAGTAAAGATGCAGTTAGAGTTGTTATGGAAGAACTTAACAGAGAAATAGAAAAAGCCGAAGGATACTTGGGTATTTTAAATGATACCTTTCCAGAGATTGTTAGAGCAATCTAAACTAAAAGAGCTTCACATTCTATTTTAACACATTAAAGACATTATCTCGATGATACACAATAGAATGGATTAGTAGATGAAAAGGAATATTAATTACTTAAAAAGGAAATCAACACTAGATTGGTTGATTTGGAAAATCATTAATTTGAGATGGTATTACCATCATTCCATGTCTTAGCTATGGAATTTCCTATTTTTTCAGGTCTTGTTTCTACAGACTTAGATAATATAATAAAGAGTGCTTATGAAAAGAAATTTGGACCAGATGAAATTATATATGAATAAGGAATGACATGTTAGAATATCTATATTGTGAGCAAAGGTAATGTAGTGGATGAATTTCAAGGAGGTTCAATAAAGAAGGGTTTAGGATCATTAATAACATATACTAATCTTATAGGTGATGGAACTTGCATGAGTACTGCTAAGACAACAGCTGACTCTCTGCTTTATTCATTAAATCTCAAAATTCTTAAGGATTTGATGATTAAGAATCCAGATTTCGAATTTAAGATATATATTAATTCTATTGGTAATTATATAGATTATTCTTAGAATATTTAAGAAAGATGTATGAAAATTAATCTGGACCTCTTGCAAATTTAGAAATAAAGAGGTTATTAGATTTCTTTAGAACAAAAAGTAAATTAAAAAAATTTACAGCAAACTAAAAATGTGATTTTATTTTTGGTGGTTATTTATTTAGAGGAGAATTAAAGGACATCAATAATAAAGTATATTCTCAATATAAGTAAAATATATTCTATTATACAGTTATATACCTCCCCAAGATACTGAGTGTTTAGTAACCAAAGATTGTCAGTGTTTGATTTTCGAAGATTCGGTAGAGTCATTCAATAATTAAATGCTTAAACAACTTGATTTAGATCCTCATAAAGACTAATAGATTTAAGAAAGATATTCATAGATTAAGCGTACTTCTATGATGGATAAAAGTAAACATCATTGAAATTATATCATTTATATATATATCCCAAAATAGTTTCAATTATCGAATACTGATTTTATTTACAAACATTTCCTATGGATAAAGGCTCTGCCCAATTCCACTTTTTGTTTCCAGCCTTTCCTTTATAAATATATTCAACATATCCCCAATAATGAGATGAATTCCTAGGAACTAGATAATTTATTACTTTTTGCTTGAAACTTTGAAGAATCCATCTAATTTATCTAGACAATTAGGAGGTATAAACAATCCACTGTCAAGTATTTCGGCTTATAATTGTTCCTTAATATTAGACAAGTATTGATTTGGTACTTTATTCTATATATATTAATTTATATCTCCTAATTCACCAGCATAAGCTAATGTAATAATGAGACCACTATTATGATTTGATTAAATTATACTTCAAATCAGTTTCGAATTATAGAGCCTTTTAAAAATTATCACCTTATTCAATATTTCTCCTAGTTTCCTCATTAAACTTTTAATACTCCTCAATTTTATGTAGGTAGAGTTATCTTTTCTTATTTTGCAAATCATTCCAAGGACTTAACCAATTTCTCTTCCAAATGAAGGGAAGGACTTAGGGACCGACAATCCAAAATAATAAAGATTTAAGACTCTAAACTTAAAATGCAAAGGGGAATCTGATCTATGAATTCATCTTTCTTAATGTAAATATAACTGACATTTGATTGCTATCAGATATAGTGCTTTGCCAATCGAATCTTAAATGAGTATATTGAACTTTGATATCACTTGATAAGAGAAACAAAGACTTATTAACATTTTTAAAATAGCATAATCTGAGACAGGATCCATAATTTTACTCTTTAACAACCTAATAGGATAGTTAGGCATTATAATTTTTTTGTTTGATATATCCTTAAAGTGTTAGTCTTTCAGATAGTTATTTATCAAAATTTAACTATTTTTCTTAGGCATCGAATGTGATTTGAATTGAGGATTAATCTTTACCAATTGCTGCTACAATCTAAGGTACATAATCCCCTTATTAATTGTTTGCGAGATTGAAGTGGATTTCTCCAAATGAACTTTTTTTCTTAAATGTAACTTAATCTATTTCCATGTTTGGTAGTTATTGTTAGATTTCAATGCCACAACCTTTGATGAACGGCAAATTCAAACTTAATGCCGTTACTAAATAGTTTTTACTGATTTCTACTTCTTTGTTATTGTAATTGAGCAGATTGATTTCTGATTTCAAAGCAAACTCAAACTATTTCCAACGAGGTAATTGTAAGATTTATTATATAAAGGCACATTTTTAATTTTAATTTGTGGTACAAATAAATGTGTTTTAAAATGAAGCCTCGCATAAAAATGATTTCAAAGTAGAATATGAGTTCAATTCTTCTTCTTCTAACTTCAGAAGTAATAATTAAACCCTAATATCCTCGATTACATTCTTGCCTTAATGGAATTGCCATTCAATCAACTCAAAATGTTACTTATTTTCCATTAGCAACTATACTCCTGCGAATCCAAAATTATCATAAACCAGTTTATTAAACTCATTCCCAATAATTTTGTACGCCTAATCGATTTTCTCAAAAGTTTCCACACTTAAATTATAATTCTCTTAACTCTGTTTATCAGGATGAAACACCTTTGACAACTCTCTATACTATTCTTTTATCTAACTTAAAGCAGCATCTTCTGACAAACCAAGTGACTAATATGGATTTTACATTAAAATAATTATCAATTTATAATGTTAAAATTGAAACCTTCAGAATCTGCTCCAAATTCTCTTAAGATGCCACACTTAAAAGCTAAGGACTTAGACAAAAAAAGTATGAGATATTCTTCATATTCATTATAGATGAAATGGATAAAGTAATTTAGTAGCAAATAATCATTGAGCCTGAAATAGTGAGATTTGCAGGATTTGAAGTGGGCAAATTAAATTTACTCAAAATTCGTGTGATCAACAAGTATCTTTAACCACAACGAATTTTGGTTATACCTCCTAAAACTAATTTCTTCAATGTCAAATATGATAAGAAGGGAGCCATTGCCTCTGGAATGTTTGAAGAAATTTATATTTCCTTCAAACCCTTTGAATATAAGCAATACTAGGATTCGATGAGAATCAACACTTAATTTGATTCGATCTTGATTCCAATACATGCTTTTCCAGCAATCAACAGGGATTATTTAAGAGATTTATTTCCTCGGTATTTGGATTTTGGAACCCTTGAATTGGGTGAATAGTTTTCTTAAGTATTTCATTAATGTAGGATAGAGATTTCCAATTTAAAATAAGGTACCTCTTAACTTTGATTTTGAATTCATCGTCATCAAGGACAACATGGACTTTAGAATAACTCCCCTGAGAGGCACTATTCCTGACAAGGGAGTAACTGAAATAGAAATTCTCTATAGACCTTCCATTAATGTAACTGTCTATATGGAAGTGGAATTGATTGTGGGATCTGTAGACTTCGAACCTCTGCCAATCAAACTTATGGGAACCGGTCGATCATAAAATGATAAGAATCTAAGTAGAATTAGAAGACCTCAATCAGTGAGAAAACTGCATTCCATAATCCAATAGCCAAAACAAAATCAAAAATTGATCCCAAAAGACTTATAGTCCTCTTAAGAGAACATTGATGAATATTCCATACCTGAACAATCCCCATAGGTCATTTACGAGGCCACAGGAGGAAACGATCAAGTCGAGTAGTTTTATCCAATAATAAAACCAACCACTAAACGGATTAGACCATAAATAATTGAAAACGAAGTGTTGGAAATCAAATAAGGTGTCTCTCTCTAGGGAAGACAAGTTAAAGAGAAGCAATACCTCGATCATTTCAATTAAATAGCAAATCTAGATAAAGAAAAAGAAAATAAACTCAAACAATGCATTGGAGATTCCCCAATCTAAAAGGAAACCATCTCAGAAATCATGAGTTAAAGAGAACAATTTAATCAATAGATGTTAAATTAGATATTCTAAAGTGGTATTACAAGGTATCAACTTTAACTTAATATTGACAATGCAGTGGCTGATTAAATTTTACCAAAATATGAATGTCAATGGGATTTCGAAAAAAATGATGTCATCAAAATCAAGAAAATAGTAAGGCGTTTATTTTCTATTAGTTTTGAAACTAAAAAAATTCATCTATGCAGTAACAAGAGTTATCTATAGAATAAGATTTGATAATAGGATGTCCAAAATCAGAGCATTTTTAAAAGGAGCAACCAAAAGATCAGAAGTTGAGAAGTTGGTCAACCAAGATTGGTAAAAAGCAGAATATGCTGGTGTTGGCAAAAAAGATTTTGTAATTATCCCTATTTAAATAACAAGATTGCCTTTACTTTTGAATTCGAGGAAAATTGCATTGGAAAATTTGCACTCCCAGTTTAATACTAAGAAACAAACACCTACTCATTTAAATTTGATATTAATCCAAGAACAGGATTTGATGATTGGGCTCCAATTGAACAAATTCCTTAATCTGATTAAGAAGTCATGCAATATAAAAATTGGGATTACCCTCAATTAGTCTATCATCCTCCACTCTTATAATAAGTAGTTTTTAGAGATGGAGCTGAAGAAGAAAAGGCAGTCAAAGGGAAAATGGGGCCTATTTAGAGTATTTTATCCACAAACCAGAAACTTGAAGAAACTATCAAAATTGTAATGCAAAAACCTCCAGAATATGAAGGAGTTTAGTTATTATTGCCTCACAAAACTCTTCAATGCTATTTGCCATTGGAAACTTGTAACCCCATAGAAACTTCATTTTTATTAAACTATAGAACCATATCTAATATAGGATCAGACTTGGATATTGATGCTTCCAGGAATAATTCAATCATAAAACAAGAAATCAGCAATAGATAGGCAGGATACAATAATCTAAACCTACTGTATGAATTAAAATTGGACTAATTTTATTACTAAGAAAGGAATATGCAATTAGCCTATGATTTTGGATTTGAGGATTAAATTGAATAATATTGTGCTTCTTTGATGCATGACAAGGAAAAGGATGACTATATCACAGATGACAGTGATGAAGAGAGACCACCTTAGCCAGTTGTTGTTGACCATAATGAATGGCTTGCGAAGTTAGAGCAAGACGATAAAGCACTTTAACCATTTAAATAAGGTGAGATCATCGATCAATAAGAATTACTAAAACATAAAATAGATACTAATTTAATGTATATAATTTTGTTAATTGAAGGTTTGAGAAAAATAAATGGATCTCTACTGTGCCATCTAAGACAAACGATTACAACAAATTTATTATCAAAAATGAGAATAAAATTATAATTTTATGAATTAGTATAATATTTTGTAAAAGATCATAATAAATCCATTTATTAGCCTAAAGCGATAGCAATTATTGATTTTGTTCATCTATTATGCTTTATCTAAATATTCAATATTTTATTTAGAAATTCCATTTTGAATTGAAATATTGTTCTAATAAAGATTTTAAAATTAGCTTTCAATTATTATCTTAGTAAATTTAGGTTATAAATTTAATATTCCTCAATAATTCTAGATAAATGAAAGAAAGATTTTTGGATGATTTTTTGAAGTAGAAAAAATTCTTAAAAAATATTAATAGTGATGATATCTTTTTAAGTAATTTGTTTTTTTAAATATTTTGTTATCAACCAAAAATTTGAAACTTTTAGTAAGTTTGAGAGAAGTAAGACTTGAAATTTCAATTTTTGAGAATTTCTTAGAATCTTATCTAATCAAATTTCTTAAAGTTATAGTTTTTGCTTAATCATTAAGTTAACCAAGTATGAATTTCAGAACTAATTTCAATTAGATTTGGACCCATAAATTTGGAAAACAGAAAATTCAAAATTCTTTGGGGAGAAAATAGAAGGAAATTTAAATGAAATATCTTGGAAAATCATTTTTGTTATTTTTATTCATTAAATCAGTATTAAAATTAAATATTTACTTAAATGGGGACTTGTCAAATTTGCAATGGAATATAGGTCAAAGAGATTAAGGAACAATTGAAACCATAAATATAGAGAAAAGAACTAACTCTTAGATAAATTGCTTTAATTCAGGCAAGGATTAGAGGAATCTTAACAAGAAGAAGAGTTCTGATTCACAAATAAAAGGAAAATAATAACTAGCAATAATAAAATTCTTTGACTGAAGACTTAATTTGCTATGAATAGATTTAACAAACAATTACAGAAAGATCAACAGTAGCTTAGTAATAGGATGATCATATCGCTATTTCGATGTCACCAAAAATAAGGAATAGCCACAAGTGGCAGAATGGATCAATGACTGGGTTTGGTAGAATGGACATGGAGGACGGGTATTAGAATAAAATAATCATAGTTGTTACTTGGAAGGCATGGTATAGAATTATAATTTAAAATAAGTGGTTGGATGGGTATTTCAATGGAGAAGGACTTTACAGTGCTCCTGATGGGACATATTATAGAGGAGAATGGAAAAATAGTTACATGAATGGTCAAGGGATCTATTTTAATTCTGCTAAAAACATCAGATATGAAGGTAAGAATAGATAATTATAGAATTTTAGGAGGATGGGAAAATAACTTACAACATGGTGAAGGGACAGAAACATATGCAGATAAATCAATTTACACCGGGACATTTAAAAAAGGTTTAAAGGATGGTTACGGAAAATTCTTTTTTAATGATGGGTCTTACTATGAAGGACAATTTCAATAAGACAAGTTTCATGGTTAAGGAAAATTTGTATTCAAATTTTATTAATTATAAGGTTTGGGATTGCGGTTAAAAGGTTTATAATGGAGAATGGGTTAAAGGCAAAAAGCATGGCTTTGGATATATAGAAATCAAAGGAAAATACTCCTATGAAGGTCAATACAAAGATGGGGTAAAAAATGGAAATGGCATATTGATTTGGAGTGATGGTAGAAAGTACAATGGTGAATGGAAAGAGGGTTAATAACATGGAAACGGGATATATTATAACTAAAAAGGAGAAACATTTAGTGGTACTTGGAAGTTTGGATTAATCCAAAATCATTGATCTCTTTTTCAAATTATTATGTTTTTATTTTATATAATCATTCATATACTCAATGAATAAATAGCTAATTATGATTCTATAAAAATGAGAACAAAGGCATATGTATTTAAATATCATGCATTAGAAAATTTTTAATCTATTTTATTAACCATTCTGTTGTTGCTACTCTGATATAACTGTTCGTTATTAATTAAAATCCACATCTGCTCTTTTTCATTTAAAAATATTTTCTTATGTATATAGAATTAGATTAAAAAGAGGGAGAAATATTAATAATTTGGATTAGCCTTACATATAACTGAAAATTATGCAAAAATCTTGTATTGAAGTTCTAGCAATATTTTAAGTGTATTAGATTTGAAATAAAAGCTTTCAAAAAATGAAAAGGATTGGTATTAAATATTTAGAAATGGTTCTTTTTGTTGAAATTAGGACATTATTAAATATGTTGGATTTTGAGCAAGATTTTTATAAATTTGTTAAAGCCCAATTAGATAAGAAGCGAGAAATCAAACAACTAACCTTCAATGATCAATATACTGAAGAGGAAGTAATTAGAAGTACTGAATTATTATTTTATTTAGGAAATAGATTGTAGAGTGAGAACATTCAAAAAGTCTTGTAAAATGAAAGAAAAAAGATGAGGATTAACAAAATTTCAAAGGAGCAACATTTCGAAAAAAAATTGAGAGACTTTACATCAATGGACACTTTTATTGATGTTAAGTAGTTTCTTAAAAATCTTAATGATCAATAGGTGAAAAAAAATCCCAAAATATTATTCCAAGCCTTAAAAAGAACACAATCGGATAGTGATGATGAAGATATGTTTGATTATGCAGAGATTGTTTAAAAAAGTAAAAAAGCTATTGCCAATTCTGAACATTTTCGAACAAAACCTCGCATAGAGGGTTATTTATAACTGGAAAATGAGATTAGTTAAAGGTCCAAAGCGATTGAAGAAGGAAGGTCAACAAATGAGAAATTCTATACAGGAATCGATAAACTAATAACTGATATTAATCACAAGAATGTTTTGTCAGAGATGGATAGGAAGTATGAGAAAGAGAGAAGGAGAAATAGGAACTCTATGAGTTCTGAAAAAATTATTTAATCAGCAGTTCCATTGGATTTTGGGAAAGATGAAATTGCAGTAAAAGCTGGAAAAAAATTTAAAGAATAATCATAAAAGGTTTTATAGCTTTTAGAAAGAACCACTAAAATGCTGTACAAAAATAAGATTCCATAACCACCCAATCAAAAACTCTTAAAACAATAATAATAATAACTGAAAGAACTTTAACAGTAAAATCCTAGTTCATTTGAAATTAGAAGTCAAAAGCATTTATTAGTCAAAAGTCGAAGTGAAAGCAACGATTTGAAGTTTCCTCTAGTAAATGGTAAACTAATTAATCCTCTTGTGAGGAGGGTTGTTCCATTATCTCAACTGAACCATGCTACTCTTCCTGAAATTAAACCTGGTTCATTTGTATCTCAAAGGGAGGACAAGAAATTTGAAAATTTTCATTATTTAAAAAGCCCTAAAACTGAATAGAAACAGGATGATCGCCATATTAATACTAGTCGTCAAACTGTTAGTTTGAATATCAAAAATTAAATTGGAGAATTTATAACATAGGTAAAGAATTTTTTTGATAAAGCTTGATGATGCATAAGAGCAATTTTCTAAATTGTATCCCTCTGATTCTTAAATTTAAAAAATTTAGGATAATATGAGTAAAAATATGAGCTAAATTGGCAACACTCCATTGGAAAGTCTGAAATATTTGACCAAGAGGAAGTTCAATATTTCCAAAAAGTATGAATTGAGAGGTAAGAAAAACAAAGTTCTTCAAATTTTATGATAATAATTATGATTAAAAATTCAATATATTTTAGAATCATCTCCTTTTATAAAATCAATCTAAATATTAAAAATAATTAATGTATTTACGGTAATATTCAAAACTTCCATTTTATGATGGATTTGAAATGTTCCGTAGGCTTAAAATGCTTAATCCCAAATAGCACAATCCCCTTGTTTATGCAATTAGACCACCTGAAACAAATCTTGGATTTCCATTGAGAGAAGAAATAAATGACACTGAGAATCAAAAAGTGCTAAACAAATTAATGCATAGATATCCAGATCTTAAATATGCTCCATTAGTAAAGGAAGGACTTGCGGAAAATAAAAATGAAGGATCATTATTTCGCTTTTTGAAGATGTTTAATACATTGAGAAAAAAGGGATATCATTTTGATAAGGTATATAAAAATATAATAAGAATAGGCTTTTGAAAAAGCAGAAATGGCATTTTAAGCAAAAATGTAAAGAAAAATAGATTAAACCAAAATAGCAAATAATTTAGCAATCACAAATCAAGCAAGGTCATTTATGACATTAGCCTAATAAGAAATAGAGTTTGAATAGAGACTAAAAAGAGATAGACTATTGAGAGATTTAAAAATCTAAGAGTTTGAAAAAAACTCCCCTTTGGACCCTGAAACTTAAGCTTTGATGGATAATTACAAAAAATCTCTAATAAAAGTAGTTCATCATGATGATAAGCCAGTGGAGACAACACACAAAGAAGATGAAGAAACATTTGCAGAGAGAGCAACAAATGTCTTTAATTGTTATTATAACAGAGTAGCAACACAAGATAAATTGAATGGTCTAAGTGATAAATAGATTCTGTAAAATATTAGACAATCACCATCTAAAATAAAGAATAGATTAAGGAAATATTTGAAAGTCATTAAGCATTACAATATTACTTTTGATGAAGAAGGTGAATTGGTTATACCTGAAGATCTCCCAGAGAATCTTCAAAATTAAATTGGAAAGGGAATATTTTATATAACAAAACTATACGATGATCTTGATTTTGAATACTCACATCATGAACATTTAGATACACTATAATAGGAACTTGAGGTAAGACTTTAGGAATAAAAACGCAATAGGAAACATTACAATGAGGATGCAGAATTTGCTATTCAAAAAGTGTTATAGGATGCAAACATCAAAGCTTAAAATACATATTCACTATTTGAGTCACCATAGGAAAGATTGTCCAGATTGCAAATTAAGTGGTTATATAGAAAAATAGATGAATATACATTGTTTAAGCTTAAAAATGAAGATTAAAGTGGGGAATCTTAATAATTAATTGATGAAAAAATAGAGAAGTTAGGCAATTAAGCACAAAAATTAGTAGATAATTTAAGAAGAATGAAATTAGAATTAGAATATGAATCCTTTGCTAAAACAGGTAAACAGTTGTTTTAAGAACATGCTGTCTTACTTAAAGATAAAGAGTTGTTTGTTGATGCCAATAAGTTATAAATGAATGATATTGATATCTATTTCAAAATTCCTGTTGATTAAAGAAGATTAACATAAGCAGGATAAGTTAATGATGACATCATTCATAATCTTATCAAAGTGTAACATCTCTTATTTAAATTAGATAAAACTTAAAATCTCATGTAGCCAGATTAAATCATGATGATTTAGAGAACAGAGTAGGTGATTCTTCTTTGAAAGACGAAACCGCTGAGATTTTGAAGAAAAAAATATTGGCTTAATATAAGTTATTGTATTTGGCTAAGAAGTAATAATTAAAAGGAATGACTGAAGAAGATAAATTTAAAGAATCATAAGAAGAAGAAATCTCTCTTGATGATGAAGCATTTAGTGAAAATATTGTAAAGATATATTATTAATTTTTAGGCTGATAATTTAGACGAATTGCGAAGGAAATAAAGAGAAGCAAGACTTGAATTTGAGAAAGAAAAAGCCCTTGAAGCTAAATAGAAAGAAGATGAATTAAAAAGTTAATAAGCAATTAAGGGATAAAAAGGTTCCAAGAAGAAAAAGGCAAAAAAGTGATCTTTTTTAAGAGTGCTCAAATATATAGTATTTATTTAATCATTTACGCTATCTTAAAATGAAAACCAAATGTGTAAAATAAGATATCATATATATTGCTTTTTCCACATATTGAAAATAATTAATTTAGATAATTAAAGTTTAACATGTCATCTATTTTGAATAAATTTAAGAAGTAGACAACTGCTGATACTCCAAACGGGATAAAATTGGAAAATACATCTTTTGGTCAATAAGCTGGAACTTATTAGCCACCAATAATCCCTGCTGTGTAATTAACCTAATCTAATTAACCGAGACAAAAAGGAAGACCAGGTGGAGGTAAGATTAACTGCATAATAACAAGGTTGGGATGATGAACCTTTGCCTTAACCAGAACAAATTAGTGTCTCAACCAATAAAGCAACTAACTCAATTAATTTATTGAACGATACTCCACCAAAATAAAATATTGATTAAAAAAATAATCAAGATGTTCTTTTACCTCCTTAACCTGCTTTAGGGAATATTTAATTGAGTAGAGTTACGGATTATAAAAGAGGTCAGCTGTTAACTTACGAGGAATTAGAATTAGGAGGATTGTATAAAAAGTTTTAATTTTTAGTGATTATGAATTTCATCTTGTAGATGAAGCCATTAAATTAGGTGGAATTAAGTTAAAGCAAAGTGATAATGTTCTAAAAGAGTTTACAAGAGCCATTGCAACTATTTAAGAATAACTTATAGGAAGCATACTTTTAAATAAATTGCATAGTGAAGATAACTGGAAAGTGTAGATTGTATCATTTTCATTAAATTATTAGAGATGCATCTATGCTATTCAATATGTTTGTTAATAGTATTAAAATTACAGAGAATTCTTCTTAATCAATTAATAATATCTGAGGGTAGAAACTGATCAATAATTACTTTCAGGTGCCATTGATTAAACTTTAGCTGAAGTTAACGGTTAACAAGTTTAAAAGCAAAAAGTAATTAAAAATTATTAAATCATAAGGAATTTTAATTTGAATTTAGAGAACCTCCTAAAACATAATAACCTGTATAAAACTAACAGACGAATTTAATAGATATTTTGGATGCATCCAATAATGACTCATAATAATAAAAGCAACAACAATAAAAACTTAATTTAAAATAACTAAAAATTAAATAACCAACTGTCTAAACATAATAATAGCCTATTGTACAAAAATAATAATAGCCTATAGTATAATAATAATAACCTATTGTGTAGTAATAATAATAATAAGTATAACTGAAAAATACATAATAAATTAATTTATTGGATGCATTTAGTGACATTTCTTTATAAAATTATAATTAATAATAGTCGTAACCAACATAATTATAATCTTAATAATAGTATTCATACTAGCAATAACCATTAATTTAATCCTAATAATAATAATAAAATAACTAATAATAATAATAATAATAAAATTACTAATAATAATAATAGTAGAATTAGAATGGAATAAGTTTTGATGATTTACTTAATCCATAGACAACAAATCAATAGTAGACTTAGCCAAAGAAAAATGCCTTTGGATTCTTAAAAAAAGATTAATAATAATAGTAATAATAGACAATCTAAAATAATTAATAAGTTCAGCAACCAATTAATTTACTCTATTCTCCTTAATAATTTTATCAATAACCTTAAATCGTTAATTAAGTTCCGCAATAGTAATCATAATTTAATTAGAATCAATCTCAAAATTATTCAAATTAATAAATGTATTCACATCCCTAAACCCAATTTAACAACCAATAATAAACCTAAAATAATAAAAAGGATTTAATTGATTTTCTAAATATGTGATTATTATAATATGTCAAAAATATAAAGATAAATGTCATATAAAATTTAACATTAACATCTAAATTCATACAGAAACCTTCCATTAACTTAATAAATTTTATTTCAAAAGCAAATAGATTATGAAATTGTTCCTATAAATCTTGGTAGATACTTAACAAATCTCATACTGAATTCACCCTAAATTTAACTATAAAAGTAGCTTTTAGTAAATTATGATTGGATTTCTTAATATTTTAAATCCATGCTTTGATGCAAAATCTTATAGAGCTAGAGATTCTTATTAAACTAATAAGCTAGAATATCTTGAATATATCCAAGATTCAAATAGACAAATAACAAAAACTAGACTATAATGAGAACTAAAGTTTTGATGTTTTAATGAAAAATGTCAAGGAATTAGTATGATTATAGAGATACACTTTAGAAATAGGGGTTGGAATTAAGAAAACGAATGTGAAATAACGACATATATGAAATATTATTTATTTATTGTAATTAATGGAAATATTACACTTGGCATTACTAGTTGTAATTTCTATTATTTGCTTTAAAATTGGTTAAGGATTGGGACAGAAGGAAGTTGAAAAGCAATAATCACAATATATCTAAGTAGATATTAGTTTAAAATGGTTTAGTTGCAAGAGAATGAATAATTAATTGAGGAAATTGATGAAGATTTTATTAAATAGGTAGAACAATAAGAATAAGATTTAAAAGAAGCAATTAAGAAGTTCAATGAAATTAATCAAAGAGATAAGTAGTTATAGAAATAATTGAGCGATTTAAAAAATGCATAAACGAATAATGCAAAACCCAAAATTTAGTAACATGGTAGTTAATTTAATGAGATTTTTAGAATTACTAAGTGATAAGGATTTTGATAATTTATTGGATGAAGGTTTTGTTGTAGATTAGGAAATCAATGAAACACAATTAGATTAAGATTTAATTGAAGCTAGTAAATGATTTGTCAATTGTGTTTCTATTAAGTTTATTTCTTGATATATACTCTTTAACATTATCTTTTTCGAACTCAATCTATTAAATAGAAATAATTAACAAATATTTTTATTTATTCTAAAACTCATTTCATACCTTATTCCTCCTATGATTTAGACCAGGCTTAGGCTATAGTTCGTTTCATATTTTCATCACCATTCTAATACATTTCTTTCATCATAGTCATTAAAGATGCTTGTGGGTCCGATTGATCTAATTTGGATGGGTCTGTATCGATCTGCATATTTACTATTATTTACTATTTTCCCCTTATAATTTAGTTAATCCCAATTCTATGGGTCTTTCTTAACCAAATTTACAACAATGGAATTGTTGGTTACTTTGATAGAACATTCTTTATTTTTCAATTCATCAAATGTTTTTTTAATAGAAAATCTAAAAGTTATTCAATAATTATACCTGTGATTAAGACCTTTGTAGCCCTTAATTTTGACATCTACACTATTTGGAGCAAAAAAAGAAGTGATATTCTCTTTAGGAAACTAGCCAATTCCCTCTAAATTCAAAAACACTTTGACTTTATTCCCTTCTTAATCCCAAGCATATTTTGTAATTCCTTGATATATTAGAGTGTCCTAATCTTTTTATTATTGTTATTATTCTGGCTATTCAACTTTTTAAGGAGTTAATATTTTAATAGAGTTTTCTAAAAATTTGACTCTATTATTCAAGTGGTCGATATTGGTTTGGCGTTTAAGAGTTGAAAGTACTTATTGGACTTCAGCTAAATCTAATTTGAGTTCTTCTAATTCAGACATTAAATTTAATTATAACACAATATCAACCTATTAAATGGTATGAGGATATATATTTTAACTGTGTCTCAGAATATTAGAACAATCTTTTTTATGTGTGATATATATGAATATTAAACTGTATATAGCATCATTCGTTTAAGCAATCGCATTCTGGATGTCTTTGTGAAAAGCCCATCAAACATTCTACTGATCTAAGGTTAACGGATTATAAGCATTCAGCTTAGAAATCAGCAACGCATTATTCGACATTACATCCTTAGAGAATGAGATCCCAATATCCAGTGTTGGGGCAGTATTTAAGTCCACATTCATATCTAATAATTTCTATTTTAATAAGTACAAGTCAATCAATTTCTTGTTTTTGGATTCATAAGCACAGTCACGATAGCATGGGTCTGTTTCTCCGCATTTATTTTTGCAGTTTAAAGCTTTTGAAGCACAGCCAAAGACCTCAGCAACACAAGCATTGTATTCTTTGGGGCACTTTTCTTTGACGCAAGCTTCGTCAGCGATGACAGCAATAGCAAGAAGAGCAATAAGGACTGATTTCATTGATAATATTATTCGATAAAATATCTAGGATTTAAATTTACCAAATATTCTTATAAACCACCCCCATAAAATTTGAATTACGTAATTTTGATATTCGTAATTCTAATATTATTAATATGTATCTTAATCCTTACAACCATTTATAATCTTCTGTTTATCATAGAATTAGGATCTGATTGAGAAGAATTGAAGGTGATAAAGAAAAAAAAATTTTATAATAAAATTTATACATTTTATATATTTATATCGAGTATATAGTATAATAGTAGTAAATTACTTAAACGTAAAGTTGACTCTAATCTTAAAATAAAGAATGAATTAAATTGAGTTTATCATAAATTCCAAACAGTTTTGAGAATTTTTAGTTTTACTAAATGACATTTTCATTTAAAACTTATCTTATCATGAACGTTGAACTTCATGCATATTTGAGAATGAACATTGATATTTTGGCTTGGAGTTTTATAAAAGCTTAGGTATTACTATTTAATAACAATTGTATGAAAATTAAGAAAAAGCGAATTCATGGTTTTTATATATGTATAGAGGTTAATAATTTTTAACGAATCTATTGATATAATAATAATTATTATTACATAGAATAATAATTTGAGATTTTCGGTTCACATTTTACACAAAAATTAGCAACTTTGTTAATTCTTAAAAATATCAAAATTTAATACTGAAATCACAAATTTTATACTTACTAAATTCTATAAATAACTAGAGTGCAAAAATGGGGTGACGCATCATTGAAATAGTACGCATTTGCTCCAATTATTAAAATCCAATTGTCAAAAAGGATTTAAATTATAATACAGATATGTTAGTTTAAGAAGAAGATTATTTATTCGACACCGAGTTCACTATTGCCACAAAAACTATTCATAAAAGATGTGACTAAGCTTATGGAGCAGTGAATCCTCCAATTTACATGAGTTCAACATTTGAATTGAAAGATGTAGACTCATTTGGGAAAGGTTACTTTTACACCAGATGTGGGAACCCTACTCGAACAGTAGTGGAAGAAATAGTAGCAGAAATAGAACAAAACAACTATGCCATAGCTTTCAGTTCAGGAATGGCTGCAATTCAATGTGTGATCAACCTCCTGAAAGAGGGAGATGAGATGCTTGCTATGGATGATCTTTATGGAGGAACAATTGGCTATTTAAAGGCCATTGCAATGGATAAACATGGAATTAAAGTTAAATTTGTAGATATGACAAATATAGATGAAGTGAGAAAGCAAATGAACCAAAATGTCTAGCTAGTTTACTTGGAAACTCCAACTAACCCAACTATGAAATTAACTGATATTAAAGAACTTTGTTAGGTAGTCAGATAAATTAAAAATAATGTAATTGTTGCAGTCGATAATACATTTGCAACACCCTACCTTTAAACACCCTCAAACTTAGGAGCCGATATAACATTAAACTCAGGCACAAAATATCTAGGAGGACATTCAGATATCATATTTGGTACTCTGAGTTGCAGAAATAAAGAATTATATGACAATTTATTTAAGATTTCCTATCTAACAGGAGGATGTCCAAGTCCATTTGATTGCTACTTAGTAACAAGAAGTTTAAAAACTCTTGAAGTCAGAATGAAATAATAAATTAAGAATGCTTATATTTTGGCTAAGTACCTTGAGGGCCATCCAAAAATAGAAAAGGTACTCTACCCTGGATTAGAGAGTCATCCTCAGCACGATTTGGCAAGAAAATAAATGAGAGCTGGAGGAGCGATGATTAGTTTTTATATTAAAGGGGGAGCTGCTGAAGCAGAAAGAATGATGAAGGGACTTGAATTATTCACTATGGCTGTAAGCTTGGGAGGAGTAGAAAGTATAATATTGTATCTATTTTAGGTTTAATATAAATTCCAGCAAAAATGACTCATTCAGGCTTAACTGAGGAAAGAAGACAAGAACTTGGAATCACTTAAAATCTCATACGACTTTCAGCAGGTTTAGAACATGTTAGCGATTTAATTAAAGATTTAGAACATGGATTCAAGAATATCTGAACATTTTAATCTATTTTCTATATTATTTTTACATAATTTATATTTAAAAAATAATCAATAGTAATTATTAAGTATAATTTTAGTATAAAAATTAAAAATTCCATTTTCATAAATTTTAGTATTATAAATGAATGACAAAAATCATATTTATTCATGATGCCCTTTCCACCATCAATATTAATCCTATTCAACACTTAATCTTTCGAACACGCTGATGTAGCTCAGTCGGCAGAGCGGTTGGCTGTTAACCAACAGGTCGAAGGTTCAAACCCTTCCATTAGCGCTTTTTTCCATTTTTTTTAAATTAAAATTATATTAATATTTATTAATTGTCTTTGTATAAAGGAATGCATTATCATATAATTGTAATTTACATATAAAAATAAATGAAATCTATGAACTAAAGGTATTAATTTTAAATTTCAGGTATTGAAGAATCTAAGATAATATAACAATAATAAGTCAATAATCATTTGCGAAAATCCATCACTCTGCTTGAGGAACTTATATATTAATATCATTTTTTAACTCAAAATTTTATATTATATAATCAGGATAAAAGTTTAAGTTAATTCATCATTATTCTATGGAATGAGATTAAATGAATTATTAAGGTGGATGTAGTTATTGGTTATTAAGATTATATTATTTTAATAATTAGGAAACCAATTATTTTTTGATATCATCATTAGGAAAACAGATGTGACTTTAGTTTAGAACTCAATTTATCGTAAAGAATTTTCAGAGATTATATTAAATGAGAAATAATTCTGGAATAGAGCGAATTAGATATAGAAGAAAGAGCAGAGAAAGAACAACAATAATCATAAAAATACATTTTAGATAAGATTCCTTAACAATGTAGTGATCTTTAGAAGGAGTATAACACAAATTAAATATGTTGAATAATTTATTCTTGATATTTTTTCTTAATTACCAATTTTTAGACCAAAAAAAATAATTTTATGGAAACTATTTATCAGCATATTGACTCTAGTTGTTATTTTTGAAATCCCTGTCTATAGATAATATGATTGGAGAGGGTTTTTGGAAAGTTAGGTTATATTTAGTTTAAGGAATTAGATTCAGAATATTAAGTTGAGCATTTTACTTTTCAATATCTTTTTTACTTATCATAGATATAGGATTGGATTTCATAACAGCATATAATAAACATGGAGTTGTGATTACTGACTGTAGAAAAATAGCAATCAATTTTTTATGGGAATTTCTTTTTTGATCTTACAGCAATAAACCTTTATTATATAGAGCTAGCTTATAATCTCAATTATTAGATTATCTCTATTCACTTCTAAATTAAGATTCATCTTTCTAATGTTTTACTTTAAATTACAATAAAATTGGTGGTTTTTAAATACCTTCATTTTATAATTTGATGATCAATTAATTGAAATGGTATTACTGTATAGAAAAACGAGAGTATTTTATGAAGTGGGAAAACAAGTCATTGTTATTTTTTTTGCTTAATGTGTTTTTATATGATTGGATTGCATAGTGCAGCATTAGGAACAATCTCAACTGCCGTGGGGTTATGGAGGTATAGTAAATATTTGATTGAGATTATTACTCTTGGTCTCTTTTGGGAGTTATGTTTGGACTTATATCTTTGCAAACAATATCAACTCTTTTAAAAATAATGGAAGAATATAATTTATATGATCTTAAACAATTTAAGCATAATGAGAGCATCAATAAATTATGGAATAAAAATAATAGAATAAATAAACAGAATATATGTGATTATAAAATCTGAGTTATAGAAAACAATTAAGTAATATCTTAATGAATACTGGCATCAATAAGGACTTAGTGATTAAGAGCAGGAAATGTTGATTCCAGAATTAAAATAAGAACTAATGTATTAGTCTTAGAGGTAGTTTTTTGTAAACTACTTTTTCTCAATGCATGTTTCAAAGCCTTTCTTAAAAGATCTATGAGAAAAAATTACAGAAGTAAATTATTCAACTGGAAATATCGCAATTGAAGTAATGATGATCAAAGCATTTATTTTATACAAATTGGAACTGTAATTATAAAATGTGATATTGTTAATAAAATAATAATATTATAATATTCATTTGTAATTCATAAGTTTTTAAAAGATATTGATATAGGGGGACGACTTTGATGAATATGTCTTAATGGCAGGTATTCAATTTACGTATTTAATATTATATGATATAAGCAAGGACATCCTTAGCTAATTCTTAAGAATACAGATAATTACATAAAATATCTAAGAGTGACTACTTAGATGTCTTAAAACATTTGAGAATTGAACTCACTTTTTTATAAATATTTTCAATTACTTGGGTAAGTTTATTGGACTTGTCAGAAATTTGATCATTATGCACCCCCTTTTCCTTTTTTCATTACATGCCTTAAGTTTAGAATTTGGTTCGAAATGCTACTCTTTTTGGTTAAATAAAAAATATCCAACTAGAAATATTGATAGAAAGAACTGGCGACCAGAAAAAATTAAAGGATTCTCGTGAACGGTTTGGATAATTCTAAAATTTAGAAATTTGCTAATTTTATGGTACTTTGTAAGTTAGATTAGTTAGTTGAGGAGTGCAAAAAATATTAATTTGTAAAAACAATTGATCCTGTTTATTATAATTAATTTGATTAATCTTATTGATTTAATCTCAAATAATGATCCTAAATTGATTCAGATTTATAAATTCTAACTTTGATTTAGAGTCCTACTCATGCGGTTAACTTCTTATATGTGTGGCAATAAATTCTAAGAACGATGCAAAAGCAATCTCACATCATAATAGACTAAACTGAATTAATATAGAAATTAACAGTAATACTAATCCATTATGGATTAGATTATTTTGATGAACAATTGAATTTCAAATATTGCTAGAAAAAATTCAATTATATAGATTATAGAGTCTTCCAAGGATTTAAATAATAAGCATTAGAAAATCTTTGTACCAGGAACTTGTAATTGATTATTAAATAATTTCATTATTTCAAATATAAATTAAGTTAAGAAAAATGATGAAATCTTTGCCTAGGGAATTTAAAAAGATTTTAAAATCGATTGATTTATTTAGCATACCAGTTCCATTGTTAACAAATGATGCTTAGTCTTAATACTCAAGTTACTATAGTGGGTTTATTTCCATTTTGGCTTCAGTACTCAGTATAGCTTATTTTGTATATGTGATTTAAGAGTGGGCCAATGGCAACATCCTTCCCACTATTACAACTAATTAGTCAGCATAGGCCTATACTGAATAAGGCTTGGAAGAGAACTTTATTTAGTTTAAATTAAGTGATCCAACAAATCATGATCCATTTAGAAGGAAAAACAACATAATTACACCTTTAATATTTTCTGTCGAAAATTATAAGATTGCTTCTCCTCCAACACCATTATTTAGTGATGAAAGTAACCCTTTCACAGTGGGATTATAACAAGGAACACTCGTAGTAAACAATTTGAATACATAAAATAATGACCAGTCATACAAGCCTTCAAAAAATTATTTACTCATATTTATTGAATGTTTAGACGAATACTTAGATGATAATAGTAATTGTGCAAGTCAAGAAGAGATTGATAATTACATGTCAAAGTATCATGGGTTTTTGTCTATTATAATGAAATTGGAATAATATAACTTTAGAAAAAATCAAAAAGAATATATAATGAAGTAAGCATATTAAGCATTTTCTCCAACCTATATTCAATATACTTAAATTAGAATTCAGCAAAAAGAAATAAACCTTGATAATGGTCTCTTATTTGAAAATTTGGTTACGCATAAATATATTAATGATTTTAACTTAATCAATCAATCGATTGATAACAAGTATATATAAAGCATAGCATAATCATTTTCATAATAGAATTTTCAGTTGAATGCAATTTTTGCATATTAAATAAGCATTGATAATTTGTAAATTTCAGAAAGGATTATCTAGCCAAAATTAAGTGCTGTCTTGGCCTATGTAGGCTCAATTGTCTAAGTTATATTTATGTTGAAGTACTTAGCAGTCTTCATAAATAATTAACAGTTTAAAGTAGAGGTAGAAACTGAAATCCTTCAAATGTACTATCCAAAATTAAAAGATGTAAAAGTTAAGAGAAATGTCCTTGGTAAGATAATTTCTACCAATCAGGGTAATGAAGATAATAAAAACGCATAATTTATAATATAATATCAAGACCATCTTAATTTAGCATTTAAGAAGCTACGGCTGATAAACATTATTTATGAGCTATCGCGGATAGAACTACTTATGGAGAAACATTTTGGCCTTTAGAATATATGCGAGTGTAGCTAATTGGGATCTGAATTTTAGTTTCTTGGGCATGATAATAAAAATGAATCTCCTAAAGTCTCGATATTATCAGTTGGAAATTAGAGTCCTTAACCCAAAGATGATATCTTTAGACTATTTAATAAAGGTTGATAAAATTAGAATTAAAATGACATCATCGATATAATATTTAAGAAATATATAGTTATTTTATAATTTATTTATATGATCTCTATATTTTTCTTATTATTTGGCTTAATATAAAGCTAAGATGATAACATTATGAATGATGTGATTGAAGACAGACAGGATAGAAAAGATTTAATGTAAGAATGGGAATTGATGATGCAAGACTTTATTCCAGATGATATGATAGCATTTGAATTGAAGCAAGGCGCTATTGAATTATTAGAGGAAGGAATTCATCATCCAACAACAATACGTGGGGCTTATTTTATCAGCATGGCAACCAAAGAGAAAATAAATTTCATAGTAAGAAGCATTCATTATAGATTAGATTAAAGATCCAAAAGGAAATATCATAAGTAGTAAAGCAGGCAAGAAGGAGGCTGTGTTTTCAGTCAACATTACTGAGCCCGGAGATTATTAATTTATGTTTGATAACGAGAGAGGCAGCAGTGATTAGATGGTAACATTTGCCTTAGATATTCACAATGCCACTTATGAACATATCAAGCATCATGATTTAGATCCACTAGTGAAATAGATTCAGCATTTATAAAATGGAATCAACGATATAATGTTTGAAACCAAATTTTCCTAATAAAGAAGAGAAAGTGGTTATGAATCAATGCAAACAACTCATCAAAGATTGTTTTACTTTACAATTCTAGAAACCCTAGTCATAATCGCGGTGAGTGTATGGTAGGTGTATTATATAAAGAGTATCATTGACAATCGTAGATTGATTTGATTTATTGATAAATCTATATATTAATTAGTGTGGTAATGATTTATTAAATTGCTTGTGTTGGTTAAGAACTTCTACATACCTTAAATAAAATAATTTTAAAATATATAAATATCTAAAATGCGTAGTTTAAGTAGAATCCTTTTCCGTCGTTCTTAATTATTGATAAATAGAGTGGCAGTTCCTTTAAGACATAAATGCGTTTATGGATTCAGTAGTGGTAACTTGTGATTGGATTATTATAAATTAGGTTTTAACAATAACTCTAACATTAAGTTGAAAACAATTCCTCTTTAAAATTACTCATGTGATCCCGAGGAGGTTGACTCTAAAATAGGCTCAACTGATTTTTGTCTATTTAGTTCAGTCCAGCCTATCTTTCCAAATAATCCTATGAATTGCCAAATCAAGATAGGGAATCTCAAACGTATCACTAAGCCCCTTCTTTACACAATCATATCGCCAGACAATGGTGAAATCTTCACGATTGGAATTGCTTTGAGTAAACAGGTCGAAAAAAATTTGAATTCTGAACTCAAAGTATTGGAATAAAGAGATTCGAATGGGAATATTTTGATCAATGATCCAATGAGCAATACATTCAATTTAGATATAATTTCAAAGTCTGTAAGTGATTTAAAGCAATAAGATAGAAAAATTACCGATTCAAAATAACCAAAATTGAAATGACTCCAGATGGTATTTTCGCATAAGGAATACCCTACAAAGATCGTCCACTTACTTAAGCAGAATAATAGATTGATGTCAAAAATGAAGTTAAACAGATAACTTCACTTGTAGCTTAAATCAGAAAATTAGGTTAAATAGACAGACTAGAAGCCTTTACAGATGTGAAGTAATCCCTTCTTGACTCAAGCGAAAAATTAACAGCCACTCAAATAGATGAGTTAGTCTATCAAGTTGCTGCTGGCCTTTCAAAATTGCAAACCAGCAATTTGAAATTGAACACATCCTAATTTGTCTAATAGTTATTAGAAAGTCAAACATATATTGAAAGAATGTTCATTTTAAGAAAGCAACTTGAAAACATGTCAGGAGTCTTAGATTTAGTTAACAAACACTTCAAAGAATCAGATTCTTCATTATTGAAATTGCATCAATAAACATTAGCCAAATTAGCAACTGAATATATCAGATAGAATTATTTGAAAGATGCTCCCAATTCATAGTCTTATGGAGGACCTGCTGGATCTCAATCCTAAGTTGGAGAAAAGGTATTTGTTTCAGTAATTTAGCAAAAGTAATCGGTGTTGGTTAAGAAATATTAAGACAAACTCTCTCTCATTACAGATGAATCATCAAGAGAAAAAGTAAAAAGAGAAATCGAAAGATTCAGTCTTCTTGATAAACAAAGTTCAGAATTCCACAAGATCAATTCCTATTTAGATGAAGTCTTCAGTATTCCATTTTCTAAATTCACTGTAAAACTAAATTCCTACTATCTTTTAGCCTGTTTAATGGGATATCCAATACGCAAAAGATGTTCTAAACAAAGAAATTGAGGGATTGGAAAAGGTGAAGGAAAGAATTATCGAAATGATTTCAGTCAATAAATTGAAGAATTCAGGTTAAAAAGCCAAAGGTTTTATTCTCTTATTGAACGGTCCCCCAGGAACTGGTAAAACATCAATTGCAAAGAGTATTGCCAAGGCCTTAAAAAGAAATTCAAGATTCATCTCTTGTGCAGGTGTTGCTGATCCAACATTCTTTAAAGGACATAAAAGAACCTATGTTGATTCAATGCCAGGAGTATTTATTAGAGAACTAATAAAATCAAATACAATGAATCCTGTCTTTATTTTAGATGAATTGGATAAAGTCTCAAAACATCATGCTGGTGGATCAGATCCGTATTATACGTTACTGGAGATTTTGAATCCTGAAGAGAATCATAACTTTACAGATCACTATATGGATATCAGTGTAGATTTTTCACATGTGATCTTCATTTTAACATCGAATGACACACTCTAAATGTTAGAACCACTTAAAAATAGATTAGAAACAATTGATGTCTAAGCATATATTTAAGAAGAAAAATTACAGATTGCTACTAATTTTCTTGTTAATAAAAGCATAGAAAGTAATGGAATAAAATAATAGATGATTAAATATGATAATGAAACTCTGACTAAAATAATTAAAGCATGGTGTTATTAGGAGAGTGGAGTTAGAGAATTAAAAAGATGTTTGGAAAAGATTGCCAGAAAGCATGCGACTAATTTATTAACTGCTAATCCTAATCTATGTGAAAAGGTTGATGAATTGAATTAAGTTGTATTTGATCCTACAATTTCAAGTTTAGATTTAACCAAAGATAAAAACTTAGAACTTATATCCTAATATTTAGGGCCTCCTGTTTTTGATATTTAATTAGAATAGAGATCAATTAAAAAGTTTCCACCTGGCTAAGTTAACATTCTAACAGTTGGCGGTATGATAGGACATGTTTTAACTGTTGAAAGTTGTTTTGATGATAGTGAAATAGAAAAGAAAGGATAAATTGTAGCCTCTGGAAACATTAAATTAGTTTTATAAGAATCATTAAAATTAGCCAAAATAAATGCATTTAAATATCTTAATGAAGAATAAAAATTATTACTATCAAAATCAGCCATCCATATGCATTTTACTGAAGGAGCTACTCCTAAAGATGGGCCTTCTGCAGGCACAGCTATTACTACTGCCTTAATTAGTTTAGTTACCAACTTTACAGTCCCTAGTAATTTGGCTATGACTGGAGAAATCTCTTTGAATGGCTAAGTTTGCAAAATTGGTATATTCTATTTTTATATAAGGCGGTCTACAATAAAAGCTTATTGCTGCCAAAACACTAGATATAGTTGATATCCTTCTGCCTTATGCTAATTTAGGAGATGCTTTGAATTTACCAACTTAATTATTAAAGGGACTCAATTTGTATTTCGTGACTGACTATCAATAAATTTATGATTTGATTTTTGATTAATAGATTGGAAATGCTAATTATACAGTAAATACAATTAAGAATGGAATTTATGAAACAATTTAAAATAGATCAAAAGAGTAAATATAATAATCAATTAATTGTTGAATATGTAACTGAATCATTATTATTATTGAAATTCTTGTAATATTTATTAGTTTTATTCTATAATCTTTTTCATATAATCGTCATCTATCTCTTAATTAACATCGATCATCTAATATTAATTGTCTGTGTCTTCGAAATTGTTCTCTTAAGTATAACTATGAATATTGTTTTCTTCTGTTCCAATAAACAATGCTCTATCCAAATAGGCTATACATTTAAATGTTTCAGGTTTTGTAAATTTAGATATGACCTTTTTATTTGGATAATCCCAAGTAAGAAGTAACCCAGTTCCTATGCTAACTAAATATCCAGTTTCAGGAATGACTAACAATTTTTAAATGGGATGGTCTAATCCTGAAAAATAAGTCAGTGCTTAATTATTATTGAGATTCCATAATCTTATCGTTTTATCATGAGAACCACTAAATAGGATTTTACCATCCAGAGCCAAACAAGTAATGCGTGTCTTGATGTCCAACAAATGAATCATCATGTTCATAAGTGAACATATTTAATTAGATAAATTGTACATTTATTTCCAGCTGCAATAATTCTCTTTGTTGTCTTATCAAATAAGAGACATAGAATTTCATTGCCTAATGAATCTGCAGTTGCTTTAGGATTGGCTAACAAAGACTATTTTAATTAAGGCATAATGTAACTAGCCATTAATCGTTGTTTACGTTCAAAGATCTCCCAAACATTTATTCTACCATCATAACCACTACTAAACATATATTCTTCACTATCAAATGTGCAACTTGTTAATGCACAAACAGTATTGTTATGTCTAGATTTGGCTTTACTTTAATCAATAATCAAAAATGATCCTATTTCTATATTCCACAATCTGATTTCACCATTATCATGTCCAGTTGCTACTAGATTAGCATTTGTTAGATAATGCATACTTGAAACTTCATTCTTCTCGCCAGTTTCAATTGTAGAAATACAAGACATATCTTTTGAATCCCAAACTCTTATGGTATTGTCCAAAGAAGCTGATACCAATTTCTTTGGTTCAAATTCTTAAGGACAATCTATACCTAATATTTCAATAACTGGTCCTTTGTGTTAATCTAGAAGGTTTCCTGTTCTAACACCCCTCTTGATTCTCAAAACATCAATAAACTATTCGGTATATACAACCAATGCTTCCAAATGGTCTATAAATATAGATTTAAAATGTACCTATAAGATCTATTCCTAAGATTTTGCATTCGTATAATTTGAATTCTAGAACCTATTTATCACTTGAGATGTTCATAAAATATACTCTGCCTTATTCATCAGATGCAATCAATTCTTGATGGGTTTGACTCCATCTGATTGATGTAAACAGACATTTATGGGGATTCTTATAACTAAAGAATTTACCACCAGATTCACCATATCCTAATATTTTTTAATCATAAGCGATTGAGAATATTGCATTGTCTTTTTCTACTTCTATAATCTAAATCACATGCAATCGATGGAAAGAGAAGAAACTTTTTTCTAGTTTTACATAAGTCTATTATTATTGGAGAGTTGGTTGCGAATTCATAAATAAATGTAATGAGCCATCAGTATCACCAGCATAAAGCTAAAATTGAGGCATCTTTACTAAAAAGGCAGTTATATAGGATTGCTGATTCAAGGATTTCTTCATAGAGAAATCATAAATTATTTACACAGTCACGAACCATGGATGATACATGAACTCTCGTCCACTCTCTTATTTCCAAATCCTTAGTACTTTATCATTACTAGCTGAAAATAAACTATTTTAAGCAAATGCAATTGCCATAATGGATCCAGTGTGACCAAATAAAGTCTATATACACCCTTTTTTGATATCGTTTTCCCATAATTTTATAGTACGATCAGCACTTCCTGTGAATATATAATAACTGTCAGAGAATTTCTCAATTATCAAACATCTGATTTCTCCTTTGTGATTATTTTTATTCTCCACAGGCTTTAAGATTTCATAATCTTTGGATTGTAAGAAATGCTTGGTATCAAATCCTTTTTTTCGAAATTGCATCATTTATCCATTGCTCAAACCAAGTGTTATTGCTTAATCAGAGTAATGATAGGCAGTAATTCTTGTTTGAGGATCTTCCTTAAATTTTGATTTCTTCTCATAAAACAAAGGATCCGTAAACTTTTTGACTCTAATAAATTCCATTATTTTATGTATTGAAAATAATTATTATATTTTTGTTATTCATATTATATATCATGCAAATAGAACTAACAAATCCTTAGGGGTGATGTATTTGAGTTTATCACCATCCTCAACAAAGACTATTTCATGTCTCTCTGCAATTCTCTCTAATTAATTTAGATCAATTGTATTTGGAACAATCACAAATTCTTTTGAGTGAACTTTCTTAGCAAGGTCAGCCTAACATAATATAACTTAAATACATGATTCAATTTCTTATTAACAATTCCAGCCAATATCTTCTTCTAGAAAACAACTGACAATAATTTGCCATTCTCTTGGAGTGGAACAGCAGGGTGTGTCTTTAAGATTTCCAAGCATTATCCAACTGTGGCTGTTGCAACATCCAAAGGTTGAATTTCATGCAATTGCAAATCAGTAATGGGTCTTCCAGCTAATGGATGTTCAGGTTCTTTCAATTCATCATAAGGAAGGAATTTATTTTCAATCATCCAAGTCTTGCTCAAGTGTTTGGTCATGTAATTTCTAATGTTATCAGGTAAAATGATGACAATCTAGATTTATAATTAGAAATACTCTTTGATTCTCAGTGAAATTTTGAGTCTTGGCCCATTCCAAAGCTCCCCAAACAGTTGCACCTGAAGAACCACCGCATAACAATCCTTCTTGAGATAATAACTTTCTTGCCATGATCAAACTGTCAATATCAACTGTTTTAATCCAGCCATCAACTTCAGTCTATAAAATTAGTTTATGATTTTACTCTATCTAAGACCTTGGGAATAAAGTCATAACCAATGCCTTCAACTTTATATGTTTTGATGTCAGTCTTATTAACCTCCTAAGGTAAAGCCAAATCAGATCCATAGGGATCCACAGCGATGACTTTACATCCTGGAATTCTTTCATGGATTTTTCTGCCAACTCCAGTGATGGTACCACCTGTTCCTGTTGAAATAATGACAGCATCCAATTTATCATCACAAGCCCACAAGATTTCTTCAGCTGTGCCTTCATAATGAGCCAAAGGATTGGATGGATTGGAGTATTGATCTAATAATATGACATTGGGATCATCTGTTGCCATCTTCTTAGCCACTTGAATCAATGATTCAGGTTCATACCAAGCAGCTTCTGTTGGTGTTCTAATGACCTTAGCACCTAGACCTGTGAGGACATCTTGTTTTTCTTGGGACATCTTCTCAGGCATGGTAATGACTAATGGATATCCTCTAACAGCACAAGCCAAAGCTAATCCGACTCCGGTGTTTCCAGAAGTGGCTTCGACAAGGGATTTGCCTGGTCCAAGACGACCTTATTTTTCAGCATCCAAAACCATTCTAACACCAATTCTATCCTTGAGTGAGCCACCCACATTCAAAAATTCACATTTAACAAGCACTTCGCATTTTAAGCCATACTCTTTTGGGATTTTATTTAAACGAACCATAGGAGTATGACCTACAGCATCGAGTGCGTCATCGTAAATCTTTTTGAAGGGAACAAATTCTATGTGTGAATGGGGTGTTTGGGGTTATTCATTTGCTCCTCTTTTGTAGGTGCATTGGATTGAGTCTTTAGATAAGTCTTGAATCATTAATTAAATATGAATTAGTTTTAATCAATTAGGGAAGGCTATGAATAAATTGGCCATGAATAATATTACCAAGAATACGGCTCTAATTATAAAAATCCTCATGAAGATAAAATAAAGTAGGTCCTTTTGATGGGCCTGACAAAATGGAAACCTAAACTTATCAAAGTTCTTGATTTAGCATGTGGAAGTGGAGAAATCACTCTGATTCTCAAATCTTTGGGAGTCAAAAACATTGTGGCTATTGATCCTTACACTATGGAAGCATTCAAAAAACGAACTGGAGAAGAATGTCTACCTATTTCCTTTGAATAAATTGCAGATGGACAAATCGGAGATCATGAATATTCATTAATCATCTGTAGTTATGCCATGCATTTGGCTGATGATTCCTTATTGCCAGGATTATGCATGCAATTGGCCATGATTTCCAAACAAATGATCATACTGTCTCCTCATAAGAGGCCAGTTATTAAATGGGGATGGAATCAAGTTGATGAAATTATTAAGGATAAAACCCATGCTCGTTTCTACACTTCAACATATTTGTGATTTCATATTATCATTTTCTTAGTAAAAATACCATTACAATTTATGTGTTCTAGCTATAACATTGGTAATATTAGAATTTAAGCTTTTGTTGTCTTCTCAGAGTGGTTGCTCTAATTCTAAACATATTCTACAACATTATATTGTTTTCTAAAATTGAGACAAAAATATTAATTATTTTATCTGATTTCAGAATTCTATAGTCACAAAATCAACAATATTAGAATCAATATTAAAACTTTTTTGTTATTATATAAAAATTAGTTTTATATATTAATATTATTCAAGTAAATCTTCAATCCACATTGATGTTTGTATAAATATATCAAGCATAAAGACTTTGATGGCTTTTGAAAATGAGATGTTTAATTATAACATTAGAATTTTTAGTTTTAGAGTCTTATAAATTCTTGAAAATTCCTAATATTATTATAATGTCAAATTAAGAGATCAATGAGCTTCCCCCTCTCAAGGTCAATGTGCCATCGTTCCTTTTAAAAACATACGAGATACTAGAAGTAATAAATTCATTACATTTCGAGAATTCAACACTATCGCACATTATTGGGTGGAATCAAGAAGGAAATGCATTCATCGTTTTCAACACGAATGAATTGGCATCCAAAGTACTTGCCAATTACTTCAAACACAAAAACTACCCAAGTTTTCTGAGGTTGTAGTGCTTTTTACATTAGATAGTTGAACATGTACAATTTTAAGAAGACAAAAAACTAATATGGGTAGAGTGAATTCAGACACAAATGGTTTAGAAGAGGCCTCAAGTAAGAAATCAAAATAATTCTGTTTTTAGAAGTATGCTCCAATACATTCGTAGAAGAAACTAAGAGGAGTCAGAACAAAAAATAGAAACCAAAGACAATAACTAGGAACTAGAAAACTACAAAAGAGAACACGAGGAGATGAGACAAATAGTGAGAGACATTTAAAATTCATAAACTAAAATGCAAGCTGACTTTACAGCTTCAGCTGAATCTAATGCCACAGTTAGCCGTTCAAATCACTCCATTTCATAAGTATTGAGATCATCCCTAAAAAAGTGTATAAATTAAATGCAACAACAGTTCAATAAAAAATTTGATACGATTTCCATTCTTCTAGCAAAAATTGTGTCCAATCTCCCTCAAATTTGTATACAATTCATTGATCTAACAATATAGCACTTTAGATAGGAGATATTCTCAAAAATTCATACGAAGAGCACTCTCCTGGCAGATCTGAATCCAATTACATTGTACCATATAACGAAAACAACCAATATAATTCAATCGGATCGCCCTATTCACATTATCAGTATAACAGTCCAATCCACTATCTTTTTTCAAGGCAGAATTAATGTAAAAACACTAAATATGCAATAAGAGTTCTCAGAATTTTGTTTCTAGTTTGATCCAAATGTTTTTACATACAACCGTCAACAGTAGCAATAGCAATTAGCATTGCCTGCTCCCAATATCAATTCATATTTACGTAAGAAATGAAACCTAAACCTAATATAGCCAGCAATAACTACTCTTTGTAATCAAGTTTGTAGAACTCCCCATATAGAATAGCCAGTCCATCTCATACATCCACAACCGATTCTAAAGATCCCGATAAAGTAATTTCTTAATTTACCTTAAATAGTTCAGTCTCTATTAGCCAGCATGAAAAAGGTTATTGTGCTTATGAATATTTAATTATTTAATAAACTAAATCAATAACCTTTTGTACTAAAAAGCGATTCTAAATTTAAGATTATTCTTAAAATAATCGCATCACATTACTAATTATTCGATGCCTTCGGTATCCCTTTAATCCAAATACTCAAATAGAGTCTTCAAAAATCTTCAATCTACTAAAATTAAATGAGTTTCTAATTTTAGAATATAATATTATTTGGATTACTAAATTCAGAATCTTACATGTCTTATATCTTGAGGAATCAGTATATATCACATTAGTGATTATATTATTCACTTCTAAAATTAAATTAAAAATGAATCAAATTTCCCACAACATCCTGGTTCAAAAATTAATCGATTATAAGCTAAGGTATTTGAAATTAATAACTGATTCCCAGAAAAAACAAAAACAAGAGAAAGTCGAGTCCTTAGTTTTCACCTCCCAAGATGCCGATTTCTCAGAGATAGACATCTTTTTCCAATGGTCATGCCTATTCCGTTCATTAAAAATTGAAATCAATTCAAAGTGAAGAGAAAGTATTCATTCCTCAGGCTATACCACAGTCCCTGATTTGCTCGATCTCTTAAGCCAAATGTTCCAAATCATATAATCATATGAACAATAGGCAAGCCATCTCTGGTCCAAAAATCTTGAGATGTTAAAGCAGATCAAGATTCCTATCCTCCAAGAAAACGAAGATTTGAAACAGACTGTGGAAACCTTAAAATATAATGATATTCAAAATAGTGTGTATGGATAATTGAAGGAGTACGATTAAGTCTAAAAGCCAAAGCCTAAGCTCATTGATTTAAAACACATCAATAGAGATTCAAATTTTCAAGAGGAATTCTTGTCCAAAGTAAATGAATTCAGTCTCTCCTGGCGACAAGAAGTACAATAGCTTAAATAAATATGAAAATATTAAATATCTAATTATATTTACAATATCTAGAATATAATGCGATTTGTATTTATTTAAAATTCGATTGGCTTATATTTTGTTCATCTCAATTTTATAATATTTGATTTTTAAATTTAGTTGTGCATGTTAAACAAATTTCACAACTAAATTTAATTTTGAAAACACTAATAATAATAGCAGTAGATAATGATTATTTGTATGCTCTTTTTATAATTAACTCACATAAATGGTAGCCTCTTAATAAAATCCTTGAAATCAATATGATATTCAGGAAATTGAGGGATTTAGATGAACATTCCATTCTCAACATACGGGTTTCCTATCATCGTAGAGAATTTATTCCCCTATCTCTACTTATGACGAGGATCAGATTTGCATCTCACATACACCTTCTTACCTTTCCTTTAGAAATAACAATGTTCACACATCTTTTTCAAAGCACTTTTCACTTTCATTATTTAATTATATTAATGATAATTTTATTTTCATTGATACCAACATTGTATTGCTTTTATTCCAAGGGTATTCTTGATCAAGATCTCAATCATATCATGAACGAGTTGATAAATGGTTCATTACCTTAAGGTAGGTTATCAATGAAAGATGTGGAAAATTTATTTGCAGAACTTGAAAACTCAACTAACCTTGTTCATTCCTAATCGATTGGATAATCTTATCTTAATAAAACCATTAATTCTTATTCATTATGCTCTAATTTTAGCAAAGAAAAACCAAAGATGCTTATAACTAGTTTGCATCATTCTAGAGAAGTAGCTAGTTTGTAGATGAATATATACTTGTTTCTCTATATTTTATGGGAAGTAAAACATGAAAAGAATCCCTATTATATTAATATGATTACTCATAATTGCATTATGTATCTTATTGAGTTATAAATAGGATTGTCCCATTTGTTAATATTGACGGATACAATGAAATTGAATCTGAATTGAATAAGCATATTTACTAACCCTAAACTAGAAAAAATCTCAATCGAACTATTAATTGTTATTAATAGGGTGAATTAGCTGGAATAGATTTAAACAGAAACTATGGATATCATTTTGCCTATGATAATATAGGTAGTTCTAATGATCCTTGTGATGAGACTTATAGAGGAAGTGCTGCTTTTTCTGAAAAGGAAACTTAAGCGATCAAAAATGTTGTTGAAAATTATAATATTAAAATGGCCATGAATTTGCATTGTTTTGGAAATTTATGGGTCATACCATATAGTTATGATAATGAAGAATTAGATAAAGATGGAGTTCCATATTTGATTTATGAAGATTTTAAGCAAAAAGGAGAATTTTAAGGGAGATACAAAATAGGACATGCAATAGAATTAGTCTAATACACTGCAAATGGTGAAGCTGCTGATTGGATGCTTTCTTAAGGTATAAACTTAAACCTTATTTATTTTAGGAGTCATTGCTATTAGTCCAGAATTAGGAGAATAAGCTTACTCAAATTTTTTTTAAAACTTTTATCCCGATAAAGAATAAACGATTAAATTATTCAAAACTGAATTTCCTCCTTTAATTCACTTTATTAAGTACTTGCCTTTTCAACCCTTTATCAAAAATGTATACTAATATGACTTGGATGATATTGAGAGATTTAAAAAAGAATTTTCTCCAAATCAATATATTGTTGAAATTTAATGCATCAATCATGGTGTATCCAATGGCAATAATTAATAATTTGTTGTTTCTAATACTGTTTAACTTGTTGAGGCATATTCCATGGATATTAAATATCAAGAGGAATTTGATAGGGAACATATTGATACGAGTAAATTAAGTATCATAGAATTTTCAAACAATACCTTCTCCAATAATTAGTTCAAACCTCGAAGTTAAATGGTTTATTTTTTAATTTTACAGGAATCTAATCTTGGAAATGAAGTGAAATTCTATTTTAATTCGCATGGAGAAGACAATTAAACTAGTAATTATAAAAAATAAATTGTAGCTTTGATTCTTAAGAATCTTCAATAAGAGTAGAACTAATAAAAAGTCATCTAATATTAGAAACTTTAGACCTTATTTTATATTGGCGTTTTAATAATTTTAATAATTGCAATATGGATTATTCTCTAGCGTGTTACTAAACGAGCAGATAACGATAAAAAATTAAACATTACAGAATTAATTGAATAAAAACCTGAACAAATTGAGTTAAATGTATAGATATGATTAAGTAATATCTCAGTAATTCCCTTCCAATATATATTCGTATAATCTATTGATTTTTGATTAATTTTTAATTTCCTACTTCCCTTAAGTATGTGCTCGATTTCCTTTTGAGGATTTCAAGTGTTATTTAGTTTTAATTTTCTCAGTGCTTTGTGATCTAACTTTTTTATTTTATAACTCTATTTTAACAATTTTATTTACTTTCTTCTGCATTTACTAAAGAAAAATAACAATGCTTAATTGGTAATTATGATAAATTAACGTTAGTTTGAAATTCTATAGGCTAAATTTATTTAGAGCTGTCCTTTTTCGCAGGGTGGTAATCTTGTATTCTACTGACATTAACTTTATATTGTTCTTCATTATTAACCTATTCTTGGAAGTTTTAAAATTGTGTATTATTTTCGTCTTGCTGTTAAACTATTTATTATTTTTAAGTTTTTTTAATCAAAGAGGATATGGGCATTAATATTGATGGATCAGAAGATCGTTTCTGAATTAGGATATTGTGAGCTAATATTGATTTTGATTATTGATTTGAATTGTTGGTTAAAATAGCTTTATTCTAAACTGGTCTTCCTGCTTTTTTTTCAGTATCTCTTTAATTATATAATCTTAATTCATAAAGGTCTTATACCTATCATATACAGATTCTTATCTAATTCTTTAACTGCTCATTCCAGATTTTTCTGACTGTTTCTATTAAGAACTTGTAATGTTTTCTTTATCTCTATATTTAATTACATTGTCTCTCTTGATATTTAGTTTAATGTCAAAATTCTCTAGCTTTGGAACGAGAACCTAAAATTAAATAATTTTAATTACTTTTTAAGATTAATAGGTTGACAGAGTTGTTTATTTTGCTTCATTCGTCTTGAATTATTGATATTTCTTCATTAAGTCTTATCTTGACTATTTTATATCATCCCATTTATTAGAATCGTTTACATGTTGAATAGATTCAAAATTGCCTAATGAACTGAAACATTATTAGGAGCTTTATTTCTTGTCATAGAATCAAAATTTACACTTAAAACATAAAAGTCTTTTGCCATTTATTCGTTGAAAATTAGAAAAACAATTATAATATATTTAACAACTATATAAATATTAAATTTTATTATAAACTATAAACCTCTAAATGAGATTTCACCTTTAACAAAGCATTCAAACAATGGTTTTCAGATTTTATTTTTCTTTTAAGTAATATTGTTAATGATTTTCTGTTAAATAATTTATTTTTTTGAAGAATAAGTGTTAATTGTAATAGCATATATTGGATAGAATAGGATACTATAATGAATTGATATTTCATTAAATATCTTCTATATATTAAGAATTTAAATATAGAATTATGATCATATTTAATATAATTATAAAATGTATTATTCTAGTTCTCAAGAATCTGTTGAAAAGTGTATAAAGAAATTAACAAATAAATCTACCTTTCTATACAATCCAATGAATTAATCATGAATATGTATTTAAATCCATATTTTTTTCTGCTTTTGAATATGAGTATTAAATTTATAAAATTTATATGTTAAACATTAGTGATTTGAAAACTGATTTGCAACAAAAATTTTAGGCTGTTGACAGTATTGAAGTACCTCAAAAATATATTTCAGATCTTCATAAGACAATTAAAACTCTAACTAAATTGTTAAAAATTAGAATAAGAACTGATATGCCACAATTAAGCATTAATCAATTTAAGGACACAATGTCAGAATTAATAAAAATCTCAAAATAAATGGCTGAATAAATATTGCATAAATAAACATAATCATTGCAGGAAACATAAAGGTAAAACGATTTGGAGAAGAGACTTTTGTTTTTAGAGGAAAATGTTGGAAGTTAATTGAAAGAACTTACTTAAGTAATAATTAAAATAATTATAAGTAAAATATTGATTTGTAAAACTAACTTGATTCTATGTTAAGAGTAAAGGAAGAATACGAAAATCAATAATTAAAACTCAAGGAAATTGAATTATAAAATAAATAGTTAAAGCATGAAAAAGACTAATTAAAATCCTAAAATAGCAATTTACAAAGTTTGATTAGATAACTAAAAGAAGAAAAAGGCAGTAAAATTGAAAAGAAACTAAAGACTCTAAAGGAAGAAGTTTCTCATGTTAGTTAGGATTATTAAAAAAAGTTGGAAGAAAGAGATACATACATAGAACGATTAGAAAAAGAACTTTAAATAGTTAAATCAGAGCTCGAAATGAGTGAAGATTATAAAATGCTCACTTAATCATCAAAGAAATTGTCAAAATCTCCAGAAAAATAATTTTGATTAATTAATAAGTATTTTTAACAATTATATTTTATATTAATTTAATTAGGTGATTTAGAAATATTTAAACAATACAATAAATTTGTGATGTCAATTTATTGAGCAATTTATTATTAATACTACCATAAAATATAAGTATAAGTATTAAATAAAAAATCTATAATTTACGATTTTCTAATTAAATTATACGATAATTTATATAAGACTTACAATAAGAAGTTTAAAAAATGATAACAAATTAATTTTTCACAACTGCTTTACCTAATTAAAATTAGTACTCCTGATTTATGAATTATTTTCATGCAAATTTTTATAATCAAGCATATTCGAAAATAAACTAGCTGTAAATAATGCTGACTAATTCATTTTTTTATACATTGACTCTACTTCTCTTTTAGATTTATTCATTAAAACTGATCTAGCACTAGAAGATGTTTTTAACTAATATTTCATAATATAATAGTACTGGCATTTATGACTCTAAGGTATTGTTAATATTGTTGAACTTCTTGTCACTCAAATATGCGTTTAACTATCGAGAAGTATCATTGCTATCATCTTGGACTAATATAGGATCTTATTTTGATAATCCACTATTAGGAGTTCCTAATAGATTTTGCTTTTTCTAGCATTTTTAAATCTTCCCTTAAGTTTTCTAGAGAACACTATTCTGCTGTGTTAATTTAGCAATAAGTTGGTCCTTCTCAAATAATTAGATTTAATATTTTTTAATCTCTGCTTATTAATATAATAGTCTTTTAGAACAAATACAATTCTTATCGCAATTCTGTAGTGAAGTACTAGAAATACCTTAACCTGGTTAAGTTTGATCTGCTTCGTTTAAAAAATTATCAAAGGAAAGCCTTGAACTGCCTTTCCTTTCGCAACTCAATGGATTATTCATCAATGACTCGATTTGATCTTTCAATTATTTATTCTCAGTTTATAATTTTTCTATAGTGTCTTTAAACTAATTTATATAGAAGTATTACTTTAACAGATGCTATTTTCAATTAAGTATTTTCATTCTGAAATAACGTATTAATTTCTTATTATTGTTTCATGTCAAATTAGTTAAATTCGTTTTTTTCAGCATGTTCCTTTAATTATTTTTGGGTATTTTTCTTATCTTCTTCAAGTTAGGCAAAGGCTGCTTTCAGTTCTTCATATTTTTGTTATTGTGAAAAAAGAGCATTAGCTAATTACTCATTACTAAGTTCCTTTATTTTAATTTGTCTTTGTAAATCTATTATTTATTATTTTAAGGTTTCTGTTGTATCAAAGACATTAGAATGGAACATTTGATCTTTAGAGTCTAACTTTGGTATTACTTTCTTATATTGATAGTCATCATAAACACTAACTAAAAATTAAAATTAATAGTACAGTTCTAGCCAGACTTATTAGGGCAAGAATTATTTATGATGGATTACTTATCAAAATTAAAATTTTGTGTACTATTTTTTGGATTCATTTCTAGTTTATAGTTTAATTAATATTTTGATTAAAAAAGTTCCAAAAATTGCTATTTTAGTTTCTAAAGAGTACAACTAAGCAATTAAACATCCTCCTGTCATTGTTTCGAATCGATAATGTTATTTCAAGGAATCCCTTTTTTTTATATATAAATAGTATTTAATCGATTTTCTAAATTAAAAATATTATTTTGTCAAGCATAAATATATAAAATTCATTCTAAATTATTTAGTTATTTTTACTAAATGAGTAAGAATAATAGAGTAGATAGTCTAAAATTTCACAATTAAATCCAGACTTTTTTTCAGCATTAACAGCATAGAGGAAGGATTTCATATCAAAGTATTGACTAGATCGAAAATCAATATTTTGATTTAAAAATATGGTATACTGAACTTTTCTATGTAGCTTAATTGGTTGAGTATTATGATTTTCACAAAGACCCTATTAAAAACTATTTCCTTGATAAAATTTAGTTTGTGCTTTCTCGATCAGATAAAATAAAATCTATGGTATAGCAAAAAATATCTTAAGAGGAAGAGGAATAATTGTGTTACATTAAGCTTTAAACTCCTAAATATTTGACTGTTTCTAGAACCTCTTCAATTACTGAATTAATAGATCGCGAAAATGTTCTAATAGGACTTGAGCTTAATGAAAACCATTAGAAATCAAGAGGATAACAAATGAACTTGACTTTATAAATTTAGATGCATAAGAAAGAGCAAGAACCTTCTTTGGATAAATTAATGTCTGTAATTTTAATTATTAATATAGGATTATAAATCAGAGACTGAAAGAATGGATCATTATAGAAAATCAGAAATGAAAATTTAAGATGAAGCTGTTAAATTCAAATTAGAATAAAGACGGAAGAAATTAATTAACTAGTAAAATAGGATTTTTAGAACAGAAGCTTCTGATGATGAATCAACTCCTTAATTGCATCACTTGATTGAAATTTATCTACAGATTTCTTACAAATATAATTGCTCCTATGTTTACTCAAATTATTTTGTAAAGAAAACTAAGATTGTATCTTGGACCTCAGATAAATTATTTTGTAAAAATGTTTTTTGAATATAATAATACACAATTTACAAAATACTTTAAAGGCCTTTCTTTTTTCCGTCCATAAAATCCAAGTTATGATAACGGTATTTCAATTTGTTACATCAAAGTATTGATCTTAGATATATCAATTTAAGACATAACAATTTATTTAATTTAATAGTTTATTATAAGCTGTTACAATATTTCAGAATCCTTTTTACATAGTCAATGATCCTATCTTGATTCTAACCTTAAGTTTGAAAGTATTCTCATTTCGAATCATTTTATCATTCTATCCTAAATCGAGCACAATTATTATTATTGTATTATTCATTAAAATTATTATATTGGATAATTCTTTTAATATAAATTACTATGTATCCAAAACAAAGAGTCTCGACTAGACCAATTACCTCCAATCCTGTTTTAAGTAAGTTTTATTATAAGTAAGGGAAAGAGAGTTAATTCGTTGAATTAAAAAGGCTTAATTTAAGACATCAATAAATCTGTTTAATTGGATGTAAGAATTTTTGATTTATGTCAAGGTTGAAAAAACAAAACTAGAAATGCTATTCTTGGTTGATGTGGAAAGGAAAAAAACAGAGACAAATAAATAAATTATTCATTAAGCATTTCTAGAATCTCAAGACCTACTAAATGAAGCAAATAATAAAAAGTTAGCAATAATATAATAATAAAATGAAGGCACTTTATAACAAATAATACAAAATAATCAATAAGAAATAATAAAATTGCATAAATATTATGAGTAATAGATTGAAAAGATCAAATAATAGTATGCTTCAAAAGAGGAAGAAGAAAAATTTAATTATTAAAATAGCTTATAATAGTTAAAGATTTAGATTTAGACTAATTTTGAGTATCAACTTGAACAATATAGATAATAATTTTTAAGAGAAAGAAATGAAATCAATGAAAGACACACTTGGGACATTTAGAGAATAAAAGAAAAAAATGAGTAATAAATAAAGTATGAATTTACCATATCTGAAGAATTATTTTTGATAGACTCAGTAGAGAATACGACACAAAAATGAATGATTAACTTTATTAACTAACAAGTAGTTATGAATGCAAGATTGATCAACTAAAACAATAACTTACTCACATTGAATAATAAAGGTAGGTTTTAGATGATCAACTTCGAATAATACAAAAATAAAATAGTGATAAAATAGAAAAATAAGAAAGGACTTATTCAAATGCTTCAGTTTAAGCTTCAACCCTTTTGAAAGATTAAGATATTTAAACGGAATAATATATTCATATGATTGAACCTTTATATTGTACTAATTATGAAGAGATCATAACAAAGAACAACTAACTGAAACAATTGAATTTTGATTTAACATCTTAGAATTAGGATTTAAAGGCCAATATTCAATTTTTAGAATAATTAGTGAATAAATACTAAAATTTATTTGATTGAAATTAATTAAATTTACTAAACTTATTATTCTACATTCTAAATATTTTTTAAAGAACATTGTTGTTTTCATATTATTATATCTGAAACCTTTCAGTAAAAATCACTTTTTTGATTTAGATTTTGTTGAAGAATAGTTAATGTTTGAATATTTAGTATTTTCCAATTAAGCTTGAAGTTATTAACAAGCTATTCTGATATCATTTCTTTTTCTTCAAATAAAATACTAATTAAATAAATTGAGTAAAAATACTAAGCTATTGTTATACTACATAATATCAGCTAATTGTTAAAATATTGCTTTTATATTAAAATTATATTAACATCATCTTATAATAATAGGATTTATTAATATAATCTTATAATAATAGGATTTATTAATAAAAACTTATAATAATTGGATATATTCACTTAATAGATATCTTATTTGGAATCTTCAGTTTGAAATTAGCATTTATATTGAATGTGTGTTACATTGTAAATTCTTAACTTAAACTTAAATATCCATATATCTTTTTGATTTCAACCTCAGTGAATTATATATATATTATTAATATAATTATATATGCAAGACAATCGAAAATAAATACTAAAATCCTAAGATTCTGATAGTAGCATGAAGAATACAGCCAATACCATAACAAAAATAACAAATAAAAAAATACAACAGTTGGCCTTTTTAAAATAATTTCCTTTATAAAGAAAATCTACTGTTGTTGAAAAAGTGAATAAGTTAATAGATAAGACATAGAGTAAATTGAAGCATCAATAAATACCAAAGGATGTACAGTTTTATTAAAGAAATATGAAAAAATTTGAGAATTTGTCATCCTTCATTAATTCTAAAGGGCTTTTGTCTGCTAATTTTAGTATGCCTAAATTGCCAGTAAGAGAGTAAATAAATGATTAAGAACATGAGTATGTGGATTACTTACTTGCAAAAAGTTGTAAATTTTAAATCATTTTAGATAAACTATAGTAAGAAGGACAGAGAAAAAAAAGTAAATAAGCGAAAGAAAACTATGAGTAGTGCTGGGAATTAGAAAATTCTGATTATGATTTTGAGTCTCCAATCAACGTCGGAAAAGAGTTAAACATAGCGCATTAAGATCAAATAAAAGGAGAAATAGAAGCAAAAGCAAAATTGTGGGAAATTTAATAAATTCGTAAGTATAAAAGGAAAACAACAAATGTTGAATTCAAGAGTTCTTAAAAATCCTCTTACCATAATGTTGAAGATGATGATGAAATAGTTGAAGGTTCTGGTCATTTGAATGCATAAAATTATAAAGAATAATCAGATAAGGTAATTAAAATGATTTGGACTGCAGCAAAGAAAATATATAATAAAAAATAGGATCAGATACAAAAAGAGATCCTTATGTAAAAAATAGCAAAAAATTACAGATAAAAGTAAAGGGATATGGCTAAGGAAGAAATTAATAAAATCTTAACAAGTATTATTATTATGTAAAATTTAGCTGGTTAAAAACCACATTTGACCTTTGCTACTACGGTAAGGCATCTGCCTAATAATAGTGACTCTAAATTGAATACCGATCAATATTTTAGAAAAAAAGGGCAAACTTGTCGCAAATTATATGCCCCATTTTCTTTAACTCCACAACATCAATAGGAGGAAATAAAATCTAATAGAAAAATATCATTGATTAATTCGAGATTGCATGATATTGTTAATCAAATTGACAACCTACCTGTTGGAGACCAGACTCAGACTATTAAGAAAATGGAAAGTGAACAAATATTGTACTTTACGTTGAGGGACACTCTATAGCCAGATCAAATCAAAGATACTTTAAAAGGACTGTTTCATTCAACAGATCATTTATATAAAAAACCTTTGAAATACAACAAGAAACACTTCTAAAATTAAATCTTATGACTCTACTTTTTATATAGTAAATGCAGATATAATTAATTGATTTTTACTATTAATTTTATTCACAATCAAATGTCTTCAGGAGAATAAGCCCAGGAGAAGAAAACTTTGTTTTCATCACTTGTGTAGAAAAAGTAGGCGGAGACTGATGCATAAAAAATATAAAATCGCATTTTATAATTGAAAATAGAACATGAAAAAGTGTTGAAACGCATTTAATAAGATGAAGAACGGGCTGATGAAATATATAAACACAGAGTGGAAATCCAATTAAAGGTTCATTATTATTTGGTATTATGTTTAGAAAGAAAATAAAATAAAGTAAAAATAAGCATAGCCTCCTCCATTCTCACTGGCTGTATCTCATCATCAAAGACAAATTCTCAAGAAGATAAAGGGTGATGAGATCTTAAAAAAGAAATCAGAAGCAAAACTGTTTAGAGAATAACTAAAAAAAGATTTTTAGAGTGTTTAAATGCAAAAAAGCTTGGAACAAGAAGTTTATAGAATAAAGGCTATTTAAGTGAAGGAGGAAGAAAGGCAGTCGACTGAAGTAGCTGTGTTGAAATTGAAATAAAAAAGAGAAAAAGTTAGATATCAAATAGAAAATGAAAAGGATTAGATAATTAAGGAAAAGAAGTTATATGATTTTAAAATCTCAGAATTAGAACAATAAGAACAATTAACAATGATGGAGTTATAAAATTCGTTGGCTCATCAATCGTATGTTTAAAAGAAAATTGAACAAGCATAGAAATTATCTCCTAGTGATTACGAGAAATAATATCAAAACAATAAAAATTCCGAAACCACATAATGATAATTATTAATATTTTTATATGCTAAACGAGAGTTTGGAATCTGATCGCGAAATAGACCCAGAAAGAGAAAGACAAAAGCTTATGCTAAAAAGGCAGAAGTCAATCGAAGAGAGTCTCTAATTAAATGTTAAGGATCACATAGTAAAATTAGAAGTATTGATTAAACAATATTTGAAGAATTATTTAGCTGAACTTAAAAAAGACTTAGAAATCAGCAAAAAAGAGATGTCTAACTTAAGAATGGATATAGCAACAGTAAAAAATAATCACGGCAAATCAAGCGATGATCTATGTACTTTTATATAAAATGATGTATAACTGATAGTAATATATCAAGGCAAAAAGATAACTAAATGAGGCATTAAAGAAATCTTAAGATGCTAAACATGATGCTGAATTTTTGGATGCTCAATTAAATGTTTTAAAAAGTGATAAAGAGAAATTGCAAGATGTTACAGGAACATTAGAAAAGAGAATAATATCTTGTGAAACAGATGTTGGTTTTAAACACGTGTATGATTGAATATCAACAATATCACTTATTTAATCTAGATTTGACTTCTTCAATTATTCTTAAACTTTCATCATAAGTATAGGCCTATTTTGGCTTTTAATATACAAGTTCCTATAGTCTTTCCATTTATAAGGTTTACTCGCTTATAAATGCTTAACTTAAATAATAAGTTGGGATTTTCTCAACATTAGACTATAATTTAAATTAGAAATAATTTACTTTGATTTAATTAAATTCTTCCACAAACTCTCCGTCTTTAGCATCAATTTCCTTCTTGATTTCTTATTTTAACAACTATTCATCCCTCATGGCTTATAATTTGACTTCATTGCCATTAAATCTGTAATTTCTTATATCTTCTTCTTCTTTAGTCAATTTAATGCCTTATTATTCTAATTCTTTCTTTTTCAATTTCTCTGCATAGACAATACCTTTGATAATATTTAAATTGTTTGGTCTGGGTGTTCCTGGATTAATTTCTTAATCATCTTCATTCATAGTCTGACTTTCTAAAGATCTCTCTCTCTTTTGTAAAGGTGTTTCTGTATAAACTTAGCCTGTAGATAAATTTACTTTTCTTCTTGCAAATTCTTAGATGTCATCTTCAAAACTAGTGAGCGATTTCTTATGATAAGGTTGAACAATTGAATTTGAAGGTAAGAGAACTAAATTAGAAATATTAAAATACGCATATGCTTAGCTGTTTTAATGGATCTCGATACTTTTTTATGTTAAACCTCTGCTAAGTTGGTTTGATGTCTATTTTTTATCTTTCCACTTTTGTTCAAAAATTACACCAAGAATTCTGTATTTCTCCAATGGATATCATAATTGTTGACTCTTCTGATAGGTTTTCTTGGTTAGGGATGATGATGATATACGACTTCATCACTAACCAATTCATTTACATGTTCTAAGTGATCTTTCGTGTTTATTAAAATGTCTTTCTACTTATCATGATTCTTTAATTTCATATTATTTGGATATTTATTAATTGGAACATTAAATTAATCCTTACCGATATCTTACCTCAAAGCAATATCGACAATCTTTTAAACTGTGAATTCTTCTCCAGGAGCCATATAAACCAAACGTGCTTACTCATTATTTTTTAACAACTAAAAAAATGCATCATAACTTAATGGAATGCCTTTCTAAATTCTTTAATTATTTATATACATCTACACCATTTGTCAAAATCTCTTCTCTCGACAATCCAGTATCCTCTAAATCTTGCAATTTCTTAGTAATTTGAGTTTGGATTTATTTTAGTTACTCCTCTGATAAGTTTTTCAAAGCTCCTTTTGGACTCACATGTCCTTCAACAAATGTTTTAAACTTGCTTAATAACATTATGATATTACATTTTGATGTAAAGCATTTTCAAATGTTGGTACAGCAATGTCTTTATATCTCAAAAGGGACTTAATATAAGGCACTTCTTTAGACTATCTATGTAAAGTAGTAGGTGGTTTATGATCTAAAAATTAAGGATGGATTTTATCAAACTCAGGATTGGTTAGTAAGTCCTTCTTGATTTTTGAGAAGTGACGAGAGAGTCTTATAATTATCATATTTAAATAAATTAGAAATTTTATTGACTTTATTAATCTCAACTTTTAAGGGAGATCATTGACTATTTATTCACTTGTCTTGAAATCTCATTAGTAATAAATCAAATTGAGATGCTTAATGAAAATCAATTGTAAACTCTGAAGATTTAGGCTTTTAATGGATCAATTAACCACTCTTTGATATATATAAATCACATATATGGATTTTCAATTTCGACCATTCCATCAATCGCAAAACTATTTATCAAAGCTCCTCTGCAAATTACAAGTCCTAATATTCTTTGAGATGGCAATTCTCTCACTTCATCCAATACTAGATTGAGCAGATTATCAAATGATAATAAGGTTCCTTTGACTTGTCTTCCACCTTAAAATTATATTACAACTTCTTTGTTTATGTGTGATTACAACTTTATAATTGACTCTTTTGGTAATTAATTCATTAATTAATTTATTATTATGTCGACTATTAAACCATTCCAAATTTTCGATATTTTGGATTACAACAACATTAATTTAGACATCCTCACTGAAACAGTAACTATTAAACTAAATTTAGTTCAATGTTGGCTTCTATGGAAAGTACATTGCTAAATGGCCAGAATTTTGTATTTCCATAAAAAATCACTTTGGCAATTTCTAAGGATATTGTAAATACTTCTATTAATTTTTCAGTATTGGGAAAGATTGAAGGAGAAAAAACCAACAATAATAAGCAGAATTGGCATGGCCATATCAGCGTATATAAAATAATTTATATAGGCAATTACTGTAGCACCTGAATATAGAAGATAGGGAGTAGCAAGATTCCTGATGAATTACATTGAAGATGTAACAAATAGTTAAAATGGATGGTATGTGGATTTGTTTGTTCGACCTTCAAATAAAATTGCTGTGTTGATGTATTAAAATTTCGGATATGAAATATATCAGACTGTATACTAATACTATAGTAGTCAAAATGGAAAATACGAAGATGCATATGGTATTTGCCATTAATATCAAATTAGATATGAGGAAGTCTATGTTGAAGGATAAATAAAAACTAAAATAGAAACCTACTGGAAAAGTGATCAAACCAGAAGAATTGGAATTTAATTGAGTGCGTAAATTTAATATCAATCTATTAATAATTGTTAAGCAGAGTCTTGCAAAGTTCTTAACCAATATTATTAAAATTTGCTCTATAAAGTTAACAACTATATTAAATCACAATGAAATATCAAGCCTTCTTCTTTTTATAATTATCTACCATAAATTCAGCAAAGTAGGCACTCTAAGGATTCTTTTCATCATAAATGATATCTTCTAAATAAGATGTTCCCATATTGACCAATGATTCTCCATAGACTATCTCTGCATAGTTCAACTTCAAAATTGGAGTAGTTGGTAGCATCCAATAATACCATTTTTCATCACCCATGAATTACTTCATATTTTGCAAAAATGACTATTATCTCCCAAATTTGCCTTAGAAAGACTCAACCACTGTTTAATTGTCTCTAATTACTTAAATTTGATCCTAAAGCATTGAGATGACAAAAAATGAAAAGAAAGAACACATTGTTATTGCCAGGATGACTTCAAAAATCTCAAATTGATTCGCCTTTAATGAATTCCATATATCTAAGTAATTCGTCATAAAGAAAGAGTAGATCCACAATATATGTATTAATAGGATAGTTATAATGTAGCAAAACATGTAGAGTAGAAAGAGTACAAAATATTTTTAATTTAAAGCTCCTACACAATTATTTGTCCATTCGCAATGATGATCCATTTTAAAAATGCATTTATTGCATCTTTTACAATGATGTGCTCTAGGGGGTTTCCAACTATTGCACTTATCGCAAATATTTTGGTAATACTACAGTAATTGCGAATTATTAAGTAATTTCAAAGGCACTGTTTTCTAGAGTATTTCTCCAGGGTCTGAAAATTGAATTCTAACATAGCAAATTTCTGATATAACCCATAATGCTATAGCTATATTTCTTAAACATTTGATTAATAAATTCTGGTATTCATGAATGATAATAGTATACAATCCCCAAGTCATTAATAATTCAACTATAACAACTAGGCATAAGCCAAAGTAATTTTTCTTTGATTTTTATTTTTCTTCACGAACTTTTTCTTCCTACATTAAGCAAAAATTATTTATGTGTAAATTCAATAACAAATTTATTAAAAGATAAGATCGATTAGGACACATAATTTTAATGTTAAAGTGCACATAAGAGTTTAGAATCCACATTGAATTGAATTCACTTGAGAAATAGGTCACTATAATTAAATTTACACGAATTTGCCATAAATATGGATAATAATGCTATAGATTAAAATTATGGGATAGTGGAAGATTTTAAATGTCAATTATTTCTTTATGAAATACACTTTTTAATCGATCCGACTTGTTGATCTTTAATTTTATAATATATTATTGTATGATATTTCTAATTATTTTATTTTATTATACTTAAATCAATATCTTAAAATCTTAATTCTCCTAAGGAAATCTTATTAAGATTATTTTGGATAGGACTAATTTATAAATGATAATTTATGAAAAAATTAATATTATTGGATGATATTAAATTAATCTACTCATGTTTAACAAGGATCTGAATCCAAAGTAAAATGGTTGTTAGCTATTATAGTTGCGAGTTCAAGCATTGCAGGTCATTCTTCTAATAGAATTACGCTGAGATGAAGTGGAGTTCAACTCCATTACCCTTTGAGTTTGCCTCATATTAATTTCGAGATACTGTTAAAATAAAAGAAGGAGACAGTCTGTAGATCAGAGATCTCAAAGTATACGACAATTATTTGGTCTTCGAAGATCAGGTAAGCTCATGGTTAATCTGAATTAGAATCGAACATTTTGGCTTGACTATGAAAATAGTATTATAGACTAATTGCAAGACCCAAAAGGGATTCGCCTAGTGAAGTGCTTTGATCAAGTTGAATTTTATAGCGAGTCACATCAATGGTTTAAGTTACTTAAAAGACATACAATATAAAGTGATTTCCAGAAATAATATGTATTGATAAAAAAGATTAGTAAAGGAAGGTTTACTGAAGTAAGTTAATCTCTCATTGATTAGGTATACAGGACGAAAAATAACAGTGATGGGAACGATTATGCTGTTAAAATCTTAAGAAAATCATCGCTTATTGATGAAGCAGATTTAATTGCATTATTTAAGGAGATTAAAATTTTGAGAATAGTATAGACTGAGTTTTGTGTTAAATTCAATGAGATCTTCGAGAATTCAGAAAATATTTATATTGTGATGGAACTCCTAATAGGAAAAGATCTGGATGGACACATAGAAAAAAGTTCATTTTTTTCAGAGGAAAAAACTGCGAGATTCATATTTAGATTGATCAAAACCATATCATATTTGCATTCAAAGGGAATCATGCATAGAGATATAAAACCAGAGAATATTATATTCAGATAGATTGATAATCTTGATAGTATTTGTTTAACAGACTTTGGATTGGCAGATTTCTATCACAGTGATGGTCTCTACTTGTTTAAACGATGTGGCACTCCAGGATATATTGCACCTGAAATCTTAAGAAATGAACCCTATGATTACAAAGTGGATGTATATAGCATAGGAGTCATCATGTATTATGTGTTGGTAGGTAAAAATCCATTCGATAATGTTAATTCTACATAAATATTAATTAACAATCAACTTGGCTAAGTCAATTTCAATGATTGCAAATTAAGCAATACAGGATTGCAGTTTCTGAAATGCATATTGAATGATGACTAAAGTGATCGACTATCATCACATGAAGCATTAAATCACATTTGGTTTTAAGTTGAAAAAGTGTCTAAAATTAGATAATTTGTTTTCAAAAAAAAGTCTGATCAGAAAAAACATCAGTCTAGTGCATCACTTTAAAAGAAGGCAACTGTAAAATACAATAATCCATCCTTAAGTCCTACATGTAAAATCACCTTAAACTAAATTTATTCTCCATATCATAGTCGAAAGTTGTCATAAAAAGTATAGTTTTCTCAAGATCTCCAAAATAGCTAAAATACCACCACTAGAATCAGTCAATTTAGTATCTCTAACATAATTTAGCCTTTGTTCATCTCTAAATTCAAATGAATATTTACTTTTATTTATTTTAAAAATGATCCGCTTCTTATCTAAAATCGACAACTTTGGCGCTGAATTTAAATAAAGGATTGTGAATTCTGAACAAGAACATAAATCTATTATTGGTGGCATATTCACACTTTCTGTGTACAGTGTGTGTTTCGCTTATTCTATTTTTGTTCTTTCATAATGGGCATCCGGACAAATATTACCCAAAATCCTTTTAGAATCAACACTTGCAGCTTTCGAGAAATTTGAGATGCCTAACGAATTAATTGAAATAACCTCTATTCGCTACGATGACTCATTAATCGACCCTTTTGCTACATAAGGAAATATACTGATGCCGATTGCGGTCATATTAGAAAACAACAAACCAATTTCTTACCAATCTGTGTTGGCTGATTCCGAAACATCTAATTATGGAACAAATCTGATTGAAATGGAATAAATGCAAATTATCAAAAATGCTCACAATGATAAAACGTAAGAAAGCTGTAGATATTACTATTTATTAGTAACTGCTTGTTAATAATAATACTTAAAAGAGAATTAAACTTGTGCATCAGAGGAAGAAATATAAAACTATTTGAAAAATACATTAGTTCCCATAGAATTAGAAGTTAAATTACAATAATTTAATACAAAAGACAAAACACTATATGAAGTGGAAAAATAGTTACAATTTACTTTACAATAATCTCTCACCCTCAAAGCAGAATTGCTATTTCAAAATACAAATACGGTGATTGATGATAATTTGATATTTTCTAATTCTCAGTCTTATACATATTTCTCTGATTTTACTGTTTTGACCTAAACTATAACAAAGGCTAGCACTAACTAAATAGTTAAAGATGATGTTTTAATTGAAATAGCCTTCAAAGTGGATCCAATTGAAGTAAAGCAATCAGTTACTTATGTTAAATTTGGAGAAATGTTGGCTGAAGTGGGATCAATAGCAAGTTTATTATTAGCTGCTTCTTGGTTTATTCAATAATTTAATAGAGAAGAAATGGAAAATAAAATAGTTGATGAGATAATTAGTGTTTATTATCCATAATTTCGAAAGCTAAAGAAAGTCAAAAGTTGTATGGGGAAAACTATATCAATTATGCATGAAAAAGATTAGATAAATTAAGAAGAATTTCAAAAGTGGTATGAAAAAGTAAGGTAAAGTGTCCTTCTCAAGCTCTCAGTTGTCAATCAATTGCATGAAATATCTCGGTTATATTTTATATTGCGTTCATAAATTCCGTGTTAATAAATGATGAAGTATTAAAATTATGGTATTCCGTTGCCTCATAAACTGTTTGAGAAACATAGTAATGAGATAAATAATGAATTACCATCTCAGGAAATGAAAATGGAGGATATTGAAATTGAGTCATCAATACTGATAACAACTGGATTGTGTGATGATGATCTAAATATTCTCAATTATAAGAAGATCAATATTAAGAAAGAGTGATTTATATGATCCAAAATAAATATACAATTTAATTATTGAATAATATTCTTATTAATTTTGAGAATTCATTTTTATAAATATGATTTATCAAAAGGCCATTTGAATTTTTCAATAACTTGCTCAATCACATAAAATCAAATTCTTTTTGTTGATTATTTGTTAAAAAGATGAATTTATTTTTGTTTATAATAATAAAATCTATAATAAAAAACAAAATTATATTAAATTTTAATTGCATTAAATTTCAAACATTCAATATTTAACATGATTTATTATAGCAAATACTCACTTAATCAATTTTATTTGTAGACCATGATAAATTACTAATCTCATTTTCTGCCTTATATTCAAGTAGCGGATCTAAATTATTAAGATTTATACCAATAGAGTTTTAATCATTCTATTTACTATGTAGTTATGTGAAATCCCAAATCAAAGCTGATTAATCATCGGCTACACTGCATAAATGAGTTGTGGATTCTGGTGCCCACGCTATTGCATTCACATAATCTTTATGATTTCTTAATTTAGCCAGAGGTAGAAGTGGTTACCTGAATAAAATATGAATTAAACCTTGTATCCAGCAACGTAACATAGTTGACATCCATCTCTATGATTGCCAGATAATTTGTATCCATCTTATTCCAGGCTAATCTTACAATAGGATTATTGTTCTCTGTCTCAAACAGTACTGTTGAATGATCTAAGGCTCTAATAATTTTCTAAAATATAACCTTAGATCAAATTGTCTACAACTACCGTCTGCCCCCACAGATGCAAAAATTTAATGATCAACACTAAAACATATGTCATAGACTTCCTTATCATGAGCAATAAGTTAAGTAACTACAGTCTATTTGTCAATATCCCAAAGTGTGCATGTTGTATCTATTGAGGCAGTTCCAATATAATTTTGATATTTGCAGCTCCAATCGAAAGATGTTAAAGGAGCATTGAAATCACTTGTCTATATGCAGTTAAAATATGAATTAAATACATTTTTTAAGTCCCCCTTAATCTTGACTTGACAATTTACATCATCATATTCCCAAATCCTTAGATTTTCCCCACTTGTTGCCAGTAAATCAGGATACTTACCCTCGGCATCAGGGATCCATAAGACTTTGGTTGGAGCGTATCTATGATTGAATTTAGCTTTTTTGCAAAATGTTTCTTGTTCTTTGTCCAGCTGTAGTATGAACACCTATTCATAAAGAGAAGTACTTACTTCATTCTAAATGTCTTCAATCATACTGCAAATGGCGATTCGAGATTAAGGACTAGGTTTCGATTAAAATCCCATGGCATAAATCAACCAAGGAGCCTTATAGGTGTAGATTTAGTTTGAACTCTCCTGTTGCATGGAGTTGTGCATTTCGTTGGATTGCAAAATGTTATCTGGCTACTTCGATGCTTACTGTTCTTGTTGGCTCATTACTCAAATATAAATGAAATTTAATTCATTGGATATTTTATTGCTTTCTTCCTATAATTCTATTGCCTGAAAATATAATGCACAAAAGATAAAGAAATGAAATAATTATGGTTTATTGTATTAAATAATCTATCTCAAAAGAGTTCACGAAGCTCATCATAATTTTTTGAATTGAAAAGCTAAGTGCATTCTTCGGATAATGGATATCCTATGACTTTGGATAACAATACTAAAGGAACTAAGAAACTAGGATCACCGATGATAGTGATATCATATAATTTCTTATACTCTTCTAATTAACTAACATATAAATCAAAATATATACTAAGAATGATCCTATGCTAAAAATCCTATACTCACTTGATTTGGAATGTTTAGGAATTTAGTCATATAAAAATCACTTGGTAAATCTCCCAACAAAATCGTGTTGTTTCTGAATTGAATTCCAGAGGTTTCTAAAATTTTGGCTTTAGTGGTAGCTGTTACCAGCATCTCCATCTTTTCTAAAATGTCGTCTTAAAACAGCATTTGATTTGTATGTAATGTCATTTCATCGTAAGTGTCGATGTCGTGAATAGATGCTAAAATAGTGTTTATCACTCTATCGAGTCCGCCGCTGACAATGTGAAATGGAATATGTTCTTCCACACATTTATTAAAGAATGGTTCGAAAAGCTATCTCAAATAGATGTGCGAAGTATTTAATATTTAACATGATAAAGACTTTGTGAATTTAGCTTCATGAAAGGCTTCAGACACTTTCTAATACCATTCATGCATATGCTTATTCTTTTCATCTATTTTTATGCTCTAATCCTTCTCGATTGGAACATAGTAATCATAATACTATTACATTTTATTTTTGAAATCCTAAGGGGATAATTCAGACATTCTATGATAATATTCAATATATAAAACCTAAACAAGCTGAATGTTGCAGGACTAAGGAAAGAAGAAATCGTTTAGTCAAAATCTGTCACTATTTGTGTCTACTTAGCACCATCAGATATCATCTTCTCAATTTTGGATTTCAATTCCTCAGGATTTCGAATTACTAACTTTTCTTCGATAAATGAGTTTGTTTTCTAAAAGATAAGAATATAATATTTATAAACTTTTTCAGTCCATTCCCCAAGTGTAGGAAACCTCTATATTTACATCTTATATATTAATTTAATTAATCAAAATAATTAGAATTTGCTTAATGGATTTATAGTATAAACTATAATTAATAGATGCTGATTACATAATGTTCAATATAATTATCAAATTATTTTAATAGCCTTCTAATAAATTATCTTTATGCCCACTTTCTTATGTGATTTAAATCAAAACCTTGAGATGGAAGTCTCATAAAAATGTATTCTCAGTAAATATGCCTTTTTTTATTTCAATTGAGATACATATCATCATCTTAAGCATTAAAGATTTATTTATAAAAATATCAAAATCTAAGTCTACTGACGACAAATTAGATTCATTTAATTACATAAATGAAATGATTCCAAAAATCCATAATCATATTTTGATGCCCTTAAAAATACAAATTAATTTTAATTTGTTCCAAGATCAATCCCTTTAAATTGATTTTGATGATCTCTTAAAATTTACCTTCTTCCTTTATTTAGAATGGCAGTAGAAGTACTGTTAGCTTAAATAACATTTACAAAATCTCAATTTTGTTACCGCTTATGTTTCAATATTCTTCTTTATTCAGAACTTGATATTATTTTTGAAGTTTCTGTTTGTTATTATTCCTATTGGTATTTTGGTTTGGAGGTCTCTGGAATTACATAAAGATCTGTATACTCGAACTTAATTTATTAGACTTAAGGAAATGGTTGCATATCAGATTCTTCAGTTTTTATGGTGCAATTTACACATATAGAAGAGTCCATTTAGTTATGAAATTAATTAAAAAAACAAATAACACTTATCAAAACTTCATTTCAAAAGCCACAATACCTTTTCTATTGAAATTCTCAACCAGAAGTGTAAGACCTCCTATCAAAGATCCTCCAACAATCCCTCCAACAAAAAATGGGACAACACCTAGAGTAGTATATTTATTTAATGTACCCAATGTAGATTTGTATACAGCTCCTGAAATAGCACCGCAAAGCATATTTTTTTTCAGTTAATTAATATCAGCTAATTCATCTTCAAATAAGAGATTCATTCCTGCTCCGACGAAATAATAAAGCATGCTTGCACTAGCAGCAGCTTAACCATATGTCGATGTTCGTTTTCCTACAGCATTAAAGAAATTGTTGAGAATCAATTTTTTGGGCATATTAAATTATCTTGGAAATCCTTCAATAGCTCCTTTTAGTAATCCAATTGATGAAGCTAGAATTATGAAATACAGCCTACCTAACATGTAACTGACACCGACAGTGAAGCTTATCTTGTCACCAAAGTCTTATCCTGAATATTATTCGATTTAATTCTCGGCCTTGCTTCCCATAAATTAAAATTTATTATTAATTAACTTATTTTCATACCTCAAATAAGAAATTATAACAAAAACATATTGTAAGAGTTCATATCAACATTATTAGTGAAACTCTAATGCTGAAAGAACTAATTAAATATTTGAATAAATTTGATTTTATGTTTACTCTTTGAAACATTAAATTTAGATTTTTTATCAATTTAATTTAGAACATGTAAGCATATTACAATATTAATAACAATATTATAAATAATAATTGGAGTATTTGAGAACTGGTAATTAAACTTATGAATCAGGTCTTATTCATTAAAAGAAGTATAATTTCATAAATCAATTTTATTTCTTTTGCACGTCTGAATTAACAGTACTTCGTAATTTGACATTTATTATGATAAGCTATGACACATTCATTATGATAATTAAATTTCCTAGGACAAAAGTAGACCCATTTCCATTTCTATAATTTTTAGGTGAATTAAATTGAAATTATTGATTGGAATCATAATTGACAATAGAACTGCTTACCATCATAGAGTATATGAACAAGTTAAGCCATTAAAAACTTCATCTTGCTGTAGGACCGTATATGCAGAGTTAATTTATTTAATGAATGAATAAAAATATTAAATTATTGATCATCCTTATTTTTAGATGGGCAAGAATAATTTAAATTCAGGGGGCAATTCCTCTTCACTATATAAACGATCGCTGAAATAGATTCTTCTAATTCTGCAATTGGCATGTATTTGAACTCTATTATAATTGCATCTATATGTACCGTAATGTCTCTATGTAGTTAGTACCATATGCTCTTCTAGTGAAATCAGATAAATTGAACTGAATTTGATTCCATCCTTCATCCAGTCTCATAGGCATAGTACAGATAAATGGTTTGACTCTGGTTGTTGACTAATAATGTGTTTTAAGATGTACTTGATAATTAGAGGCTCTGAATCTTCTTCTAACATTTTTGTCATCCAGGACTTGCACTTCAAACGTAAAGTATTTTTTAAGCTAGATATTAAATATGATGAATTTACATTCTTAATAATCATTACTAAGAAAGGTAATTTGATTCCCAAAGTTTCTTTTGGATCAGCAGGAGCAGTAATGAAATTGGTACTCACATTTGTACCCATGATTTCTAGAACTGATGATTAAATATCTTAATCTGTAATTCGCTTGATATGTCCATTCTTAACTTTAATATTGGACCTATAAAATACTTTGTTTATCCCAAATCTACAAGGGCTTTGATCCTATTGAATATAAAATTGAAAGAAATCCACTTTAGAATGAGTTCTTGAACATCAGTTATTTTTTTATTTAATTAAACAATATATATATATCACATGCCATCCAGCAATTAAATTATTATACTCAAATTAAATTACCAACAAAAGTAGCTCTTTTGTATTTCTTACTCAAAGATTCCCAATTCACCACAAACTTATCACTAACCCAATATAATAGTTTTCCACTTAAAGATAAATTTTCCACTCTGCACCAACTCTCTATAAACAAAATCTTGCATCTTTTTCGAATGAATAATAACTACAATTATATTATCTATTACATATTGTGCAATCAAAACAATCACAACTGGAATACATGTCCCTGGACCATTAGTAATAAAGATATCCAGATCTCTGAATTTCAATAATATCAAAAAGGTATGCAGTGTTGCCTTGATTGTTGTGATTATCGAAGATAAATATGATTATTTGACTTTTCGACTTCTGTGAATCGTAATCCATTCCACTTTTGGCAAAGCAATCTTTTTAATTTATTAACGCTTTATACTTTGTTGTCCTCAATAAATTTAGCTACTCTTAATGGTTCCTAAGTATCAGCAAAGGAATGCATAAAATATAAATTCTAACACTTTTATTGGAAATCATAATTCCTTAAGGCCATCAACATTTCATAAGTATGTCCACCTGATCCAAATAAAATGAGCATATTGTATTTTTTATTGTATTTGGAAGCAATCCAGAACCTCAACCCAACATATGTCAACAGTAATATTATAATTGATAATGCTAACATAAATTAATTAATCAATTCTTTAGTACAGCTCTTAAGTATCTCCGTATTGGAGTCGAACTATAAAATGAATATAATCATTATATTTACTTTGTTAATATTTGCATAGGCATGAGTAACAAAAGAGTTCTACTTTTTCGCATAGCCTTAACCAATGACGAATTACTAGGAATCCATAAAAAGAATGCAATGAAAAAGATGTAAAATGCGAAACAAATAAACAGAGTTCCTCTGGTAATTGATAAATTCGTGAAGGAATCACTTATACTTTACTCTAACTTTTCAATCAAATATCTTTGAGTGTATCTTATGATAATCTTTTCCATAATCCTAACCTCTACACTAAAATTGGTACTAAGCAATAAAATTGCAAATTCTTTATTTTGTGCCTCTGTTTAATTTAGCTATCTTTACATTTCATAATTGAGTTGTAAGATCTTCAGATTTTCATAGAATTTAGTTAAGCCGATTGATAATCCATCAGAAACCGTCCCTTCTAATACAGTGTTACAATATTCCTCAACGATAAAAGGTTGTAACTGTACTAGAAGTGGACAAGGATTTTAAATGTACAGTTACTGAAATGCATTGATGAAATCTTGTTAGAATAAATCAACATTTTAAGTGAATTTAGTTTGCATATCTGCATTTACTTCGTACAACTATGTTAGGTAGGTTTCTATAAATGTTGAAGGGTTTGTACTAAATATACTCTTGTCGGGATTCATCATATATTCTCTAATAGCATTATCTCCAAGACGATATTAAGATTCCAAGAGGGATGTAGTATTCAAAATAGGACATAAATAATACGTATCTTCTACTACTTATTGGGCTGAATAATATTGGTAGATAAAGTAGCATTGGAGAAGAAAAAAGATAAAGAATGCTGTTATCATCAACTTGTAAATTTTGGCATTGCTATTTTTCCAAACTTTTTTTGTTTTCTTGTTCACCTTTTTAAATTCTTCCTGTTCTTGATTATGATTGAGATTGAATTAATGTTCCTCGTTCTCCTCATCCTGAATTTAATAATAATAATAAATACCTATTCTTCATCCCCAACATTTAAAATGGATAAGAATTTTTCACAATTTTATATTACTGCATGAATAAGTTATTCATTAATTTCAAAATAAAACAAATATATTTACTGAAGCTATCTACTAAAATAAATCAAGTAAAATGCTATTAAAACCTAAGCAACAAGTTACACAAAAGTCTGTAATACTAAAAAGGCTATTTTGTTCTTAAGTGAATTCTCAGATACTGATTTAATTGAGTAATAGAAATAATTCAAAGGAATATAAGAATATTGAGTTACTGAATTCAAGACGTTGTAGTTGTAGTAAAAGAAGTCAACATTTGAATCATCAAATAAGGAAATTTACTTTTAATTTAATTGAATTGCCTTGGCTATAAGTTAATCTATTGATTCTTTGAAGGTGTAATACTAACTGCTTCCATCTGATGAAAACAGTTCAATATTTTGAGTGAAATAGAGTGTTTCATATTTTTGATATTCCTCATTTATTTATGTATCTATCAAACTTAATTATGAATGAATTGTTATAAGTTCTTATATTTCCTAATCCATCAATTCTAAATTTATAATAAAGATTTCATCGAGATCAGACCTAGTATTTCTAATCTCGCCCTATCTGACCAATCTAAGATCTTGTAAGATAGCATTAATCATCAAACAACTAGATATGCGTTTGTTTGTTAAGCTTAAGTTGAATATCATATTTGATACATTAGTGTCGTCATTCAGATTAAACTGAAAGACAACTAACCCCGATGCAAAGAGAGTGAATAAGGCAATTTGGATAAACACATTAGTTAACTTTAAAGCCTTTGGAATGTGGGAATTATTTAGAAGCCTTTAGATGGAGGATTTAGATTGGAATAATTTGAAATAGTGTTAAAACTCTTAGATTTCTATTTCTTTTTCTTCATCTTCCTATTTTTTTGTTTGTTAGTTGCTTTCCTCTTCAATCTCTTCTGAGTCCTAGTTATTATCTTAAATATCTATTATTTGACTATCCCACAATCTTTTAGTTTTGATACCATCATCATAATTTACAACATGTTTAATAGATTATGTCATTTTCTTAGCCATTAAAAAGTAGTCAGCAATCCTTGATATTTTTAATGTATTTTCCTCGATATGACTATTATTGTTAATTGATTCTTCAATCTAAGTCAAACTCATAAAATCCATATAGAAAACAGTTGGTGGGATATATTGAAAAATGGGATATTTGAAATTTTTTTATTGTGCTTGAAGTAATATCACACCTGGTGAATCTGCATTATTAACTTTAAGTTTTTCTAATTTAATTATCATTCCGTATTTGTTACTATCCTTTAAACAAGGAAATTAGATGTACGACAGATAACATTAAAACTCAATCAAATCATATTAGCTTAAGGTTGTGTCTACAGTCTTAGTACTATATTTCATGGCATGAGGCTTAATTTATAATTTAGCTCCACTTTTAGAGAGAAATTCATCTTTTCTGAGATGAAAATCAGGAAATAATTCTTTGATATTAATTTTCCTCATTTTGATTCTTTGAGCATCTAATCTCAAGAATGAAATGCATGAACTTGAAATATGTTCAATGTGACCTTTTATGTCTAATAATAGATAACATAATTATTTAGGGCTAAAAGATTACTAATATTGGGCAATAAAAAAAAATTGATTATTTTGAGCTTACAGTAATTTGATAGTTGAAAAGATTGGTAAAATATAATTACTCTTTGTTACTAAATATACACTTTACGTGATAAGTTCCTTTTCTTATCTTGCTTTATTCTCTATGAATAGTTCCACACATTAATCATGCTTCTCATTGAAGCTAAAAATATAATAGTATTTTACATGCTTGGGATTATTTGATTAATAGATCTGTCAATTAAATCTGCTTTTGAATATCCTAACAAACTACAAAAAGACTTATTAACTGCATAAATATTAACTTTTTAAAATTAAGCTGAAGCTACCAAAGTTGGAATCGATTGATTACAAACTTCCTCTAATTCACTTAATTATTGTTATTTAGATTTTTAGAGAGTCCAAAATAATTATTAATATTAATCTGCCTATTCTTAATCATCCAACACCAATTAATAAAATCTCGATAAATAATAGTAGAGTTTTAATGATTTATTGTCTTAAAGTTTATTCCATTTGTAATCGATTTATTCCTCTAATTTAATAATTTTGAATCCATAGGCCATTAATTTACTCATATCTGGCACTTCTTCTTACAAGGCACTCCAGAATTCAACAACCTTCAAGGCCACTAATTCAAGTTGATCGATAAATTCTTTCGTCTAATTTAGTGAATTTGTTGATTCAAATAACTCAGCCTTCTTATTGGATTCCTCTTCAATAATTGTTTTGTATCTAAAGATATGGAACTCGTAGTCTAAAGTAGGTTTAAAATCCATAGCTTGATTTAGTTCTGACATTATCAAAGAATATGATCTTTATTAATTGAAAAGGAAATAGATGTAACTTAATCTTAGGGCAGCGTCATCTGGAAATTTCTTTATACCTTCATGGTATATTTGAATGATCAATTCAATCATAATGTAATTTCTATCTGTATAAATTAGATTTTCTTTGAATTTATTAGCCAATTACATTTTTAATTTCACACTGCAATCAGTTCTATCACAAATTTCCTTATGGATTTCAATAAAACTGTCAAGTAGCAATTAGGCTCTTTAACATTTTTCTGATCCTTTTATAAGCAAAACCAGATATTCGCATAAAAGGATGATTTATTTTCCATTTTTAAGTTTTTTTAAATTAGCAACAAATAGATCTACTGTTTTCTGTTATCTAACTGCTAAAATACCAATAATTAAGGGAACTCCTATTAACCATGCTTATACAGTCTTTTAAAAAGTTTAACCATCAAATGAATATGAATACAACATCATAATAATAGTCCACAAATTGACTGCAGATAAAATAGACCATATTCTCTGGATAAAAGTATCGTAATAAGGTTAATCCAAGTGAGTACTTATGAACATCCAGGCACTTCCTATGAGGAATACAAAGATAATGATAATTGTATATTGAGGAGTGGGTAATAATTGATAAACCATAATTTACACAAATATGTATAAAAGCAGTAGAGCAGATGATCTACCATTTCTCATTGCACTAGCATCTTGGCTAGCGTTTCTGGATTCATATGTTAGGAATGACACGAACATGGAAAACAACAATGTCACTATCAAACCTATAATGGCTAGAACTGCATGAATGTAATATTCTGAAGTCCAACATTCTTCTGATTATTCAAACATCATAACATATTTTCCCTATTTATTATATTCACATGCTAATAAACCAAATTACATCCTGACTATTGGCCAGAAGCCTATTGTGAGAATTATTTTAAGCAAGAATTTGAGCAATAGCAAAGGAGGCATTTATAGCTTCTAATTTTTAATAACAAAGGCTAGAAGCAGGATTAGTATGATGCTTAAGAAGATTAATCCAATACACATATAAAACACGGTCAAATAAGTGCGAATTCCAACATTCTTAACAGAGATGGTAATTGTAAAATATCTAGATAAACAACAAATATACTTTAATAACAGATTAATAAAGTCACTGTAGGCTTTATTCTACCATACGTATTGAACTTTGAGTCCAAAATTTAAATACGTGAATTGTAAATATTGAATTAAGCACAAAAGAATTGTTAGCCATCTGTAATCTGCCCATCGCTTCAAAATTAGGTAAAAAACTCTAAATAGACACAGGATTACTTGAATAATTTATATTTCAGAGAATTCACAATTTGATTGATTTATTCTTTCTTTTTCATTATTATTATATAATTTCATTATGAATAAATCATTTACTTAATATCCTTGAGCTTACTATTAAGTTCTTGAATTTATTACTGATTAGCCATAAGCATTTACTTCAAAATTTGATTTTGTTGATTCTTAGTATCAATAAGGAGCTTAAAGTCTTCGTTATCATTTCTAAAGCTTCTCTCAAAAGGAGGTTTGAGTGACAATTCTATGATATTAATATTGATGGTCATTGAACTTATATAGTCGACCACTCTTTGATTCAATTGTTTTTGTGAATCTATAATGCGTTGTAATTAGGACTTATTCTGTTCCAAAGCCTGTATGTGATCAAATAATTATCGTTTCTCGTCTTCATGTTTTTATTTTAAATCCTGCACTTCCTTACCAGACATAATACTCTAAGCACTCGTAGCCAATGACATTGACATTGCCCTGTTTTCAAAAGTAGATTCTTTTAGTTTTGTCTTTAAGCGTTCTATCTATTATTGTAATTCTTAAATGATCTTCTATTATTCTGCTTGAATAGAATTCTAATTTGAATAATTAGACTCTCTCTTAGATAACTATTTATTTTCCAAGGTCAAAGCATCAACTCTAGCTAATAGAATGGCAATTTCTTCATTTTTTTATTGAATATACTTGTCTTTTTTGGAATCATCAGGAGATTGCATTTATTGCAATTAAAATTTATAGCTTTCAATTTCATTATCTTTTAAAGCGAGTTGCAATTTTAAATTGGATATTTCAGCCTTCATTTCATTATACTAAGATTGATCTTATTATTCAATTATTGAAAATGCAACGCTTCTAATTGACTAGGATGTATCCCTACTCTCTATTTCCTACTTAGGCGCAGGTAATTACATTAGGTTTAACTTACTCTCTGCATCTTTTCTTCTCACATTCCTTAATATCCACAATTCAAGATCTTCATGGTTAGTATTCTTCAATTAAGTGCTGGCCAATATAAATATTGCAGACAATCCTTTAATGAATGAATCGTATTTTTTGATCAATTGTGTGATTAAGAATAGAGTTGTATCAAAATTGAACATGTTGATTGAGAATGTTAATAAGTATCTCTTCAATCTACTTTGTAGAAATTACTTCAGCAACTATTTTTCATCTTCTCCTAAACCATATCCTTTTACGCAATAAGTTAATATGCTTACGATGCATTCATCAGTGGGTTTCTGTTTGTAGATTATGCCTAATAATTGAAAAGTGGAGGCTTCTGAGGAAAAGCATAATAGAAAATTGGCCAAACACACTAATTCGGCTGAAAATTGAACTTCTGGATTCTTCGAACAAAATGTCAAACAAACATTCTACAGTTTTGTGTTGTCTTTGCCTACTAAATAATAAAATTCTTTTAAAGAATAGTTAATATTGTCAAAACCACTTATTTCTGTTTTATCAAATCTAATTTTAGCGCTCTCTCGAGCATTCTTATATTCCTGCTAGGTTAGTGAGCCTCCCAACCATTATTTCGATAAAGTGTCTACTCCGTAAGCAATATGATTCTACTCCACAAAATTCTTTATTTACTCTGATTCCTTGAATTAGACTTCCATATACCTCTTTACAGATTTTGCACATTCTATGCGGTTTTGAGGATTCTTTGCCATCTTTTTTTATATGGTTGATCTTGAATGGAGAACATCCCTCACATACAGCTCGCAAACATCTGCATTATGTTTTATTCATACCTTTTGCATTGATGTTCCCTCGTTGTAAAACTGAAACTCTTACTGCATATCTGACATTTTGGAAGCCTTCCCACGCACTTCAGGAATATTGATAAAGGTTATAAATTATTTCATTTTTTTATTAGCAGTTCAAGTAATTTTTATTTATAATATTTTTTTATTTTCCTAAATTCCAAAATTCTGATGATTATCTCAAAATAGCAATTCGATTATTTTATTATTACTTACTTTGTAATCGTTAACAAACCAAAAGTAAATTTAAAGATAATAAAATATTTTTACAGCTTTATTTGATAAATACCCAAATGGGTTGTCGAGTAATGCGTATATCTTAGATTAGGATTAAACAGAGATTTATAATAGAAATCTGATTATCAAAAATGGCTTAATCTAATAGATATTGACATAGCATATACACAATTGAATAAACTGTAAACTTAAGAAATCTAACAATCTTTCCACTGATGAATCTCATTCAAACTTAATTTGGATTTATCAACTGAAATAAAGATTTTACACATATTTCAAGTATGTAATTTTGATAATTATCTTAAAGAATGATATAATAAATACTTATTTTATCACCTTAGAACTATTTTTAATAATGAAATTGCCTATAATATAAACTATGCTTATGACCGTAAGAAGTTAAAGTACTTAATTGATATCTTTCTAAGATTTACATAAAAATTACAAAAATAGTTAACGAGTGATACTTAAATGTTTGTTTAACATTTTAAATGCAAATCTCAAGAATTGTTTTTAGTAACACAATTGAGTTTCATAATATTTCTTGAATCTTATTCTTCTTTTTACTTGGAATTTTATGATTCATAAATTTCACGTATTGGAATGGCTTGTTGATGAGAGACAAAAATGTGTCTAGAGTAAACTAAGTAAGTTGATATGGAGAAAAGTAGAGAAAATTAATCTTAAGCACTATTATACATATTATGAGTATAAATTAGTTAATAATTTTAATACACCCATTTAATCCTTAAAAAGGAAATATAATGTGAAATGATAACAATATATATTCATAAATAGCGAATCATAAATGATATTTCAAATAATTGATTTAGATGAACGAACTCTATTTAGAGTAGATCGCAATTCAGCAACAACTTATTTTGTTACTATTTTGGTTTATTGAATTTGAAATTTATCACTGCTTTGTTATCTCATATGGAAAAAAGTAAACCTTTTGGCTGCATCTTAATCTATTTTTGGCTTTAATTTTGGTTGTCTGTATTTGTTATTGTCTTCATTCAAATAAGTGGATAAATTTTTAGTACTGTAAGTGCTTTCAATCCCATCATATTTTTTGGATTTATTTAATTACAGCTTGCTATCTTATTCTTCTATGCAAGCTCCATGACATATTGTTCTTTTAACTATTTTACTTTTGATCAATCTAAAAGATGAATTCGATGTGTTCAAAACTGAAGGTTACATGATTATTTAAAATATACAAATAAAAATGTTTACTTATAACACTATAATAAATGAAATATGTATTTGTTAATTATTTTATAAAAATGAACTCTTAACAATATTAGCAAGAAATCTGGGATATGAGAGTCGCAGTCAGAGTAGAACTCTAAGATAGCAAAATACCGCCCATGTATCTCATGATTTATAGATAACATTATTTGCTTTTCTATTACCAATAGATCTTTGATGTACAAATATCTGAATTATAAATTAGCATTTTCACTCCTTTACTCCTTAGGTTAATAAAATAAATCAAATTACTTTCCAATGCAATGAAGTTCAGTTACCATATTAAATACCTTTTGGGGTGTTGGTGGATTTACATCCTAGTGAGGACATATTCATGCCTATTGAATTAAAATTAATCTACACAAAAGAAACACATTTTGTCGATTTAGAAGATGAAATTAAGAACCAAATCAAATTTAATCTAAAATAGGCTTGCTTTGGTCGTTACAACCATGAGGGATATGGAACTCCACTTAAAAATTTAACATAATATATGTCCATAAGCGATGAAAAGTAAGCCTTAAAGCAAATCAAGTCATTTGAAAATAAGGAGGATCTCTATAGATATTATAAGAAAATATTCGAATCCCCTAAAACTGGAAGGATATAACTTCCTATTAGAATATATTTCAAAACTGGAGGTCACTTATAAACTATAATTGAATTGAAGGACTAATAATTAACAATAGGGCAAGCCTTAAGCACCAAATTGTAGGGAGCTACTTTTATATTCAACGGAGCTCACTTAAATATGAGCATACCAGCTCAAGATTTTTATGATTAGCTTTACTCAATTGATGGATTTTGTTATTTTGTTTGTGAGTGAACAGTTTGTTTTATTATTAACTAGTAACATTTTTGTTCATGAAATCAATAATCATACATAAATATTTTAATATTCTATCTCAGATATTTGGCCAATATGATTTTTTAAATGAAGTATTCGTTTTGATTTCATCATTTGAAATTTCTGAAGTCATCTTCTGTATGGAATTCGGAGCATCGGATTGAATACCATCAATTTAAAACACCATCCAAGTCATATCCACTCTATCCATTTATTAATTAGTTACTATGTAAATTTATCAATGAATACTTTATGGTAATCGAAATTCTACCAAAGGGTATTTCAATTCATTTAAATATACAGTTATATGAGGATCGGAATCTATCCAATCTTGATTAATCCCCGACTTTGATAACAGATCTAATGACTCCTATCGAGTTAAAAATCTTTTCACAAATAAGGTGTATCTATAAGGTTCCAATTGGGTGATATCCAATATCTCAATGTGTTGATCTTCCTTTGAAATTGAGATGTGTTCCATTCCACCACAACTTTTCGACAAAGGTCCTGTTAAACAACTGTGTTCATTCACTTTGAAAATACCATACAAATCAAGATTTAATGATTTTGATGACCATTCTAAGATAACTCTTACAGAATGTTTTTGAATACTACTAGTCAATCGAAATATATAATTAGTTTTTGGTATTCTTCTCTATAAATCCAAAACTGAGCATGTCCTTTTGTAATCTGTAAATTATTATAATATAATACTTGGCTTGTATATCATTATTGTATAAGAATTACCTTAACTGAGGTTGTTTAAAGTAACACTCCCATTCTCATCAGTTGTTAATTCATATAGGTTACTTTCCAATTATTTTATAATTTAGCAAGATTACGACAAGAATTTTCCATCATATATTTCAATTTACTAAAATAACATATTAAATTTACACTATTTTAAATTGGTTAAAAATTGGTTGCATCTTCGATGACGATTTTAATATTGTAAAATTTGAATGCCTAATCAGCATATTTTTGTGCATCTTTTGATACTCCTTCTAAAATTCTTTTTTTTTGAATTTCATAAAACTCTTTTAAGATTTCAAAATCTGCAGACAAAGGATTGTCTGAACAGAAATATAAATTATTATTGATAAAATTCTCTGCCTCCTCTATTTTCCCTTTTATCAATATCCTATCAAATGGTAATGTTTAGGGTTAGAAAAATTCTTTTGTTATATCATTATCAACAATAATTGACAAATCCTATTAGTTTACTTCGTTAAGAATAGTAAATTACCCATTTGTGCCTTAAATTGCTAAAATAATTCTAATTAATGATATTATAATACCCCTTCTAATTATTATCGGATGAAAAAGTTATTTTTTGTAACATCACCGCAGTAATTTGCTGACAACTTTATAAATTATGGAATCCAATAAGCTTCTCTTATTTATCAAAGTTCTTATATACAGGAGTAGGCAAAATAGTAATTTAATTTAATACAGATTATTCTCTAGGTAGAAATAATTAACAATTCTTACTTAACAAGAGCATGTTAAATTCCTATTTGGAGATCAGGAGTGAAATTGTAAGTGCACACAGTAAGAATAGCCAGGATTAGTAGAATAATAAAGACTACTCCATCTCCAACAATGTGCATTTTGTATTTTTTGAATGTGCTCTCTGATAGTATTGCCGCATTAAAGGACTAGACTAATCCAATCATGATGATTAAATTAATCCAAATGGTAAGACTATTAATTGGACTGAATAGATAATTTTAAACGGCTTTGCAACATTATAAATTAACGCATCCCAGTTTAATATTGGAATTCGATTCCCATTCGTAAGTTTGTTGATCTTAATCACAAGGCAAATATGGTGATAGATCCAAATTTAAGTATTTTTATGAGCATTATAATTCATCTTTTAAACTTGTCTCAGATATTGTCTACATTGCAAATCTACATCCATTGGGTGAAGATAATTCTAAATTTAGGGATTGGATTCTTCTGACTAACAAACCATTTACACATGCTGCCATGATGCATAGACCAACAATAATGTAGCTTATGGTAACAAAAAACACTTTAATTTTCTTGACATTAAATGTTGCAACAAGGATAGTCAATATAAAGAAAACCAATAGAATTATTTTGATGAATGAAATTTCAATGTTAGTACTTGAAACCTAATACATTTAATAATTAATTTAAGAGATAACCTAGGATAGATGAAACCCATACTTTTTTGAGGTAATATGCTGCAAATGCCAAAAATATTAGATTAATAGCAGATGTAGCATAGATGATCAATCTTTGAACTCCGTACTCTCTAATATTGAATTATCTACTCACATTAGCTAGATAAAGCAGTAGAAATATTTCTATTATAGTCAAGGGGAGTATCAATATGAATTGGTTGTAGGAGTTATATTCAATCAAGCCTAATACTAAGCCAGCTTAGATTGCGCAGAGTATTTATGTGAATAGAGAATGAAAATAAGGTATGCTTGATAGTGGGAATCCCTCCTGCTGATTAATAACATCTCTCACTATTTGAAATGTTAAACTCCAATAAAAGGAGAAGATGCATACAATCAATATGGCTACCTTTAATTTATGTGGCAAATTACATTATTGAGTCCCAAAAGCAAATATTCAGTCAATCCATTAGAACTGTACCACATGTATGCAATTACTATGCTACACAATGAACATATTATGCAAATCGGAACCACCCATTTCAGAGATTGCAAACCCTATTTCTGAACCGACGGGGAATATTGATGTTTTGTGATTTATATGGGGTTGATATCCTTATTCATAACGATAATGTATATTTATTAATTATTATTCAAAATTATCAAAGACACTTTACGCATTTTGGATTGCACAACTTCAAAGGTAATTGCCATTATTAGTAGCCTTGCTGAGATAAATTATGCATCTGCATTTCCCCTGATATTAATACTCCTCTCCTTGTAATATATAAGAATAAGTTATTTTTTATAACGGATCTTCCAGAATTTTATATATAAGAATGTAAATTTAACAAATAATTTGAACTTCCTTAAATTTTGCAACTGCTCACATCCGTAGCAATCATGTCCTTATCTTAAATTGTCTAAGCAATTCTAAATTCCTTCCTCACTATGCTAGAATTTTGGTGTTATTACATCAAGCAAACTCACTTATAAAACTTTCTTTCTTCATCATACACATTCATACTCTACTTTTGTTGAACCTAGTAAAGTGATTATGGATCAAAGCACTAAAAATACATTTATATTATTATTAATAATGGGTTGTATGAGTGCCAAAGATGTCCAGTAATCTATTAACAAAAACATCTATAATAATATGAAATAAATACACATCATAGCCTTTGATCAAGTAATTGTTTATATAAATCTCCACAGCTTTTTTTATTGCAATCCCAATGTTTAAGAGATCTCGATCTTCTACAGAGTAAGGTGATATCCAGAAGAATCAATATGATCAATATCACAAAGGCTCATCTTCTCAATAACCCTCTATTGACTGAAGCATATAAATTGTGGACTTGGGGTGTTTCACTTTGTAACAGGGGAAATTCAAAAGGAATGAATGTACATTACAGTTTCAGCAACCCTAATGAATCAGTTGAGAAGAATCCTACATTCATTTACAATCTAGGTTCCTGCAAAGAACTTAGATTTCTTTGGTTCGCTATAATTCTCAAGGAATATGTTGAATATGTATAAATTGCAAAACAATAATTTCCAGAACAGCGTCTCAAGGCCAAAGATATTTATGACAAATTGAAGACTATGAAAGAACAATCTTAAATTTACTTAAATAACCTATCGCCAGCTGAAAAGGTTGAAGCCTTTTCAAATATTGAATATAATATGGGTAAAATTCATAAAGGATTGCACAATGCAGATTCTTTTTATGAACATCTAAAGGAATTAGAGTTTGAGTTATTATCAGTTATTGATAAGAATAATCAATATGAAAATGAAGCAGATCAATGGGGTCGTAAACTATATAGAGATCTAGATGTCATACTTATTGGCGATGATTCCTATAGAATGAGAGCAAAAATGAATAGTTTAGTATTATTGTATCATCCGGGTAAAAAAAGAGCATAAGAAGAAGAAGATTACTATTATAATGTTAAATTAGAACGTTCAAAGATTAAACCTAAAATTATGAACAATGGCGAGGAAGATAAGAAGTTTAATTGTAAATTAAGATGGACTGGTTGCTCTGAAGTTGATAGAAAGTGGAGTGAAATCTCATACATTTTGGAAGAACACAATGAATAAATGAAATAAATAAAATAGATTAGAAACAAAATACGGAATGAATTATAAACATATAAGTATGAAGATGACAATTTGATTGAAGCCTGGAAAATTTATTGTCTCTCTTTATTAACTGAAATAAAGGATGTAAAGATTACATTAAACATAAGTGATTAAGAATCAGTCTAGAGGATTCTCAAAAATTAAGTACCTTTAACACAGAATTTAGAACTACAATCCAAACTATTTAGTGAATATTTCTTCATAATAAGACCTTCAAAACAGAAGTAACTGAAGGAGTATTGGAAGAAGTTAGATTTTGATAGGTAATGGATTTAAGGATCATTTATGAACTATGATTAATTCAAGTAGATGCATCACTAAGATCAGTATAACATGATGACAAATTCAGCCAAGAATATATATGAGTTTACTTCTAAGAACCCTGTTTATCAATAGATTTATGAGAAAAGTGATTTATTCATTAATTCATTTAGAATACGTGAGATTAGAGTAAGAAGCTGAGTAGTTATTTAATAATGGGAAGTCTATTTTTGAGGAAATGCAGATACTCTATGAATAATATAAAATCGACAAAGACGTTGATAAATTAATGAGATAACAATTAAGAAGTGATGATATTATTTTAAAGAAAAAATAGAAACTTTCCAAATATAATTGAATTAATTTATTATAACCTAATTAAAATAAAGATAAAATTAAATTACATGGGGCAGACTTGCTGTAAGAAACGTTAGACTAATAAGAGTCATTAGAGCTAGTCATCAAAAATGGTTCTTGGTGATTCACATTAATTGATACTCACAAATCCAAATAGTTTTTAATCACAATAGGGATTGTAACAATATAAATAACTATGCTCCCTATTGTAATTGGTAGGAAATTTGGACTAATTAAAATCAAAGACTAGAGATCACATAAGATAATTATTTTCATAAAAAAATAATTGCTAAATAGTAATTTAAAACAAAATAAGGAGAGAGTTAAGAAATTAAGGGTTGATCAGACCCCCTCAATAAGATGACGAGTGTATATTAATCTAGGATAAAAAGTTCAACAAATCAATACAAACTTAATTATTAATAGTGGCTGAAACTATCAGAATATTATAATAAGATCAAGAGTTTCAGCTGAGGTTTCCCACATTGTGTGTATCCTTCATGGAATTGGCGGATAGTATTCAATCCAACGGTTTATGATTTTGTAATAATTCATATTTATATGATTCACTACTAATTTCAAGATTTTAATGTTACTATATTTAATTATAATTACAACTTTATATTTAGAATAGTAAATAATAGGTTTCTCAGCCGTAAGTGAGCTAAATGAAACTCATTTTCTAGTGAAATATAAATTTATGAAAATACAACTTTTGTCAGAAGAGTAACCAATATTAATAAGGAAGAAACAGAATTAAAAGGACACAAAAATTGTCTCTTGTCTTTAAGATAGATCCTGTTAATCTTTGATGTTCTTATATTGTGTTATTAAATTAAATCAGTATCTTTTTAAGAGCAATTAGTCTTGTGTTAATTAAATGTAGAAAAATAACAGCATATGATGGAGGGCAAAGAAGTGGATGAAAAGCCGATGTGCCAATTTTAGAATATTGATTGCATTAATTTATGCGTTGTAATTTTGTTGTATTGCAGAAATTATAATACAAAGATTTACCACTCAAGAGTTTATAAAAAATTATATGGAATAAATTTATATAATTAAGGAATGGAACGTAAACTTTACTTCGGAGCAGAGTAGCAGTTGCAAAATAAACAATACAATTACCCTACAAACTTTATACAAACAAGCAGGTATGCAATAAATCTTAAATGAGGTACAATCTAATTACTTTCCTTCCATATTCATTAGCATTGCAATTCTAGAGAATGGCTAATATTTATTTTCTTATCATTGCAATATTGTCCTTTTTCAAATCCATATCTCCCTTTAGTCCAATAAATTCAATTGCGCCTTTACTCTTTGTGGTTTCTTTGTCCATGTTAAGAGATGGGTACGAAGATTATCAGAAACATCTGAGTGATAACGAATTAAATTCATCTCCAACTACAATTTGGAGTAATGGAGGTTTCGTTAAAAAAACATGGAAAGATGTACTAATAGGGGACATAATAAAAATTGATGAATTGGAAATTATTTCAGCTGATTTAGTTGTTTTATAAACATCGCAAGATGGGATATGTTTTATTGAGACATCCTCTTTGGATGGGGAGAAGAATTTGAAACCGAAATAGGCAGTAAAAGAGACTCAAACAATTGAATGCAGACAAGGAATAATAGAGTGTATAAACCCAAACCAATTGCTTTATAATTTTGACGGTACACTGTTTTTGGAGAGCAAGAAGATTCAATTAACTCATAAGAACTTTTTATTGAGAGGATCAAAACTGAAGAATGTCAAATGGGTAATAGGTGTGGTGGTTTATACAGGAATCGATACCAAAGTGATGAAGAACTCAGAGGACCAAAAAAATAAAATGAGCAACATAGATAAATTGATCAACGTCAGAATTATCTACATCTTAATTATGCAAGCATTCATTTGTTTAATTTTGGCAATAATATATGGAATTAATTGCGATGTGAAGACCATTAACTTTGATTATTTTAGCAGAAGCTTTTCTGGCTACACCTCTTATCATGGAGAAGATGAAGTATATGCTCCAGACGTCCCAAATTGTGCTGTGGCATCTTTGATGACTTTCGCTGCCTATTTTCTACTTTTAAATACTTTTATACCAATAAGTTTAATAGTATCTTTGGAATTTGTCAAAGTAGGCTAGGGAATATTTATGTAAAAGGATGGGGAAATGTACACTGCTGAAAATGATAAGTATGTTAAAGTGTTCAGTACAACCATTAATGAGGAATTGGGATAGGTCTAATATGTATTTACTGATAAAACAGGAACTTTAACTTGTAACAAAATGGAATTCAAAATATCTGTCTGTGGAAATGAGATTTATGGAGATATGTCCATGTTTGATAAGCATGAAATGAGCACTTTTGTTGGCAATCAAATATTAAGAAGACAAAGCACTTTACATTAAAGGAGATCCACAGTTGTTAATGAAAAAGCAGGCATTGAATACACATTCTCTGGTGCAGTCATTTAATCCATCATTTCTGAAACTGATCCCAATAAGAACCCAATCATAGATCTTAATGTTGATACCTATTTGATTAGAAATCAAGGAGATTTAGTCAAAGAAAATCTGATGTTGTTAGCCACTTGTCATGAGTGTGTTCTTGAATTTTCAGATGATGGCACATTTAATTACTAAGGACCTTCTCCAGATGAAATAGCATTAGTAGATGCTGCTCGAAGATTAAATATTCTCTACAAAGGAATTACGATGGGCATTATGGAAATAGATGTTCTGGGAGTTAAGGAAAAAGTCGAACTCTTGTTCTCTTTTGAGTTTAATAGTGATAGAAAGAGAATGTCTGTGATCATTAAGCATAAGGGAGTGATTAAACTATATACCAAAGGGGCTGATGCTATTATCAAATAAAGATTGGGTCCAAAACAACCATTTCTAGAGGGTATTGATAAAAAGTTGGATATGTTTTCAAGGAAGGGATTGAGAACTCTATGTTTGGCCATGAGGGTACTTGATGAAAGAGAATTCAATTAATTTTCATAAGCCATGAATGATACTCTAGGTGGGAATGACACTGAAAAATAATAAACTGAATTGATCAATAAAATTGAAACCAAATTAACACTCATTGGAGCTACAGCTGTTGAGGATAAATTATAAGAAGATGTTCCAGAAACATTAGCAGACTTTCTTAAAGCAAATATAAATGTGTGGATGTTGACTGGAGATAAGTTAGAAACAGCTGAAAATATTGGTCGATCTTGCAATTTGTTATAAGAATAAATGGACGTTTTCACTTTAACTCCTGGCTGTGACATCCTTAATATATTTAATCAAATTGCAGATCATGTTATATAGAAACCTGATACTAAAAGAGCTATGATTATAGAAGGTATTGTATTGGCTGAATTAAACGAAAATGAAAATCTAACCAAATATTTAATATTGCTAGCTCCTCATCTTCATACTGTTATTTGTTGTCGTGTTACACCAAAATAAAAAGCGGATATGGTGAGATTGGTTAAGAATGAACTCGGAAAGATTACTCTAGCTGTTGGTGATGGTGCTAATGATGTTAATATGATTTAAGAGGCACACATTGGTATTGGAATATATGGTCAAGAGGGTATGAGAGCTGTTCAAGCCAGTAATTATGCTATTGGTTAATTCAAATGTCTCTGGAAATTAGTGTTATATCATGGAAGATAAAATTACATTCGTATTTCAGAAATGATTTTATACTTCTTTTACAAGAATATCATTTTTACTATCCCCCAGTTCTATTTTGCCTTCTTTAATGGATTAACAGGAACAAGTGTTTTTGATGAATTGTATTTCTTCTTATCATTTTACATAGCTTTGTCTCCTTTTACAATACAGTGTTTACATTCCTCCCGGTGGTAATAAGAGCCATTTTTGATGAAGATGTGTTCTATACACAATAAAGAAAGCAAACCATATTAGGAAGCAAAAAAATTACTGAGGGATAGGAGGAAAATGATATACTTAGATAGAGTTATCCATTACTTTATTATATTGGGCAAAAAAACACTATATTTACAAGTGAAAAGTATGTTGATAGTAAATTTTTAGGTTTTTTAAATGGTTTTCAATTGGAATATTCTAAGGATTGGCATGCTTCTTTTCATTCTACTTTGAATTAAATGATACTACATTTGTTAAACAATCTGGATATAACAATGATTTATGGTTCTTTAGTATGTCCATGTCAACTGCTATCATGATTGTAATTAATAAATTCAATATTAGCTTGTTACATTAAAGCTAGCATTAAACACACAATTTTGGACAATCATCACATGGGTTGCCTACCTAGGAACCAGTTTAGGTACTTATTTTGCCTATATGTGGGTGTCTAACATTATTCCATCGTCTGCAATATATGGAACAACATAGATGTTATTTTCAAGCTATGCCTTTTATTTGAGTCTTGCATTGTCTGTTTTGTCAATGTTTATTCTTGATTTGTTGATGTTCACAATTAAGACATCAAAGGATACGCTACTTAACTATATGAAAAGATAAGCTAGACAAAAGTAGCAATTGGATTAAGCTAAAATATTCAAGTTAGAGAAGAAGCTCAAGGAACAAATTTCAGAAATGGAAATGCCAGACTTTGAATTGCATCAAAAAAGGAGCTTGATTAATTCCAATCTCTCTCAGAGCCAAGGCAATTTGAAATAAAGTGCAAGCAAGGATAATTATTTATGAGTTAATTTAAAATAAATAATTCATCTAATTTAAAGTACAAAGAGATATTTAAATTGTTTTCAGGGTTACGTCATTTGTAGTTTGGGCTATTTATAATACTAAATTAAATTTATTAAAAAATATATTAAAAATACACCAAACTGAAATGGGAATTTGCAAATCAAAAACAAAAGATCACGTGGATGCCTAATTGTAAGGCTCCTTCGCATAAGTCATCAATTAAGGACCTGAAAAGAACAATATTGAGGCTTTGATCAATGAAAAAACACAATCTCAAGAATTGTACAATCCATACAGAAATCCAATTCTTAACAGACGTCTTAGATAGTCTCTAGCCTGATTGATTCTATATATATGTTGTTTATTTATAACTTTCTGAAGAATTTACATAAATTTCCCTTTAAGTACATGAAATTTGTCAATTTCTTATTTCATACTATTTATCATGTCGTATTTATATTAATTAGTATCTTGATCAATTAATTAAATAAAAAAATGGGAACTTGTGCTGCTCAAAAATAAAAAAGAATCTAGAATGATGGAGAATTATCAGAAACCATGCTCAAAGTCAGAATGTCTAATGACAGTCAGGCTGTTTTGAGAGAGAAAACTAAATAAAAAGGAAGTTTTAATCCGTTTAAAAATCCTATAGTAAGTAGAAGAATTAAGGAAATTCCTGCTCAATCAAACAATTGCCTACTAATTGAATGAAAAATCAATACTAAATATAGATTCTATTGTGTTAAACTGTATAAATTAATTTATATTATATAAAATTAAACAAACTATTTTTAAACTTAAAAAATAAAAGTGTGACTTTTTTTCAAATTATTTCTAAGATTTTATCATAGCCACATCTACCTTTTCCAAGTTTTAAATGGTTAATTAGAAAAATTATACACATCTGAGAATTATCTTTAATATTTTTATGGAATAATAAATAATTTATATTTAACAACTAACTTGAGTTGAGATGTCTTTATTGATGCAAAAATTAATAAAGATTTTGAATACTTTTAATAGAGATGGAGTTAATAGTAAAAAATATTGTAATGAATCCTATATTTGAAATAATTATTAAATTGAAAATTGTATTAACTTTTTTCAAAGTATTTGTCATTTTGCATTATTAATTGATATTAATGATTGTGTTTTTAAATAAATAAATAAAAGGAAATAAAATCATAATTTCCAAACATGAGTGTAAGGAGACTTAGAAGTGGAGGTATGCATGCAAATTCGGAAGAGGAATACTTGAATGTATGATTTTATGTGTATTGCTCTAGAAAATTGTTAAGTTAGAGAAACAATAAAAGAAAAAAACTATTAGCTAAGATGATGAATACTTTGATGGTTTCATTGTAAATTCATAATTTACATTTGAATGCATCGAACAGCCTCAACTACCTTAGATCACTTAGAAATCTCACTTTATTTTAATTATGATTGATGATCTACATTTAAGTCCCAGAAGACTGCAAAATATGATCGAATACAGTAAGTTCATGTTTAAAGTAATTTTAGCAGACAATTGTGAAACAATGACTCAAAGTACGAATGATGATTCCTCAACTTGGAGTCCTTAAAATATGAACTATGACTGCGTAGTTCACACATATACTTAAGAATGTGTGAATCATCTTTTTAATATCTGGATAATAAATACTCGGAATATAAATTCAACTTTTAAATGTATGATAACTATCAATAGTAGATTGCTATTACCAGCTATTTGAAGCCTTTATATGCGTCAACAATAATAAGAACAACTTATTTTAAGAGGTTTTTGAGGAGATAAGACAAATAAATGGTAAAGTTCAGTAATTCCACATTAAGGAAAATGATGAGGTAAACCATTATTAATATGCTAGGTTTCCCCTGAAAGGAAATAGATAAATAATCTTCAATAAATTTTAAAAACCTTAATCGATTCGAGAACTCCATGAAGATAGCACATTAATGTAATTTTTGTTTATTGTTTATGTTTCTATATTATAAATAAGAATTCGCATCTATTTATATATAAAATATATACAAACACTTTTAATTAATAAATTAATTATTTTAATAAACAAAAATGGCAGATCAATCATAAGCAGAATATTTGAACTTAAAAGTCAAATCACAAGATGGTGAAGAGGTTTTCTTTAAAATCAAAAAGGCCACATAATTTAAGAAATTGATGGATGCCTATTGTTCTAGGCAAAATGTATTATGAAGTGAATATTTTAGCTCCAAATCTAAAATGTGAGATTCTTGTTTGATGGAGAAAGGATTTTGGAGACCTAAACACCCGCAGATGTATATTTAATTCTTTATCTATTAGATTGGAATGGAAACCGGAGACGAGATTGATGTTGTAATTGAATAAGTTGGTGGATATAAAATAATGTGATGCTATCATTATATTTTATAACATATAATCTATACTCACCATCTTTCCTTTTTACTTATATCTTAGATCTGCAGTCTACATATTTTATACTATACCTAATTTATATATAACCTTTTGTTAAATCAACTTATTATATAGTCAAATTCTTTTAATAGTTATTACATGAATGAAAATCATTTACAAAGATTGCCACAAGAAGTTTAATATCACTTCAGTCAAACCAAGTTAAATTTCTACAATATAAATTCTTATAGACTAGTTCTTAAACTACATATAATTTCCTTTATGTATATAGAAAATCTTAACCTACCTTAAAGTTATGATTGTTCTATTATTTAATAAGTGTAGCATGAACAATAATTAAATTTCCCATTTCAAGGGATTCAAATACGGTAATTATAATACTTATAAATGATATTTTCACTCTTGATTAAAAAAGGGGAGGAAGTTAAAATTTAATTAAATTAATTCAAAGTTAGTAATGGATATGTAAGAAAATCAAAAATTACATTACTAAATTTTACAATTTTATATAGAAGCAACTCTTTATAAGGCTGAAAACAAGTTTCAACAACAAAATAGAAATATTTTGATAAAATTGGGTTTTTATTATGAGTGGGCATTTAATCTATAGTATGTTTTAAGAATTGAATAAATTTTTATATGTAAAGCAGCTTCATTAATTTATATTACAAATTTAATAAGAGTTATCACATTAGTTAAATAATAATTTCATATTAAATTTTAAGAATATTATGATTGTTTGAAACTTTAATACCTAATTTAAAAAATATATGCTTAAGATTGAAAGTAATTTGAAAATATCAATTCTTAATAATCTAAAAGTGAATTTTAGGAAGATTAAATTGGTCTTGAACTTCTTTTCTTATACTAAAATATAAATCCGTGTATCTCCTTATTATTTTCTTGAATAAAACAATAATCATTATTGTTGTATGTATTCTGCAAAAAACATAAACATCATGAGAAATTTAGCTATTTAAAAAATATTTATAATCTTTAAACAGTATAATTCTGTATGGGATATTGAATATAATCTTATTAATAGGTTACAAAAGATGAAAAGTACATAATAAGATAATATTTAATATACTTATTATAAATGAATAGAATTTTATCCTATTCTTATAAATTTATCATAAAATGGAATCATAATCGTAAGGTTCCGGGATATTAAAATACTATTCTGATTTAATTGGTTATTCTTTGATGATAGGTTTTCTTTTATATTGATCTCTAAACTATTAATCTTCATCTGATTTATTATCTTCTTCATATTATTCTTTATGTGTAATTTTGACTTGGTTTTAGGGTCTTTGTGGTTTTAGTTGTTAATAATAGGATGATATACTTTATGCAATTTAATTAGAATAAAGCCAATCTGGTTTATAATCTTAACCTAAAGCATGTCTGTGACAGAGCATCCTAAATCTTTCGTTGTCTAAATATTAATTAGAAGGATCCAACTCTTTCCAACAATAATAGTGAATCCAAACATTGCAATCCTTATTATTACATTTCATTGTGGCTCCTCGTCTCTTACATAAATAACAAAATGTATCATAAGCAATTCTGACAGCATTGCATAAAGATTCAAAATCTACAGATCCTTTAACTTCATCACAATCCACCATTGAAGACCAATATACACAGAGATCATGAAAGTAAATTCCACTTCTTTCCACAAGGAATTATTTTTCTTTTCTATTAGCCACGGCCTTTTTAAATGCTTCGAATAAATGAAGATCTAATGCAACAGGTCCATAGAGATCTCCATACTTACAATTCAAAAATTCTTTGATTCTAGCAAATTTTGGATGACATTTACAAATAATACAAGCATTTCTAGGTTCTACTACCCAATTCCTTGGTTTGAATCTTACATAACTCAGATCGTGATACCACATCTTGTGTCCAGCAACAATTGATATCTTTTCAACTCTTCCAACTCCTTAATTACAAGGTTCTTCAACAGGATTAGTTTCAGATTTATATCTCTTTAATTTTTTGAATGGGTTGTTATCTGGTCTATCGATGATAAACTTTTCAAAGATTTTATCCTCCTCAGTTAAGCTTTCTGATTCAAAGATGATTGTATTAAATTAGGCATTGTGAACTAAATCCAAGCCATTTTTGAATTGCAGATTCAAAGTGTTATATGAATCCGGTTACATCATCTTAGTATCTAGAGATTATCTTATTTACTTCAGTTGATTCAATACAGGTTCTAAGAAATTTTAATACAATCTTTCATTGGGAACAAATAGATGATTAGTTTGACATGAAGCCACTGAAATTAAGGATAACCTTTTTTATTGAAAACACATCCTTTTAAGAACTCCTTACAGTTATTCTTGGAATAATGGTTATTAGGAATCTACTCCATAGACATAATATATCAGATTGTTTAGTAAACAAACATCGTTGGAAATTTATCGATATTTATCAAATTAGGCTTTAATCTAACTCAATTTCTCATTAAAATATTCTATCTAAATTTCTAGTTCTTCAATTATTGCCATTAAACTGGAAGTGGTACGACCAATAAGAGGGTCTATTTGATTTGGAGTTTTGTATTTTCCATCATAATTGACTAATCTTTTGAGGATATCCAAAAATTCATTAGCTTCTACAACATTATGATTTTCATGTAATTTTCTACACAATTTACAGATAAATCCTTAACTTAAACAGGATGGTGTTAAACAGACCAAATTTAAATGTTCCGATGTGTGCAAGCTACAAGTCGTATTTAATAATGGTACTTATTCTAGTTTAGTATTCATATGTATATAAAAAAATTAAGGATTATTTCTAAAAATGGAAAATTTATTTAATAAAATCATTCAAATTATTATATTACGATACCCTTTTTAAATTGCTATTAGTACTATAACTATTTCTTAAATAAATAATATTTCGAATTTATGTAATTTTTATATTATTTTTATGTTAGACAAAGCACTTTCTTATTGCCTATAAGAAGAAACACCGGTTTCTATTGCTGATATCATGCAGATCTCATAAGAATAACAAATAAACCATAAATAACCAAAGATTATGGCCTAACCAACTAAATTAGATTTTCACTAAATTTAATAAAAATTCATCAAACAATCATCAATTAAGGACATGATCAATCAAGCAAGTTAGGAATTCAAATAAACACCCAAAATCACATAAGACTTCACTCCTTACCAAAGCGGGTGGTAAAAAAACATACTTACCAAATACTATAATCTCAATACAGGAAATAACAGCTTCTGCAACAGTATTAATTTATATACAATAGAAACAAGAAGGAGGGCATATTCGATCTAGATGAATACTAAAAAGGTCAATTTAAGAATTAGAGATATGTCAATGTTTACGGAGAGGAAATTTAAATTAGAATCCAACAATTAGTTCTGATTGTTAAAGAATATAATTATTATCTAAAATGCTATTGAAATTCTAATGTTTCTATCACTGTAATTTAACGTTTAATATTACAACATTTTATTATTGTGTTAACTTTTTGATTACTTTTGCAACTCTTTTGATCTGCTATAAGAATGAAAAATGAAATTAGTGGTTTATATATTATATTCATAAAATGGAGATTAACAAATTCCACAAGAAAGGCGAAATAAATTATATATTCTATTTTTTTGGTATTCCATTTAAGAACATTAATCGAAGAAATTGTAGATAAGTACCTGATGAATATAACTTCAAGCCAAACTATTACTTGGTTGCTTGATGGTTTTATATAAATATAATATTTTAACAATTAGAATGGATATCAAAATTGATTTCATTCTTTTTTGTAAATTAATTAGAAGCGATGTAAAGTTTTATTTATACAAATACTTTGAAACAAAAAATAGTAGTTTAAGAATTTGACAATTTAGAATTAAATTTTCAAAAATGGATAAAGAAGTTGGAGAATAAATGTAAGAATTTTTATAAAAATAATATTTTTCCTTAAGAGATAGTATTTAAAGATTTCTATGAGAAAAATTGTTCCAAATTCTTTATCAATAAAGTTAACCTCTTTAGTTTAAAAATTGAAAATAATTATTTTTCCAATAAATTACTTTTATTGTCTCTTATTATAATTGCTATATCAAATTGACGATCAAAAAATCCCTAATGCTTTATTATTTTCTCTTAGTGTTTCTTCAACTGATTTTAATGTAAGTCTGATTTTCTCCTTATCTTTCTTCTTTAAAAATTCAGCCAATGCTTTCTCTCCTTCAACTTGTTCAAATTTAGGCCATTCTTTTTCGTCCTCGAAGAACTTTTCATTTAAAATAGGATGCAATAAATCATTAATATCTTCAAACTAAGAAATTTAATGGTATATACCCTATCTTTCAAAGAGTCATATTCTCTTAATTTTCTTAATTCTTCAGGATTCATTTCATTGGTTGTTCTTATTTTCAAAAATGTCAAATCTTTATGTCTGATTTCAGGTGGATGCCATACAATTGCAGGTCTTCTGCTAAATCGTTGTGCTCTTCTTGAGTATTTGTGAGGCCGAGCTTTTAAAACGTGTGGTATCTAAATTATTTAGTAAAATATTAACCTCAAAAGAAGGGTCATTAACTTTAGTAAGCATCAATTTTCTTAAATATTCACCATAAATAGAATCTAAATCTTAAGGTTTAGTCAATAAAACATAATTATCAAAGCTGCCAGCCTTTCGAATACATTTCATTGTCTTTGTAGTAACTTTAACATGTATTTTTCTTCCTAAAATTAAGGATTCATAAGTTTATTTTTGAACATTGGGCATCCAAGATCGTCGAGTTCTATATATGAATGGATATGCTCACTTCTTTTCTGAAAAACAAGTCTGGTTTCCTGATTTAGGTTATTTGCCATGCCAAAGACAAAATTGACTCATAATAGTATGTTTTGGGATTTGCTTTTGACAGATTCTTTTAATTAAGGCTGTGTCCAATAATTATCTTGGACTCAATTAGGATATGCTTTTGGTAGTTGGATGAGCACTAAGCCAATATTGAAATGAAGGGCGGTAACTCAATTATTTCATACCTTTGAGTAGGACATTCATTATTTATTAATAAAAAATAAATATAAATTTTAGTATATAAGCAATATAATAGTTTTAGTTTAACGATATTATTTATCTTCGATTACAAAGGATATTGATTTAAATGCATAAAAATGCAAACCTAATTTGAAATTTAGTCACTTTCATAATGTTGCATTGAAAGTATTATTGATATTGGAGATATGATTCAGAAAAAGTATGGTTGTGCAATGTTGATGAATTTTAAACCGTACTTTCTATTGAATATATTATATCTGTTCGAATATTTATTAATAAAAATCAATATTATTAATAATGGACATATATTAGCATTCTTATACACTCCAACCTAAGCGATTGTGCAAAGAGCCTAAATTGGCAATCTCAATTTTGAAAAGAAAATTTATAGAACCAATATAAGATTTTGCTGGTGTTCGAAGAACTAGAACGAGTTTTTCGCCATAGAGGAGAATGAAATCAATTTAAACGAGATAAAAGTCTGCGATACAAACATTTAATTTTGAAGTGGGATAGATAATTGTTCCTAAAAGAAATTCTAAAGTAACTCGATTTTAAGGTCCAAATTTTCCATTTAATCTAAATTACTTGATAAAGCAAATGAATGCTTTAAAATGATTATTTATTATTTTTTATAATATGTAAAATAACTTTAGATTGCAAAGAATATTCGAACTGAAGACGATTAAGACTATATTTAAAAGTAGAACAAGTGTTTAGCTAGCGCATTTGTTTGTAAAAAAAATAGCATCAAGAAATCAACCTAAAATGACTGTTATACACATTGCGGTGTGAAATCTAAGGACGCTATGATAATCTCGATTAGTAAAATGAGTTAGGAAAATCTGTTAGATTTGCTATGTTATTCAACTTAGAATTTAAAGGAGAGATTTCTGAAATCATCAATCAAACGAGAAAAAATAAAAATAGTCAATATTAAACAACTTGCCTAGAGATTTATTTAACCTGGAGAGTGAAATACAAAATTGATTTTTATTGATTTTATATATAATTATAATTCAAATTTGAATTGTGGTTAAGTATGTCTGCGCAAAAAAATTAGTAGGGATATTCTAAAAGCAAGAAGGCTTCAATAACGAAAGATTAGAACGACAGCGGTTTTTTGATTGTGAGTCCTATGAAGGAACTGTCACCGATAAAGGAGAAAATAAGCGAAGAATAAAAGTGTATAGAAGTAGTTGAATTCGGATGGCAAAGACACAAATTAGGAGGGGAAATACGATATTTAGAGCAATTTTACATTGAAAATCCAAATTTATAAAAATCTGATATCTAGCGCCTAGATTTAGATAGTTGTCTAGATGAATAAGGGAAGCCTGTGTATCGCAAGACAACTTAAGCGTTGATGTAAAACATGGCTTTAAAAATCTAATCTCGAATATCGATGGCAGGAGAGTAAATTTATTCATCGATTCCATTACAATAGGCTTGTTTGAGTGACTATCACTGTTTCAAAGGTGATTATGGTAAGGATTGGAAGGGGCATCAGGTGATCAAGAGTAAAACGTTGAGTGGAACAAAAAGAGGTTAGACCTCAAGCAAAAAAATAATATAATAATGATTATAATTAAAACGGCTTTTGTATTGTTTTTATTGGTACTCACAGTTGTTGGAGTGCAAATGTCTGCTGGTCCTGAATCAAAAGTCTATAATTGTGCTAATATTGACTTGATAGAATTGATTGGTGGCGATCCATTACCAATAGATACAAGCAAAGAGAGATATGTGAGTTTTCAAGGGGATGTGCGATTCTCTGTGAAAACACACAAATAAACAATGGATAGTTTAAAGGAGGGGAAGGATTATTTTGGGACGAATTCAATTCACTATAGTTCAATTTAGAATGGAATTTATATATTTGTTGTGGAGAAATCACAAGAAAACATAATACAAACATATATCAAAACTAATTTAAAGAGGTAGTACAAACAAGCTCAGATACCTAAGGCCTTTTATTTAAAAACAATAATCGAGGGAGATAAAAAATATGCAATACATTAAATTGTAATTAGTGATAAACAAGAAATGAAAAGAGAATTATTTAAAGAAGAAAAAGAAACTATGCAATCTGTAAAATGTTATAAATATAAGAGTTTACTGGTTTACAATTCTCAAAGAAAAGTGTGATTATGGTATTTGCAACATTGGAGACTGGAACAAATAGTGATTTCACTGCAGACGAGTCATTCTTATTAGGTGTCCAGGGAATTTTGGAGGACATTAACTAAGGAAGTAAATAAATTGTCTTCAATAAGAAAAGTGCGATCAATTCTTTTGTAAGCCACCTTCCATTGCCAATCTAGCTGAAGCCTTGTCTGATATCCCCGTACTTAAAATCACATGCCAAAAGAAAATGTGTTCATATACCTAAGGAGGATAAACAAAAGTGCTATTCACAAAATGTAATTTAAACTTCTAAAATTAATCTAGATCCATTTTTATAGACAGATAAAAACTTTAGATCACTTGAGAAGGCAATTAATGGTATGTTATTGACAACAATATCGCCTAAAAATTAAAAGTTTGTTTCAATTACTGCCTAATTGGCTATGAAATGCAATATATAAGATTTTGACTTCCATTCAGGAGGATACAGTGGAGCATTTCAAGCGATTAAACTTGGAGATCAAAAGCTTTATAGTGCATTAATAATAGAACCAGGGTACAATGGAATAAAAAGGAGGCTACAAACCTAAACACCTGAATGTAATACTGTCTTTGTAATTACTAGTTTATGATTTATTGGAAGGAATCGATAAGGTTAAGTCCATTTATTATTTTATGATTATCACAAGCAAAGGACCAGAAGAGTTATTTAATGAAATTGTTTCAGTCATTGAAAACACTAAAGTCTCAGATCAGAAGAAATTTGAATGCACTCCAATTCCTAAAGAAGACGATATTTCATTCATTCAATTGAATTCAAAGGTTAATAGTTTAAAAACATAAAATCGAAATGAAAAGCCTGAGGAATATGAATACGTTTATGAATATGCTTACGATGATATTGACGATGATGAACTTGGAGAGTATGAATATGTCTATGAATATCAATACGAAGAATTGCCAGAAGAATTAAATTAATAAGAATTCTATGAGGAAGCCAATGATTTATAATCAGATTCAATTGAGTTTGATCAATCAACAGATGATTCAGATTCAGAAGATATTGAAAATTAGAATGTTCCATAAGCTGATTTATTAGAAGTTTAATAGAATGAAATGTGTTTCTATGCATTTTCTGAATGTGACTTCTAAGGTGCTTCACTCAAAATTTGTGGTCCAACTCCAAGCATACCAAGAGAATTATAGAACTTTTTAATATAATCTATTAAAATGCCTGATTCGATGCGAATCACGTTTTATACAAATTAGCAACAGAAAATCACCATTGAAGGGGATTAAGAGTGCTTGCAGAGAGCTTTTGAAATTGATTAGATGAGACCATAAAGATAATTGTTGAGTCATCAGTGATTATGCAATATTAGATGAACATTTTTATTAAATCATTTAATAAAATTATATATTACCATGGCTGAAGGAAGAGAGAACTGGGCTGTTGATGAGTTATTGAAGGCTGAAGAAGAAGCAAATAACATTATAAAGGTTGCTTAGAAAGAGAGAGAGAAAAAAATTAAAGAGGCTAAGGTAGCTGCCGATTAGGAGATTGCAGTATTCCGAAGAGAGGAAGAAACCAAATACAATCAAGAAATTCTGAGAGTAATATTAAAGAATAACTGAAGCGTTTTGGGTCTACTAAGGAGGAAGAAGAATTGGAAAGAAAAACAAAGGCAGAAATTGATAAGATATATCAAGATTATGAAGCTAATAAATTGGCAGTTGTGGATATGTTGATTAAAAGGGTTATTGAAGTGAAATTGGAGGTTCCAAGAGTCGTAAAGGGATAATTTGAATAGCCATAACAAAATTAATGAGATAAGATGATGAATTCATATAATTATAAATAATGAGTGGTAAAGATTTCTCATAATTTCTTTCTAACAAAGACAATTAATCAATCTAAGAGAGTGTGAAAAAGAGCGTAGATCCAAATCTATTCATCAATGAACAAACCCTTAAATAAATAGAGGCAGAAACCACCAAGCATTTTTGGATCAATTACTTTACTCAATCCATTGTTACAACATTCGTTGCTCCATTAAATACCATCTATACATCCTTATAACTGTCAGTCATCCCTCATTAAAATAAATACGGTGATTTACCAGAAGAATCAGGTACAAAGACATCGACATAATTGGTCAAAACAACAAGAGACATACAACCTCATGAAAAGAGGAAATTTGAGTTATTGATTAAGAGTGGTGCTGTTGGAAGCAACAAGCCATTCAGAGCTCCTATCTACACTACTTATCGCGAAGCCTTTTAGGGATTGACAAATTAGGGATGGTAGGCATTTTTCAAAGGAAATTTGATTGGCATTCTTCACCTATTGGCTAATAGTCATTTGAAGATTAAATTATTATCTGACTTAGATTTTAGATTAGGAGCTATGTGGCATGAAGGAAACCAATTATTACGTTAAGCTGTGATCCTAGGATTGGTAACTGTTTCTGATGTTGCCAGTAATCCATTTATGTTATTCCAATCGAGATTCATATTGCAAAATAGATTACCCAATTTTTATTTGTATAAGAATTTATTGAGTGCCTTCAAAAAGCATGTTAGACATAAGAAAGAATACTTCCAAGGATCTACTACGTATTTATACAAAAATGGTTTCATCTTTTTGGTGCAAGTGCCTATTCAATTCTCTTAAAAATTGGAATAATTCTAGATGCTCTATTTATACCTATCCTACAATCTAATATCCTATCCATTTCTAACCATAGTAAGAAGATTGCATTGTTAAGTATGCTTATCTATAAAATTTAATCTAGTCTACATTACCCGGGATGATCCCCATAAGATATTCAGGACCCTTCCATGCTTTGAGATTGATAACTCAAGAAGAAGGCATCAAAGGTCTTTATAGAGGTTTCGGCTTATATTTGATAGGAAGTGGTCTGTTGTAATACATCATGTTCGGAACTTAAATAGATTAGGGAGATTTTTGAAATAATTTGTTTATAATTTATGGCATAATCATTTGCAATCTTATAAAATTCGTTCAAACATTTCGGAGAAGGACATTACAAAGAATCTATGGAGTAATCTACAATTTAAGTCTAGGGAATTGCAGAAATTTAAACAGCTTAAAGAGCAGTCGGATCAAAATCAATCTATGGTGCAAATTAATGAAAATATCATACTTTGTGAATACAATATAACTAGGGATGCCAATGTCTGTATTTAAAAATTAGATGAAATCATCGATGAAATTAGAAAACCCTAAACATAAAAAAGTAATAATTAAAGCCAGTTTATCATTTTAGAAAAGAAACAAGATGATGATAGCATTTTGCAATACAATAAAGCAATCATGCTATTTTTGAGTGGGAAGATTAGACAAGCTCATAACCTCTTGAAATAGTTGAAAGACAATTACAACCTTGACATTTACTTGAACATTAAAGTAAATCTACTTCTAGTGGAAACCTCATTTCAATTACAAGAATATGTTTATGCAAGTGAATTGTACAAAAAGTTATCCTCTGACGAAACTTTAAAATCACTGTAACAAAAACAAACCAAACCTAATCAGATTGATGATTAACAATAATAGCAATCCTAATAAAACTATACATCGCTTTTAATTGGGTCAGATTTGCCTTATCCAGATTCACACCCCAATACATTTAGCAAAGAGGAATTCCTTTTTCTCCTAAATGTTATTAAGTGTCGTTTTTACATGTTGTCGAACACAAAAGATTAGAAAAAATAATTAAACCCTCTAGAATAATCGTTTAAAAACTATATGACCTAATTGGATTCATCAAATGGAATATCATAAAACTCACTGCCATCCTTTTCACAAGACATACAACCATATTTGAAATTACATGCCCAAATGATTCTTAAATTGATGAAAGCTTAAAGGCATTTAACACTGAATGAGAATGTGCATAAGTGCCTTAAAATGATGACTCCATAACCTGAAATTTAAAACCAACAAAATGCAGAATTCGCTCAATCCAAACAATTCCTTTATTTGGCTTAAATTTTTAATAACCTAGGGTGTGTTCATGCCAAAATGGGCAAATATGCACTCGCTGCTGTTTATTTTCATAAAGCTATATCATAAACCAAATTAGTCTAATAACAGTAAAATCTATATGAAGGGATCATTATGAATAATGTGAAGCAAAGATTATATGCCATGTATTAAAATCTAGCAGATGCTTTGTTTATGGATCAGTAATACTAAAAGGCCCTCAACGTTTATAATCAACTGTAGGATTTGTGCAATCAGAGCGCTAAGTTTTGGTACAATAGAGGAGTTTGTTACATTCAAATTTACCATGAATCTATGCCTGACAAGAATGAAATATACGAAATTTCAGAAGATCAGTCTTAATTAAATACTCAAGATGAAGGCAAGAAGATCATTCTTCCAAGTAGAGAAATTTATAGTGATGCCGATGAGGAAGTGTAGGATTAGTTTTACAAAATTGATTAGAAGAATGAAGATAACAAATTTGTTTAATCTAAGGCGAATAAGGAATTACTAAACAATGCCATAAAGTAAGATAAATAAAATCTATTAGAGATCTTTTCGTAATGCAATAATCTTATCCAAAAAAGAAAAAAGAGAGGAAATCATTCATTTAGATCAAGAATAATTGTCAATCTAAGGGTCTTAAATTTTTGAGTCCTCTATTGTATTTTTAACTTATTCTTTGCTGTGCAGAGGAGATTACAACTTAGCATTATCTCAAGGTAAGGAAGCCTTAGAATACAATCTTTCAGATAATAATAAATACATTATTATTCAATATGTTTTGGAAGCATACATATAAATATCAAAGCTGAAGGATGCCATTAATTTTATCAACAGCAGCAGTGTCTCTTAATTTTTAAATAGAATTAATAATAATAATAATACCAATTTATAATTTTAATGTAGAAACATAGTAGGAATTCAGACAACTTGTATTTCAAATTATAACTCTAAAGCTATTTATCATTTTAATTTGTCAGCTCTTCATCTCCACAACAATAATTTGACTTAGGCTTGGAATTCAATTCAATCTATAATGAATTGCTGTGATATCAATATAAATGCAATTAATTTAGCTATTCCAGTTCCAATTTTAAATTTATTAATATGGTATTACTTGAAATCAGGTAACAATGATTGCTAATATAGATAATGTTTAACTTGCAATCCATTTAATCAAGAGAAGAAGACTAATAACAGGATAGATAGGAAAAAATAAAATATCTCTGTTAAATATTACAAAATGATATAAATAGTAAATAATAATTAAATCATTCTTTTTATATTATTATAAATAATATATTATTAATTATATATTTAAATATAATATATATTATTAATTTAATTATTATTTTAAAATTAAAAAAAAAGTTAGAATAAGGTAGCTGCACGTTTCGAACGAGCAGAAATCAAAATTTAGTGGCTCCTTGGACTGGTCTTGGCTAATCCTCGGGGTGATCAAAATAAAACCTTAAATTTAAAATACTATATTTAATTATTAATTAATTAAATGTAGTATATAATTAATACTATATAATACTCATTGAATATGATCAGCAGGTTAGATAATTAAAGGCTGAAATCTTTCCAAATTATAAAATTGGTCTAATTCTTTCTTAGATTATAGCATTAAGTTACAAGAAAAGCAAATTTTATTATAATATTTCGTATTGGCTCTTAAATAATTACTCAAATTTTAATTAGATATTCTAAAGTTTCAACTTCAGGACAATTATAAACTCCAGTCCCTAGTCTTCTCTTACAAATCCACTTTCTATTAAATTATGAAACTATTTTAGTAAAATTGAAAGGATCTGGGTATATAGATTGGATATTAATTATTTTGAAAGATAATTTACATTCATTAGTGATAAAATTAGAGTAATCTTAGGGGTGCTTAGGTTTCATCGTTATATATTCATATTCATTAATAAATTCGTTCTAAACACTATTTTCATGTATGTACAAAACATGTGCTTCAATAACATTTTGTTTATCTTATAAGCACAAGTTGAATGAACAACATCACTAGCCAATTTTGCTAAGGCTGTTGAGTATCTTAAATTAAATGAGCAATTATGATCCTCCAGAGAAGCAAAAATCATTTCAATAGTTTTTCATTTTTCCAAGTTATATTACATTTAAGTCTCAAAGACATTTTGAACATATGCTCGACATATCCAATAAAGCATTCTTTATAAACAGGATCTTTTTGAATGACTATGCTCGAATTGTTGGTTTTACACTTTTTACTACTTTAAGTTCTATTTAATACATAAATAAATATTAATTATGAAGGGAAAGAAATTATTGGATGATGATGAGGAATTCCTAAGATCAAAATCATAGATAGTATATACTAAATAAAATGTAGGATATATTTCCAAGGTGGTAAGAATTGAAACCATTGGGTAAAAATATACATAGAAGATCATATCATTCATGTGTGGCTCATGAGAATTTGTAATGTAATATTAACAATCTTAGTCTTTATGTCTATGGAGGATATGAAACAAACGAGGGAATTCTGAGTGACTTTTGCAGAATACCATCACCTGTTTCACCAAAGCCTTTTTGTTGGACAACCTTGATTAAGAAAGCAGCAGCAGATAATGAAAATAATCTCATTCCAGGGCCATTGAGAAACCACACAGCAATAGTTCATTAAAATAAAATGTACATGTTTGGAGGGAAGGAAAACTTGATGTCTCCAACTGCAAAATTATGGATCTATGATTTTTAGGAAGAAGTATTTATTGAGGGGAAGGAATGTATAATTGATGGCAAGAAGATGGCTGTGGAAGGTCATTCAAGTTGTTTATGGAGTGAATAGGTAGAAATGCATACAATTATTTTTAGTAATAGATGGTTGTCTTTGGAGGATTTTACAGTGATACTGGATATAGATCATCAATATTATTTTATGATTTGTAGAAGGAAGTTTGGACAATGATATTCAAAGGAGATAACAACTCAGCACAGTTTCCAAAAGGAAGAGCAGAAGCAGGAGTTACATTAATTGGAAACACATTGTATGTATATGGAGGATGCAATTACGAATCAAGATTTGGAGATTTTTGGAAATTTGATTTGGAAAATAGATAATGGGGATTAATTGTAACAGAAAAGTCTCCAGGAGTAAATTATTTAATTTATAACTTATAGACAAGATCATCCACTTCTTTGCTAGTTCATCCTTAAGGAATTATGTTATTTGGAGGAATTCATGATATAACTCATGAGAAAAATGACTTGTGGTTATACCGAACAAATGAATGGATGCAACTGGAGGAAGATACTAGTAGAAGATAGGTGGCAGATGAAATGCTAAATGATTCTGCATTTGATAAAGCAAGTTAAGCAAGACCATAAAAGAAGGAGAAAGGTAGAAATGAACCTAGATCCTTTTTATTATTGGATGATGAGCCTAAGAATTCTATTCATTAGAGAAGAAATTCAGTGAAAAATCTTGATTAAAAGCAACCTACTGACACAAACAATAATTTCTAATTAAACAGTATGGATGAGTAGAAAAAGAAGAGATTACAACAAAAGAAAAACTAAATGCTGTATCATCATAATATTATATAAGGGCTGAATTCGAATTGAATGAGGAAGAAAAATCGAAATACAGGAGTTCATCACCAACTACTGACTAGATCAAGAATTCAATAAGTGTGATCACAAATTAAGAAAAACAAGGAGGGTAGAGAAAGATATAATCACCAACAGGAAAAAAGAATGCAATTTAAGCATCTCTTAGTGGCAAAAAGCCATGTGCTAGAGATGGTCACAGTGCTATTGTAATGGGCGAAATAATGATAGTGTTTGGTGGAGACAGAAATTTGATGTCCTTCAATGACATCTATATGTACTCGTTCAATTAAAAATGATAATCTATAATTGTTATGAATAACTTAATATTCAATAATTGTATATGCAAAATAAAATACTTTACTTAGAATTTATTAATTCCTTTCCTAATATTCTAAGTTTTTAATTTCAAATAAATTAAAATCATCAATAATATCCTAAGATCAAAATTCTGTTCAATAGGTCATGATTTTTTCATATCAAAAAATTAAAAAAATTATTTATTACTGGCTTACTTCATTTTCTCAGGTAGAAATCATCAGAGTTGCTCTCATTATAAGGTGGTTCATTATTATAGTACAGTATCACCATATTGAATTGCAAACTCTTTTATTTTCTTTAGGTATAAATTAAGTTAGAATGAAAAATAAGTATATTGTTATATTTATCATTTTGTGTATTTAAATTATCTTTAAGTTATGGGAACAGATTTTGGTGTAATTATTATTTAGGCTCTTTCGCCTTTTAAAGTTATGGATCTCTCTTATTTACTTTATGGTCTATTAATTTGAGAATATATATGATTGGTTTGATGTCTTTCTATTTTTTTAAATCTAGCAGATTACATCCTTACTACATTTTATTAAGTCAAGATAGTAGCCATGGTGTGTTATTTTGTTTAAAAAAATTTAGACTTAGAAATTTAAATTATGCCTTGTGATTTATCTTCTTCCTACTTTTGTTGAAATTCTGGATTCATCCTCTCGAATATATCGTTATAGCACTTTGTACAATCAATCGAAACATTAGTTTATTAAGTTTGATTTTTCATCTTCCCCCTATCCTTATCCTGGCCAACAATTGATTTGTATTAATGAAATTCATTTTATTCAGTTCTTATTAAACTCTTACGTCGTTTGTATTTATTAGAATTGTATTTATGTTCGAAGTCTGCTTATTAAGGATCATGCGATGGTACTTTCGCTTTTTAATTACACTATATTTTATTAATTGATTTACATTTTGAGAATCCTATGCTTAATCATCTGTTTGTTAAACTATTAAAGATTCCTCTTCTTCTTCATCTTCCTATTATTTTTGCTGTTCCTTCTCTAATTATTATTAGAATTATTTCTCAGCCTATTCTAATTCCAATTCTATTATTTGATTATCATATTCAGCTTATTTTAATTACTCGTTTTTTAATAGCATATATGAATTCAGTTCGCATTCTGCATCTTATAGAGGCTTTTTAATATCATAGACGTCAGTCAATGTGAATGAATTGCAATTGGAAGTAACCCTTCTCCATACTATTTACCTTTTCATTAAGTCCTTCAATGATTCATAGATCAAATTTTAATCCTAAACTGTTATAGAGGATACTTTCTATTCAAACTATTTCAAATGTTAATCAGCTTTCTCCAAAAAGTATTTAGAATTTTTCAAATTGATTTCCAAATAATTTAGACCAACTCTATTCTTAATGAAATTGAATATCTTGCCAAAATAATCAACAATATTTTCTAATTATACATTAGTCTATTGAGTTGCTATTCTTGTTGATAATTGCATTTCAAAATTATATTTCAGATTAGTATAATTGGATTTTAGGTTTTAGAAATCCCCTTAACATTCAAACAGATTCAATTATGCTTCCATAGCGATTTCATTCTGATTTTTCAACTCTTTTTTCAAGTTGGCAACTCTGTTATCCTTTAATCCAAAAACATTTGTTGATTTACATGATCTATCATTCGATAAAGATCTTCTTGTATTCTTTTAATTTAATAGTTTCTTTATCTTGGCTAAATAGATCCACTTATATAAGGCATGTCTCTTAACACATTTTCTAATCCAGATTTGTTAATCTTTATCTGCAATTAAATCGAGGGCTTCTTGCAAGTTTTGTCTCTATTATTCTCGGTCTTAAAAGACTTGAAATATATTTATTACATGTATTATATTTAATTTCGTAGATCTACTCAACACTAGATTTGATATAGGTTTTCTGTTTTAGAATATCCACATCTTTTTGTTCTTTCTAATCATGTAGGTAATACTTTAACTCATCGGTCTCCTTCTTCTACATATTGAATTCCCTTAATAATTGCTCAGTGAATTTTATTTATCGCTCTATTTGCTATAGTAATAATTACCTTCTAATTGAGTTTTAAATTCTTGGAAAATTCGAGCAGAAGCTTAACTGTTATTAATGCATCTGTCAATTAATACATAATCAATTCCATAACCTTATTTCCTTTTCTCAAATATTTCAAAAATCTACTATGTTCCTATGACCTCCTGCACACCTTTCCAGAATCTATATAAATCTTTGTCTATTTATAAAATAGCCTTGATCTAGGATTCTATTTCTGCACTACCAATGATCTTTTTGACCAGTCGTTTCAATTTCTCAATTTCACTGAGGTATTTTTAATTTTATTAAGTGAGGTTTTAGATTTGGAGTCTAAATTATTGTGTAAGATCCAATATCTTGTTGTAGATAAATTACCTAATTATGGGATCCAACGTATTTGTGTAATCGTAATAGGAGGCATCGAAAATTTCTTCATTGGGGAACAAGTCTTTCCTGACAAACATCTCCCTTAAATGTTGTACATCCTTCAAATAGCCAATTGTCATTTTTTGAATTAAGTCATCCCTCATTCTTACTTTCTCATCAACTGGTAAAATCACTTCCTTCACTACAGGAGCGTTGGACTGTCTCGGTTTAGTGGCAGATGGCAAAACGCTTTGTTTAACTTCGTCATCACTGCTTATGAATCCTTCTTGATTGTAGGGCCTGTCTCTAAATATACTTTTTATTGGAGGAGAAATCTCTATTCATATTCAAAATGCATTACCCAAAAAGTAGTCGTGAAGATTGATTAAGACCTAATCTGTCCTCTTTATGCAGGCATTAAACACCAGCAATTCTTGATTCTTCTTTACTTCGAATAAGGAGCACAACAACTAAGCGATGAAGGATTGAACCTGCAATAAAGCGTCATCGTAGGTGCCTTTAAATTGTAGCACCTACTAAACGAAATTATGAATTATGGACATTAAATAATTAAAATGAATATTAAACTCTTGATAATATTAATCGTTTTGCTATTCAATGGTGGTAAGCTATTTCGTCTGAACCCCTAGTTCTTACCAGCAAAGTCAAGGAATGCTAAGCCAAATGCGATTCTCAAATAAATATCTGCGTCTACACATGTGCTTAATCTCAACTGAGATAATCATTGGAAAGTTAATCCAAATGCAAGAAAATGTGTGATACAGTAAATAAGGAGTGCAAAACTTCTAAATGCTACTTGGAAAGCTGATTGAACAAAGTAATGAAATATCAATATGATTTAAATAATGTCAATAAACTTTCACACTTCAAATCTTATGCAAAAACTATATCCAATCTTCAAAACCTGTCCAAATAGAGAAACAGTTTTTACAGATCTCAGTTAAAGTGTCATTTTTATGGTTCAAGAAGAAGGTTAATCTTCTGGAACACATACATCAAACAGAAATATAAAATGCATTAACCAACTTACATAAGCGATACTCTTTTATTACATATTCAAACTTTTCTTGACTGATTTTAATAAATACATGCTGATAATAATTTTATGAAATTGCTCTATCAGCATTGATAACACATTTCCTATGTTAGTGCCTTACGGAGTACATATAAATCTCTCCTATGATCAACATTATTGAAGAATCAGATATTTCTAAAAGACATTCTAAACTTCCATATTTAAATAGAATTAATTATTAAAAATACTCTTAATCAACATGCTTGGTTCTAGTACTCAGATATAGAAAAATAATTGTAATATTGTTAAATTAGATATAAACAAAATCGTCGATTTTTCGAATAATTTCATTTCAACAATCCCATAAAATGGTATTCTTTATCATTTCTGTCTATTTCAGTACTTTCCTTTCACAAAGCTTGAATAAATCGTATTCTAAAGCCTGTTTACAACTCAAACGGTTCTTAGGATTGACTTCTAATAGTTGATTCATTAAATTAATCAATTGTGTATCCCCATTAATTCTTTAACCTATTTTAGGTAGTTTTCCAAATAACAACTCATGCAACAAAACACCAATACTAAAACAATCTACTTTGTTATTATATTTTTTTTTATCCATTATTTCTGGAGCCATGTATCCAGGAGTTCCACAATATTAATTAGTTTCTGCAGCCTTCACACAAATACCTAAATCTGCCAGCTTTACAATTCCATTTTACAATAAAATATTTTCAGGTTTGATATCTCTATGAATAATCCCATTCTAATGCAAAAAACTGACTCCTTTTAACACCTAATATATTATGTCTATTATCTATTTCTCTTATAACCTTTTTTCCTTTCTGTAATTAAGTAATGTTATATCTCCTAATTCCAAAACCAAAGCAATCTTTTATTATAAAATCTTATACTTATTTCTCATCATTAATTACTCCATAACACTTAAGGATATTTTAGTGGTTTATTAAACTCTGTATTGCTATTTCCGTTTTTATTAATCCTTAGATCCCTTTACTGGTTATCAACGACTTTTGTATCGTCTTTAATGCTGCTATCATTCCAGTTGTTGTGTCACTAAATTACATATTTATGATCATACATCACTGAATAGACATCGCTTATATGGCCTCTCCCTAAATATTTAATCTTTTTAAATCTATTTAATGGAGATTTATAATTCTTTGACATTTACATGTAACTATGTTGTTTATCATGACTAGAACTCCTTAATGGAGTTGTTTAACTGTTTGTAGTTGAAATTCTGCTGTCATGAGAAAAATTAGAAACATTGCGAATGGGTTTAGGTATTTCTATCTTCATTTTGGATTCATTTATGCTTAATTACTTATTTTAACTCTTTATTGCTAAGGGATTTGATTTTTTAGAAGTTGAGATCAATTTTTTAATTTCTTAAATCTTTTCCCTATTTTTTTCCAAATTGCTTTCATATTGTACACATATTTTTGGTTATGCATGCTGACTTTCATACCGAATAGTGTCGTTACAATGTGATTATGTTCCAGGAATTTTGTTTTGTGAATTTGAGAAATCTGTTGACTGATGATGGAATCTGATGTATTAACTAATATTTTTATAGGGATCCATGTGTACCAATTCATTTAGAAGGTCTATCGACAAGTCATACCGCTATTTTATATTAATTAACACTGACGCTCCATCTTTTTTCAATAGTAAAAATTAATTAATTTTATTTTTGCCAATAATTGGACATAGACTCTACTGCTTTATAATTCGAAAATTTATATATGTACAAGTCAGAGAGCAAAAGAACCTAATTTTTTTTGAATTAAAATAATTTTTCATTACTCTCTTAAGAGGCAATTTTATATATAGTTGTTAAATTTTATTTTTCCAATTATTTATATATCAGAATATCAAATTCTAACTTAAACACATTCTTTTTTGGGTATAAATATTTTAAGAATAACAACTTTAGAAGGGTTTCTTAAGAATTAAACTAAAAACCATGCTACAATTTACATTTTTAATTTTTTCATTAAATGTAAAAACATGCTTTGTTATTCAAAAAATTTAAATTTAATTATCTAATAAAACAAGCCAAACTATTTATAATGTTAATAGGATTGTAGTTTTAAGAATTGGGAAATATTAATATTATTAAAAAATAATTAAATATCATTCTTATCTAATGCCCAGTGACGGTTAAATATACTCAGCTCCATTTTAGGGTCCTGGAAGATATTAATTAAATATGTTTCCTTAATTGTTAACTTAGGGAGATTAATAATTGGCCAATGCATTATGATTTGAAATGAATGGTTGAGTATTTATTAATTATGGATTAGTATCTGAATGATCTAAAAAGTTGGATTAGTAACCTTGTTAAATCTGTTAATTTTAAGTCTGACGAAATGGTATCCAAAATACTTCTGGGTTTTGTTGGGCTAAGGTTACAACTTATGGTTGATTAGGGAATAAGGAAATCATTTCATTTTTTTGAGGGCTTTGAACAATAGGTACTTAAGGAATAATTTTAGGACAAAGTTTGACATTTAAATAAAAAGGCTGTTCTTATTCTTATAGCACTTTGTAAGGATCTAAGAATTTCTAATATTATCAAATATTTGATTACTTTTAAGTCTATCCACGATTGCCTTTCTTCAGGATCATTGATTAACATTTTTTAGATCAAACCATGCAGCAATTCTGAATAATTATTTTTAATAGTTTATAAACTTTAAAAGATGTTATTCTTGTCTAACTAATTGAATTGATTATAAAATTATTTGAATTCACTTTTTGTTGTTAAACATAGCAAGACTATTCCAAATGCATAAACATCGCTTTTAAAATTATTTATTTAAGGGAAACGCACATTTCTTTCTAATTGATCTATTTATTCTGGGGATAAAATTGAAATGCAGTTTTATAATGCTTAATCATAAGAAGACAAGATATTAAAGAGATGATTTACTTCCTAAACTTATATATACTATATTACTAATATTTTGAGATTCCTCTCCTAAGGATATAATCTATTCAGACTTATATTACTAATAGATTTAAATTTGTTTTGAAGATATTCAGCACAATCAACAACCTAAAAAATGATACTCCAAATGGCTGATTCTTTGAAGGGGTTTTGCCTTTCAATGTTAAAATTAACAATACTTTTTTTTCATTACAGTCTCCAAAGTCTCCTCTCCAGGATAATCATAATAAACCCTATATATATCTTGACCACGACTGCAAAAATTTGAGCATTTTTCAATAAACAAAGCTCGAAATAAATTAGGATGATTTAACTTTGTCTTCTCAATGAAATATTACTAATCTGAAAGCTAAAGTGTCTTACCTAGGATATTATAAGAATATTATTACTAAATATTTTTACTTAATCATCTGTAATATAAGTGTATATTTCAATAGGACCCAAAAGATTATGCTCAATGCATTTTTCTTTAGTGAATTAATGTTTTAATTACTCATTCCAATCAACCACCATGCTATTACCCATTAATTGAAATAAAATAATAAAATAAATTATTATCCATAATAATTATATTATATTATCTTTTAACCATTCTTAATTTTCCTATGCAATCTCGAATGGCAAGCATAGCTTCTTTTTCTTTTCTATACTCTATTAAATTAAGTAATCATTAAATTAATAACCCGTTTGTTATATTGAATGATAATCAAAATGAAATTATATTGTGATAATATATTTCTGTCCTGAAGAAATTACACTAGAATTGAAATACTTAGATAATATGATCTGTTGTATTTTGACAAATGATTAAAGTCATTATATATTATATTTCTACTTTTAGGTTTTGATGATTTCATCTTCTCTTAGTAATACTTATTAACATTATGTATATTAAATATTTTAAAAAAGATGCAATTTTTGGTAAAATCTTCAGGAAGAGTGGGATTCTTTGGATTTGCTACAGCAACTGCTACTCACAAGGATATTGCAGGAAAGAATTTCTTAAAATTCCAAAGCAAATATGCAGAATACGTCACACAATTCAATCAAAAGCTGTAAGAACATAATCTTTAATCGTATAGTGAAGCAATTGAGAAAGAAAATAAAGCACCAAATGTTGCACCTTAGGGTAAAGCATTCGAGCATCCATACAATAATCCACACAATCCAGTGAACATGAGTGGTGTAAGTGTTGAATACTATTTCGTAGATTAAATCATCTGAATTGTTTTACAACTTCATTGGACCAGAATAAGTCTCTCCACATTATGAAAATTTCCTTGTTGCAAGAAAATATCTTCTTCTCACTTATGGAGGATTGATTGTTATTGGATTTGCAGCAGGCACAACAAATCTTCATTGGATTGCTAAATCATCCTTCTTGCCATTCTTATTCTGGATGCAAATCATGTACTTCTACTTGGAAGGTCGTAAATCATTTATGAAACCATTGCTTGCAAGATTCTACAGAAGAGTAGCTGGAAATGAATGTTTCTAATTGGATCAATATTATCACGAGAATATGTAACTCAAAATTAGAACACTCCTTGAAGCAGCCAAAGGATAAATTGAATATGGGTAATTACACAAGGAATTTCAAAGATGTTAAAGCAGAATTAATTAATACTGTAAAATAATATTAATAATCTTTAGTTTCTTATGAATGAATAATTAAATCTATAGAGACACGTTGCTGAGAGATCTCAAAACATCCTTAAATCAGTTTAATAAGCAGAACAAGTAATATTATTTAAAGATAATAACATAGATTAATTAAAATAGATTATTATAAGAAATTATTGAAGCTGCTTAGAAGTCCTTGGAAACTAATTTAAAGAGTAACCTTCCAGAAATCTAAAAGGCATTATTTAAGTCTGCTCTTAAAGGTTTAGCTTAAGGAAAAATGACTTACGAAAGTGATCCTTTGATTGAGATGATTCTTAAAACAATTAAAGAACATGTCAGTAAAATATAAAATCTATCTCCTGCTGAGTAAAATTTTGATTAAGACTTTCTAGATAGAAGAAGTTGATTTCACTTAGCAAAGATTAATTAGCAGCCATCTAAGCAAATGACAAAAAGTAATTAAGATGATAGATAAATATAATAGAGCAAAAGAAGATTTCTTGAGAGCTGAACCTAAGATCGATTAAACCTTAAAAAACTATGAAAATGTGAAGAGATAAATGGCTTCATGGGGACAATGAAAGTGAGTATTTATTCATGATATCCAAAATAAATTATAATATCATTTAAAACTGTATTAAAAACATTAGGCTAGACCATCTCTATCTAATCTCAAAATTTAATTATAATTAATTACTCTCTTTGCTTTTTCATATTGGATTTATACAATTTCTTTTTGAAATAAGTTAGAATCGATCAATTTTAAGTTATAAGTAAAGTTGCTATACTTGCTTAAACTTTGAATTTTAATGAGATCTTATTTTGCAAAATTAATTTTGATATGATGATAATAAATTCATTACAACTCACACTGATTACATTTATTATGAAAATTTATCAAAAATCTAGTAATTGTTATGTGATAACATATTTAAAGAAGCACTATCATTTTATATATTGAGAGATTATAAAGATTATCAGTAATTAATTTTGTAAAATGTGAAAATATAAAAATGTTTTTAAATAAAGTTATTATATTTTAAGTAGTAAAAAGGGGAGATAAATCGATTTTAAAAGGCTGCAAAATCGTCAATATAACTAAAATCATTTATTGACAAAAATTACTGTTTATGTTTTTTCCTTTTAATTCAAACAAGTAATTAAAACATTTAATAATTGCTTTTGAAATTTAACAACAATTATTTAACTCAATGAAAGTCTAAATACCATAGACTTAATAAAACCAAAGAAATTTACCAATAATCAAATCTATGTTGTAAGAATTAAATGAATTTTAATTATCTATTTCTATAACTAATGGACAGAATATTACCAATTACTCTATTAAATTGAATGTAGAGTTCAATATTTATTTATTTGGAATTACTAAGTAGATAATTATGAAATGAGAGTTTGAAATTATCTTCTAAAGGAATACAAAAAAAGAAATTGCTTATAGATATTGATAACGTAAAAAATGAGTGAATATCAATCGCTGAAGTGTTAATAAAGGGAGATGAGAATGACTCAAATAAATTAAGGAATTTAAAATATAAAAACGCTACTATTCATTAAATGAATTATAAAATATATACCAATCATTGAGGAAATGCTTAATTGCACCTAATAAATTGACTTTCAATCATATGTTTTAAATATTCGATTAAAATTAGGGGATAATTAAAATGTGAAAACCTTGAATATAGGAATTAGAAATCGTAAGGCTATATTGAAATAATTGTAATTCAAATCTGATACTATTAAATATTATTAAGCGTGCAATTTACATATATTCTTTGAATCTGTATTTCACTTTATATTTAAATATAATAATGTAATCTGCCAATACTTAAACAACTGCTTTAAAAAATATTTTTCGTGATATAAAGATGAGATCCAGAGGAACATCTATGGAGAAATTTCAAGAAAACAATAATGCTTAATTGTTGTTTACAAACTAGAGATTACGCACACAATTTGCAATCAGTAAATAAGCTAGCGAAGAAAATATTGCTATATAGAATAGAAAATAAAAGAAAAAGACAACATTAAAATTAACTACTCGCATTTACAATAATTATTTACTTAATGGTGGTAGACCAAACAAAAAGTAATCCCTTCCCTTACTTCAGATCTCACCAAAACCCTTGCCATTATTTTTAATACCAAACAGTAAATCCTCTTCACAAAAGGCTTGTACCACAAGAACATGTTCTTAAGCTGATATCAAGAAATTTTAATTCAAAACACTATTTAATGATATATGATAAATAATTTTTATTTATAACACAATGGTTCGTCAAAATTATACACCTCTAAAATATATCAATTGTAATTGCAAGTAGTGCTGATCTTGCACTTTCACCGGCAGAGTCGAGATTATCTTAATTATCGAAACTTATCAACCCTTTTAAGATTCAGTTAATGAAGACTATGTGATATAATCAAATTGTTGATTAATATTTAAAACATGGCTTTTAAAAATAGAGTAAATAATTTTCAAGATAATTCTAAAATGATAACTCAAACTATAAATTATTAAGAGAATGGTTCTGAGTAAAAAGTTTAAATTAAAAATAATTAGATTCATAGTTTACAACTAAATTTATGGATAAAACGATAAGCAGAGAAAAATTTGATGAAAATAGTTCATGGGAAATGGGAGATTGAGTCTCATTTTTATTGGAAGAGATGTCGAAGAAAAAAAAGATCTATAAATTCTTTGTTAATGAAGGTCAACCAAAATACTATCAAAAGGTCTGGAAATAGCATACTTAACATTTAATTAATGAGAGAAATTTGAGAGAAGATTTTTTGGATGAATGAGATTCATAATTAATTAAGATCATTGATGGTGAGGGAGTTTGGAATTTCTGAAAAAGATGAAATATATATATTTTTGATGTTAATTGTGTTTATATTTTATCTTTGGCCGACCTAATAAGAGAATTCTATTTTATTTGGAAATAATGAAATAATGAGTTTATTAAAGTAAAAATTAAAAAAATCACCTATTTTATGACCAAAAGGAAATTAAAAGTTGATTTTTACAACGACATCCAATCACTTTACCAATAGGTAGAATAATAGAAATCCTAAAGAAATAAATAAAATATCGGATTAAAAAGGGTTGTTGTTGGTCAGTTTTTTTTCTAAGAAAAAGGCATATCATATTCTGATAGTTTGTTGAATAAAATAAAGTTGGAATCAATCATATCATCACCAAGAATTATAAAAATGTTCTTCTTCATTTTATTAAATTAATTAAGAACTAAGAAATAAAAGATTCAAAAACTGTTATTTTAATTAAAATTTAATAAATTATTTGTTTTGTTTCTAATTTAATATAGATTTTTTTTTTTCTAGATATTTAAACTTATTTGCAAACAATGATCGAAATAAAGATTAATGAGTTCAAATGAATGGAATGTCAAAAGAGAAATGTGAAAAAGTAGTGAAAGATGATTTTAGAAGAATTTATGCGGTATCCATTAAAAAGCATAAAAGAATGCTAAGAGTTAAACACTATTCTGTGTATAGTGTTTGCTATTTCAAATTTAAGAATTAGCAAGCTCAGTTAATTTTTAATCAGTACATGAAAATTTTTAAAGCCATGGATAAATTAATTGAAAGCAATATTCTTCTTTGGCTAGTTAAGTTCTGAGCATTTTAAATGAAAGAGAGATAAAAAATGTATTAAAGCTCAGATAAAGAATATTTTCAAAAAGGAATTTGAGAATGATCATATAAAAAAATTGAAAGAAACTCTTTAGAGAGAATAGAACAATAAAAATTGTAAATAATACTTCAAATTAGGCAACTGAAAAAATAATCATCTGAAGTAATACTTTGAAGGTTGATGTCCCTCTCTATCTTCAATGGTACCTATGAAACCAAAATTTTAACAAAAAATATTGAAAAAATAAGGAAAAATGATAAAACATGAGTTGTATTAACATTTCAATAAATCAAAATGGATTTACTAGTTATTAGTATTATCCGAGTAATTTAGACAAGCAGACATTAGGTTAGGCTGTTTCATAAATATCCTAAAGCTTGATTTATAATTTTTTTTTTTCTAGCTAGTAAAATTCGCTCGTTGGTCCGTCAGTCGTAAGCAAGAATCTTAAGTATTCCCTTTAGAGGCGCGAACGATTCATAGCTGTACTTCTTTCGCAATCTCTTGATTTGCTCTTTTTTATCTCAACTTTATTTAGAACCATTGTATTCTGGTTTGTCACATTAGCTTATTACTTATTTTCTATAAATTTAGGACAAAGGGAGCATTAATTTAGATGTTTAATCAGTTCATCAGGGCTCTAATGCTTTCCATATTTAAAAAATGTAGATTTTCTTTTCATAAATATAAGAACTTAATTAATTACTGATATTGTAAAGAATATATTTTGCATTATAAATATTAACCAGAAGTGTTATGAATAATCCAGAATGAATTTAAAAGAAAAATGATTTCTAGATTTCAAGATTAATCTGAAGATAACTTTTTTAAACTTTTCATTAGAATGAATTTTTATATTATTTATTTATTTTTAATTGAACCTTATTTTCCCCCTGATCAAAATTTCATATAAAAATAAAGTTGCTATTTATGAGAAATTAAATGAAAAGGCAGTAAAGAGTCATTTAAAATAGTTGAGTTGTTAATCTTCAAAGGCAAAGAATAAAATTTGTTTGAATTTTGATTGAAATTTTAAAACTCATTAAAGCTTATATTATTGACCTATGTATAATTATTTTATTATATATGAAAACGAAGAAAATTTTTCCTTCTAACACTCAAATTTAAAACTCTGTTATTTAATACGAATAAGACAATACTACTGTTCTCAGAATGCCATAATCTGCATTTTCTAAACCACAACTCTCTCTAGTTCCAAGTGAAGCCTGTCAAAATTACTACTAAATTATCGAAAAAAATAAATTATAATATCTTGAATACTACAGCCAATTTAATGAAATGAGATTTATGGAAAACATGGCAGGTTTTTAGAATTAATAACTTAAGGATTAAAATCGAAATACGAAAAATAAGCCCTTTTAGAAAATTTTCTCAATATGTTTGAAGATATGATATCTTGTCTCATGGCAATCTAAAATACTTTACTTCTCATAAACTTTGATAACCCTGACTTTTCATAAGTTTACAGTGTTCCTCCAAATATCATGGTTGATATCCTATTTAAAGACATTAAAGTAAGTGTAATATTAAAAAATTGTAGACATTAGAAGGGTTACATTTGGAGATGCAATACGCTTCGTCTCTTAGATTTTTAGAAACAGTATTAGAGGCTCTGGAATTTAATTCATAGCTCTATTACAAAATCCATCAATTAGATGTAAAATAATGGTCTCAAAAATGTAATAATTATCTCAATAGTTTTACGACTGCTCAATAATAAATTAATAATTCTTAACGCTCTTGTTGTTGTTTTAAATGAATTAAGATTATTGATTATTGATATTTTATTATAATAATAAATTATCTAACTTGATAAAATTAAAAGTATTTGCACCATTCAAATTTGATGTTAATCGATCTAGTACATAAGAAATTCAATCTAAAACAATACTATTTTCCTTTATTCAGAATGAACGCTTAAGATTAAAAATTATAATGAGAATGAAATATAAATTAACAATATTTTGTGATTCAGTCATCCCTAGAAAATATTAAAAAATTATTATTTAAATACTGCTTGAGAATGCTTCTCATTTAGGATAAAATGTATTTTAAGTATCGTCTGATACAAAAAGAAAAGATGATTAAAATTTGCATTAATTAATTAGATAAGGATCAACAAAGTTTATTTTCAAGATCTTTTAAAAGAGTACAAGTTTGAATCATTTTCAAAAAGCTTAAATTTGATTTATATTAACAAGATTTAGATGGAAACTTAGAATTTAGATTTACTAAAATTAGATTGAAAAATAAAAAAAGAATTAACTATAAAGAAATTAATGAATATCTCCTGATATTTATTTAATCTTTAAATAAAGATTATTATGAATCAGTTAACATTAGAATAAAATCATTTTTCAAAAGATTCTCAATTTATAATTAATGAAACATTTCATTTTATTGTACTTTTATTTTTGTATTTTATTTATGATATCTAAATTATTTAATGCTTTCCATTAAAAATAGGAGGTCATATAAATCTGAATTAATCAATTACATGATGAAATACTCATACATAATAATTAAAATAAAATTTGTTAAAAAAATGCATACATTGCCTGCGATCCCGGTCCCGCTTTATAAAATCATTTTTTTTCTTTAGCCTCTCAAATATCTTTTTGGTGATCAATTACCGTTGCTTCAGGAATCAATGTTTCCATGGTTTAGTGACCGATTGAAGACAGAATTAAATTCAGAGGGAGACGAATTATGGAAAAAAGTATTCAATACTTTCAAGGGACCAATTATATATTACTGTATAATAGTTCAAATAACAGTGATAATCAAGATTAGCGTGTCTTATTTATTAAAAGTTACTTTACATAGTATGGATTCATGGAATGCTTTCTTTTTAGGAGTGCTATTATTAAGTTAGGTAATATTTGAATAGCACTATTTTCAAAACATTTATTAGATGTCAGCTAAGATTAGAGCTTCTTTAGCATAGATGTTATTGGCTAAACTATAGAGAATATCAACATCAAGGTTAAAAGATGGGTAATTTTTTAATATAATAACAATGGATATTGCTGATCTTGACTTAACTTGGTTGCTAGCATTTAGCGGTGCCCCAATAATATTTTGTGTCGGTATCTACATCTTATTCTCATATTTTGGAATTTCGTCATTAATCGGTGTTATAACATTATGTAGTTTGATGGTATTTTAAAAGCACATTACAACATAAACAGGACCATTGAAGTCAGAAAAGAGCAAGATTCAAGATGATAGAACAAAATTGACAGAAGAGATTTTAAACAACCTCCCCAAAATTAAGATGCTGGGATTAGAATCAATTTTCAGAGACAAATTATTGGCAAAGAGATAAGAATAAGATAATAAGATGAGGGAAATCCTAAAAATTGATGCCTTAGCATATTGTTTTAATGGTAATATCAATGTGTTTGTCAGTTTATTCTTGATGATGTTCACTTCAAAAATCCTCATTGGTGACTACCCATCTCCTGATCAAATTTTTAGTTCAATTTGGATCTTACAACTATTTAAGGTGTGGTGCATTACGTATGGATAAAGAGCATACAAATTGATAATTAATTTACGAGTTCTATAATAGAGGATCAACGATGTTATTTGTATTCCAGAAATAGAACCGAAATTATTAAATACAAGACAAGCAACTAAAAAATAAAAGAAATATCAGTAAATAGAGGAGGAGGAAGCTGCATCTTTGGATACGGTGGAGGAACAACGTTAGGGCCAGATAGAAATAATAAATTACAGCGCTTATTGGACAAAATTATAAGAAATGTAAAATCAACCAATATTAAATAAAATAAATTTGAAATTAGATAAAGGGACATTTATTATTATACGAGGGACAGTAGGAAGTGGTAAGTCATCATTACTCTAAGCATTATTACATGAAATTCCATTTTTCAGTGGTTAATTAAAGATATAAGGTCATGTGGCTTATGTTGAACAACGACCTTATATCTTTTCAGGAACTGTGAGAGAGAACATTCTTTTTGGTTGTCCAAATAATGAAACACATTATTTGAATGTGCTTGTTTAGAGTGGTTTAAGAGGTGATAATATTGACCCAGATTTCAATGTAGGTGAAAATGGATCTAAACTATCTGGAGGGTAGAGAACAAGATTGAGTTTTAGTAGAGCATTGTATTCAGATTCAGATATATATTTACTCGATGACATATTATCAGCTGTTGATGCAAATGTATAAATGACGATCCTTAATACCCTAAGATATCTAAAGAGTCAAGGAAAGATAGTTATTTTGATTTCCTCTAGGATTGCTGAATGTGATATGATTTACAAAATGCAGGATGGATAGCTCATTTAAGAAGAAATAAATACGAACGAAATTTAATTATTGTAACAGGTTTAAGAGTAGCCAGAATAGTAGTAAGGAATTCAAGAAGAAGATGAAATATTAGAAGTATCTAAAACAGTTTATTAAAAATACATAGATGAAGGAGGGAAAAATAAAGCTATGCTAATTGTCTTCCTATATTTGTTTGATGCTTCTTTATCACTTTTGATAATTAAATAATTTGGTGAATCCAATTTATTAATTAATTTTTTTCTGATGATTGTTTATGTTTTGGTTAGTTTTACTAAGTTTAATGAGATGTTTGGGTTTACTATCACTGTTATTAATAATTTGCATCGAAAATTAATATCAACCATTGTAAGAATGAGACTAGAAAATTATACAAACATAGGAAAGTTGATGAGTAGATTCACATCTGACATCAACAGCATTGAAGGATTGGTTATGTTAGATTTACATTGGGTAATTGAAGGTCTTATCGATAACATATTTGTTATTTTGGTTATTAGTCTTAATAGTTATATCATCATAGTCTCAACAGCATTTCTGATCCTAATGCTTTATATGAAATCTAAGTTCCATCAGAAAATGAAATATTCACTTAATTTAGATGATCAATCCAGAGCTTAATTAAATTAATCCTTACGTAGTTCTATCAATGGATCCATTTTAATAAGAGTTTATAATCAATAACTCAGAATACAATCAGAGTTTTTATAATAAACTTATTCAAATTTGTAGGCTTAGTTCACTTTTCTGAGACTTAATGCTTTATTGGCCTTTATTATTGAATTCTCATTGCACATATTAATCATCACTGTCTTAGCCATTTTACTTTCATCCGAATACTCCAAAGATGTCATCGGTTTTTCTGTCCTAATGCTGATGCAGTTAGGATATATGTTTTCATTAAAGTATTATTTATTATTAGCGTTTTAGTTTGAGAGGACAGATCTTCTTAGATATAGACATGTAGAATTGTGTGAGAGTGTAAAATACAATATAATTACCATCTGAAAATTATTCAGGATCAAAAATGAATTAATGGCCTACTAATGGAGTTGTCGAATTCCATAATGTGTATTTAAGGTATCCTAAATCCACAAAATATGCTCTCTAAAATATCAATTTTAAAATCGAACAAGGTTAAAGTATTGGAATCATGGGAAGAACAGGGGCTGGCAAATCTTCAATCATTAATTTACTATTGAGAACTGTGGATGTTACAAGTGGAACTATTAATATTGATGGAATTAATATCAATCAAATCAACCTTTCTTAATTAAGAAACACGGTTATGGTCATACCACAGTCAAGCAATTTATTTAACTAGACAATTAGATTTAACTTAGATCCTCATAAAACTTGCTACGATGAATAGATATGGGATGCTTTAGGTAAGGTTAAGTTAGATTCTGTAATCAAAGAATGGGGATTGGATTCGATGGATTACAATTTGAGTGTTGGTTAATAATAATTACTTGCTTTGGCCCGAGCTTTTCTCCATGATGCTAAAATATTGATATTTGATGAAGCAACTGCCAATATTGACGATGAAACCGAAGAAATTATTGAATAGGCTTTATGTAGTATAACCGCTACAAAAATAATCATAGCTCATAGGCCTAAAATAGTTGTTAATTGCAATTACATCATTAATATGCAAGAAGGATAGATAGTAAATTAATAATGAAGAAATTCATGCATATTTAAATTGATAATACATTTCTTATTAATTAATTATGGTTGATGGATAAATCTAATCCATCTCTGATATTAATATTTTATAATACAAAATAATTATTTCATCAAATTATAAATATGAAGATTATTCAAATTTGAACGAATTTATATCATTGTTACATACCTTTTAATTATATAATGATATAGTTTTAGAAATCAATCTTAAAATTACAAGAATTAAATATTGTTATAATAATTACTAATAACAATCATTAATTAAAATTCAAATGAAAAGAGAAGATTAAATATATCTCTCATCTTTATAAATTTGGAATGCAATGGATACTCCTATTCATTAGAGTACAAATCTTTTTAGTGAAAAATTTAAATAAGGTTCTGAACTTCATTACAATTACAAACAACCATTTTGTTTACAGCATCCTGAAAAAAAAGTAAGTAAATTTAGTAACTTTAGGCTAAATATATTTTAATTAATTCTGAAGGATCAAATGAAAAGCTTTGCACAAAATGTGCTATTGTGTTTGCTTAATAAGGACATAAAATTTAATTAATTGAAGAAGGTACTTTTATGTGATTCATATCTAATAGATAATGCTAAGAAGAAATAAACTGACTCTTTTATCGATTAATTGCTTCAAACTAAAAGTGAAATAGGGAATATACATTCACATTTCTTATGCACTGAGGCAAATCTCAAAAAGTTTTATAATGACTAATATACAAAAGTTGTTAGAACATTTGGAAACATTGAGAAATAACTTCAATTGGTAATTCTTTTTACTTATTTTTAAAGTGCAAATCAGATTTACTTATTTCCTTATCATAATCACTTTGGTCTGGAATATAACTCACAAATTAATTAAAATTACAAGCTAAATAAGTGGAACATCAATTGGTAACATATATTAATGATATTACAAATCATTATGATCAAATAGTATAGATGAGCACTCTCCCATTTAATTAAATTATGGGTGGCTACAGTAGTAAACTATTTAAACTTTAATAATGTCTTAAAGAGATTTAAGAGAATAATATTCCCTATCTTCATTATGAGGGTAGAATTGATTGCTTTCGATTCTTTTTTAAAAGATATAAGCGTCTTGAATGAAAAGCATTAGCCAACAGACGCAAGAAATCATGAAAGCACTAGGTCAAGTTCAGGATAAAAAACCTGCAAAAGTGTAGAGAAAGACAAAAGACCTTATAGTTAACCTAATAGTAAAGATGCGCATTGTAGTGATAACTCTGGAAAAAAAACTAAATAAAACTTTAAAATAACTGAACAATCTATCGAAGATTGGATGGAAAACTCGAATTCAAAATAAAGAAAAACTGAACCTGCTGAAAAAATAGCAAGTCCTAATCTTTAGGCCATAAAATTTGTTAATAAGTAAATGCCTCCAAACAGAGTGTCTATGAAACAAGAAACAAACTAAGCAATGCTTAATAAATTAATAAATGAATTCTCCTAAATCAAAAAAGATAGAGTCAAAACTATGTAATCAAAAACTCCTGAATTAGGTAAATCTAAATAATAGGCAATTCCTAATAAATTCTCCCCAAAGTTTCTTTATAAAAATTATTATAAATGATTAATTAATAACTCAATACCAAATTCAATTTTATCATTAGACTCTCAATAATTATTTGACTTTATGAAAAATTCTCTAATTTTATACTTTTTATGAACTTAATTTTTTATCTGTTTGTAATTATGAATTTATACTTCAACTTTCCGATGCTTACAATTAATTGTAACCCTTGAATTACTTCAAATCAAAATTGTTCTTTAAATTAAATTAAATTGTTTTCAACTACTAACTTTTTCTAAAATAATACATTTTCTTCTTAAATATTTTGGATAATTATTCTTGAGGGTCAATAACAATATTCATCATACTCTTTATAAATTTATCTTATCCTTATTATTGCTGCTGGTATTTTCAATCATTCTATTGCTGAAATATTTAAAAATTGATTTAAGAATTTCATCTTTTCAGAGATACTGCGAACAATAATTAACTTAAATTACTTAAAAATGACATCGCTCACTTGAATCCAATCAAGTAGTATGAAATTTAATAAACGTCAGAATTTGAATAATTATATTTATCCACAAACAATAAAAAACACTCTTTAGAAAGAATAATATGCAATCCATTGAATTCCTTTATTTCAAATATAAATTTATACTTTTATTAATTTCAATATGATTATTTCATATTTTGTTCAAATATTATATCCAAGACTTATCTGTGTTTTGGCACAAATAATTTATGGACTGAATGAGGCAAAATCTCCTTTAAATTTGCTTAAATAATTATATGAATATAAGTCACATTACAAATATACTAATAATTTATTTATTAATGATAAGTATTCATATTCTTTTTAACCATTTCTTTTAATCATTTTCTTTTTTTTATTAAATTTAATTTACTTTATTTTTTTTATCTATATCATCAAATGCAATCTAAAATTAGAATTAGTAAGTTACTTGATTATTTCCTTTTAAAATATTTGCTTCTTGTTTTAATGCGTAAATAGATGTTAATAATTTTGCTCTTTTAAAATATTCATCATAATTTTCCATAAATAATTTTCCAGCTTCTTCATTTAAAGAACTTTCAGGAAAAGGAACAATTAACAAGCATTTTATAACTTCGAATATATTTTTTAGTGACCATTAGAGTGGATTCCAATCTTTCTTTAATGTATTCACGCAAATTTCTCCTTTTTCTGATACGTTTGGATGAAAGATTTTAGTGTTAAATAGTCCTTTAATATATAGCTAGTTTACCTTTAGGAGCCATCTAGGGAAATTGAGGTGGCAAGATCAATTTACATCTAAATACACCACCTTGGAATGGAGTGTCGACTAAATTAAAAGATATAATTTACCTGGACCATCAATATCAGCTTGAATATCAAAAACATCTTATTCATTAAAAATAATATGAACACCTAATAAATGATTACGATGTCAATATACCATCAATAGGTTATTTGATAATCATTTATAATTGCTTAGCTATAATAGGAGCAAGTTGAGGATTAATTTAGGGTTCTTGAATCTATGTTGATATTAGAGAACTCATAGTTTACCATTTTCAATTGTAACTTAGTTAACTTATAGAAAAATTTATTTAAATTATTTATGCATAATCGTTAACAACATAGTTTTATGTAAATGAAAAAACTTTTCTTAACTTATATCTAGTCTCTCGAAATATTCACATAAATAATAATTATTTTATATAAACTATAAAGCGTATTAATAATTTAGATATTGATATAATATGGGTTGTATACTCATAGTTATTACAATTTGAAAATGGATTTACGAATTGGTTTCCCTTTATTTTGGAGAGGTGTCACAGGAGTGATTGGAGAGTTAGGTGTATTATCATCAGTACGAGTCAAACTTTAAGGACTCAGGTTATTGAATGAATTTTTGGGGCTCAAGAAATTAGTAGTTGGAATAGGGGAACCATTTAGATGAGGCAATCTCTTAATATTGCTATGTCTTCGAATTTTAAATTGACATGTTTTGGCTAATTTTTCTTATACAAACCATTAATGATTGAGAGCTTCTAACGCGCTTAATCTTTTAACGGGATTCTTGTTCATTAATCCTTGTAGAAGACTCATACCGTGCTCACTTAATTTACACTCTTCGAATTTTACTTTTGCATAATAATTTCTCATGACTACATCATCATAATCCTTGCCTTCGAAAGGAGATTTGCCAGCAATAAGAATGAACATCAGAATTCCGATACTATATACATCGACTTTATAGTCGTAGAGCTTATCTTATAATAATTCAGGGGCTACATATCCTGGAGTTCCACATCTTGTAAATAGATACTTGCCATTTGGATTGTAATAATCTGCCAATCCAAAATCACATATACACAAATCTTCCAAATCATCTTTTTTTCTTAACATAATATTTTCAGGTTTAATGTCTCTGTGCAATATTCCTTATTCATGAATAAATAGACAAGCTTTTAATAATTTGTAAATTAATTTCGAACATTTTTCTTCAGAAAAAGGAGGAGACTTCTTCATGAATTTATGTAACTCTCCTCCGTTCAGATATTCTAATACTAAGTACAAGTATTCCTCTCCTTCGAACACTTCATACATTTTAATTACCGATTCATGTTGAAGTTTCCTCATAATCGAAGTTTCTTTAATAATTGATAATTTATCAACTTCTTCTTTCAAATCCTATTTCCTGAAGCATTTGATTGCGTACTCTTATCCATCAGCCTTGCTAACGGCCTTGAACACCTGAAATTGATAAAATGAAATACTTCAGCGAAATTTCCTTAGCCTATTTTCTTAAGTAATGAGTATCTTTGAGAGAAGCATCTCTAAATACAATACTTTTTGAGGTAATTATACCAAGGTTCGACATCTCCATACATTTCGAAACGTTATTTGTTTTTAAGAAATCGGATTCCTTGGCCGGCAGCTGGATTTTTAATTAGCTCCATAGTAGCATTTATCAGATTTACCCACTTATGGACCTCCTAAATATAGTTACTCATTAAATCTTACTTATTCCTTGAACAATAACAGGTAATGAGACATCATTCCAACTTTACGTTTCACAAGTTCCCTCTCCTTATGGATAAGCATGCTATCTATTAATTCAGTTTTGATTTCTTAAGCAGGGAACTGAGTTTGTGTCCAGAAGGAGGTTTCTTCAGAATCATCAAAGAAGGAATCTTTCTAAGTGTAGTCCATAAAGTGTAATTTTAATCGATATAACAAACTAATTAAATAATATTAGACATGAAATTCGCTTAAGTTACAGCAGGTGCGTTTTCATCCGGGAAAATAGTGAAGGTTGAACATTATAGTTACAATGCGAATGATTAAATTGGATCAGGTTTCAGCAGTCAAGTGTTCAAAGGCAAAAATGAGAATACAAATGAGACCGTTGCGATAAAAGTATATTTATTATTTGAACCATCAGATAATTGATCGAAGTAAAATTACAAATGAAGTTGAAGAGTTCTTATTGAATTAAGAGATTCGAGCCTTGTCACTAATGAATTCAGATAATGTAGTAAAAATGTTTGATTATTATCACAAACCCCAATGTACCTACATTATCACTGAATATTGTAATTAAGGTATAAAATACTTTGATCATTGTAGGGAATCTGGGACAACTAATCAAAAGAAAATAGAGAATTGATGAAATAGAGGCAATCAAAATAATGAAGCACATAGTAAATGGCTTTAAGGAATAAGTAACTAAAGGAGTAATTCACAGAGACTTGAAGCCAATAAACATTCTCATACGAAATGGAATTCCTAAAATAGCAGATTATGGATTCTCAAAAATGATGAATGCACCACCTGAAAAAATCTACTATAATGTAGGTACAGCTTTGTACATGTCTCCATAAACAATGATTAAAAATATTTATTCTGAAAAAACTGACATCTGGAGTTTGGGAATCATATTCTATGAGATGCTGTATGGCGAAGTTCCCTTTTCAGCTCAGAGTGAAAAAAACTTGGCTTAAGTGATGTTAAAAACTCAACCATAATTTCCACCAAATATCCCAGTATCAAAAGAAACAATAGAGTTCATTTTAAAATGCCTATCAGTTGATGAATCATTAAGGTTCTCCTGCAGTGACCTAGAACACCATCCCATCTTCTATCGTAGACATACTATGACTGCACCTCGCCCTATAGCAGATAGAAATCCATCTGTTAAAAATAGAGAAAATTACTCTCCTCAAAGAACCACAGAATATCATCATGCTCGCAAAATTAATTTCATTGCTTAAACTGCTATGCCTTAATCTGCTTTAAAAAGTAGAGAGAGTGTCAGATGTTTGACTTAGAATGACGAAATCATACAAGCTTAATTCCAATTTATTGAATTGATGTTCAGAATTCTAAGAATACTCGACAAATAGTAAGTTCTTAATTAAGATTTGCAAATCAAATTAAAATTCTTGATCATTAAAAACATGTTCTTTAAGACTATATTGTTGAGAGAAGTAGTTGAAAAAAAGAAGAATGTCTTACAATTAAATGAATTTGATACCTACATCGAGACTGTTGGAAAATACTAAACTTAAGTCCACGAGCTCTATCAAATTTCTAAAGAATATCATGATAAATAAGTAAATGCAATAGTTATTTTAGTATTAAATGATTGAAAACAATCAAACCCTTAAGCAATCTGTGCTCAGAGATCGAAGCTTTCAAAAAATATACGAAAACTTCAAGTCTGTAACTGAAAGCTATGAATTTTATTTACTCTTCAGTACATTACTATAGAGATGCATACGAGATTTATTCAATAAATGTAATAGCAGATTAGCTGGAGCTAGTGATTCTTAATAACTCCAATTGTAAGATGAGACTATGGTTTATGTATTGGAATAGTTGACTTTCTATTACGGTTTATTGAGGTTGATTATAGAGAACAACAGCAACATTTAAATTTTTACTAAAAAGGCTTAGATAAGTAGAATTCTATAGGCCTCGCCAGAGCAAATTACTAAAAGCAACTTGATGAGTATTAGATAATCAATACAAGAAATGAAAATATGAGAAGAATAACTATTTATAAATAAATTATAAAAAAGATTTAAAAATGATTAGTGGAGCATTGAGAAGATCGTTTATTGGCAAAGCTCATTTTGGTCTAGTTTCAGAATACAATAGCAGAGTCAACTAAAAGTTATACAAAGGAGTTTAAGTATCTGAAGCACCGCAATTCTTCACAACATCGGCTAGACCAGGAAATTTTGGTGATCATTTAGATTTCAAAGTACAAATGGATAATTGGTTTGATGAAAACAGGTAATTATTGCTTGACGAATTGATCATAGAGTGCATAACGAACACGAGACTGAAATTAAAAGAACATAAATATATGCATTAAATGCCGTCTATTATGGTGGATTGCTCTCCTTTGCAAGACTATTTGCAGTGGGGATAATAGGAAGATTGGATGGATGGAAGAGATATGATAGAGACACTTATCTCGAAATGGAGTAATAATTTAGCATAAGTTTTAAAGTATTGGAGATTTACCTCCTGGAGAAGTCATGTAAATTGTTTGGAATGGTACACCAGTATTTATTAGGAGATTAACTTAATAAGAAATAAAGGATGAAGATAATTTACCAAAAGAGACTATTTTGGATCCTAGGTAATTTAGATTTCTAGCTTCATAGCTCTGAGGTTGTCCTTACCAATTGTGGTAATACTAAGGTATTGGTTGTCAGTGCTTTATGCACTCATTTAGGGTGCATACCAATCCCATATTTAGGTGCCTACAATGTATAAAGCAAATGATTATGATAGGGTTGGGTTTGTATTTGCCATGGTTCAGTGTATGATAAATATGCAAGAGTGAGACAAGGACCAGCTTTGTAGAATTTGCCATTTATCAATAACTCCATCTATGATGATGTGATCGTCTGTATAGAAGAAATGAAGTTCCCAAGAGAACCAAGTTAAAGATATTGGACTTGAACAAAATAATATTTTTATCTATTTTATTACATAAGTAATATATAAATGATGCCATTTTGTTTTATTTTTGACTTTAATAATCAATTATAAACCATATATTTTTGAGTTGCTGAGAACTTCTAATATCCTTTGATGACCTTTTCAATGGCTTGTAATAAATCCTTCTCGCTTATGGCCTTTCTTCTGGCTCTAATTGCAAACATACCCAGCCTCTGTGCAAACACTTCTAATATCAGCACCAGTTGTATTAGGACACAATCTAAATTATTCAAATTATATATACCTTGCTAATAATTCATATCTAATATTTTTTTCCATGCTCATTGTTCTGGCATGAATCTTAAATATGCCTGCTCTGCCTTCTAAATCAGGCAATGCAAATTCAACTTTTCTATCTAATCTTCCAGGTCTCAACAATGCTGGATCTAGTGTGTCTGGTCTATTGGTTGCCATTAAAACTTTAATATTGCCTCTAGAATCAAATCCATCTAATTAATTAACTATCTCAAGCATTGTTCTTTAAACATCATTGTCATTTCCATCATCATGTCTTGCTCCTCCAATTGCATCGATTTCATCAAAAAATATAATGCATGCTTTCTTGGTTCTTGCCATTTAGAATAATTCTCTAACCATTCTTGCTCCTTCTCCGACATATTTCTATACTAGTTCAGAACCTATCACACGAATGAAACATGCCTAATATACTTCAAGAAAATACTTCAGTTCTATTAGCCACTGCTCTTGCTGTCAATGTTTTACCTGTTCCTGGGGGTCCATACATCAAAACACCTTTTGGAGGATCAATACCTAAAGTGATAAACTTCTCTGGATTCAATAAAGGCATTTCCACTACTTCCCTTAATTTTTTTAACTATTCTTTGCACCCACCAATATCATTATATGTAACATCAGGTTTATCTTCCACAGTCATCATCGTGACTGATGGATCAATCTTAGGTGGTAAAGGTAATTAAATTGCATATTTTTATCTTTCTACTCCAACTCTCATTCCTTCCTCTATGTCTGTTGGGGCCACTTTCTCACCTAAACCAACGACATACTTCGCAATATGCTTAATAGTGATCATATAAAGATCCTTTTGTTGAAGAGAGGATTTGAATATTTTTGTGCATCTAGCCACTGTCAAAGGGTGTTCCTTAATAAATTAATTTATTAAAATACTGAAGCAAGTTTTTGATCTGCCACCAAATCCCATGTACTTGGAATACTTAAACCTGTATCACTCTCTTTTATTCCCACCATTTTGTTTATTGTGGCAACAGAATTTTTATTTTCTTCCTCTAATTATTTGATTTTCTCTGCATATGGTCCCATACCATACTTTTTCAACAGGTTGATATCATTCTCATCAAGGGGAACTGTTTTCGTATCCTTTTCCCTAAAAACTCATATAAATATTCATTACTCTGCCATTACAAAAATTATTTAAATTAATACTTATCTGAAATTTATTATATAAACTCCAACCAAAGATATCCTCTTTTCAGTGCTTAACTTATCTTCTAAACACTAACTAAATCACCCTCGCCTGGTTATGTTATTATTAATGCTAATTGGTTTATTAAAAGAGGTAAATTACCTAATTAGAATAAACTACTCCTAAGATATTATTATCAAATTTCAGCAAAGATGTGAATGATGTTGTCAAAACATTTTCATCTATAATGGTTTCCTTTTTAAAATTAGCAACCATAGGATATTTAACATCAATAGTCAGAATTTTGTTGGAGTAAACATTTTAATAATAAAATAAGAAAAAATAACAAAACCAATTAACAATTTACTAATTACCTTACTTTACTAATGATTTAGCCTTAGATAACATTATATATTTAGAGAATGAATTAAAGTGCATTAATTATTATGAATAATTTAATTATATATAGACTTAATAAGATATTATTCAAGACCTAGTTTAGCTAATATGCCTTATTGATTAAGACCTTGCGAAGGATTTTCTCATTTTTTTTCTTTTCAATTTTAAAGGTAACTTTTTACTTACTTTTTTCAATTTACCAACAACTACTTAAAAATTAAATCCTGTGTCATAAAATTCCATTTCTTTTTATAAATCTATATCGCATTCTTTTTTAAGCATCTGTCGTGCAATATCAATTTCAATAAATGATACTTAATCTACATCAAGCAATTTAGCTGAGTTCTATTATAATTATGGTGAAGGTAATTGTTATTATGCTTGTTATTATTAGCTTAAAGCAATTGTTTATTAAAATTAGGTTTATAAAGGGTCATCATCCAATCTTTCACTCTATTCAAGTTTCATTTAATTTTAAATTAAAGTAACCCTCTTTGTGCTAGATTTGTGTTTCCTTTCTTGAATACAATTTTCTCTTTCGTATAATGCAGAATTTCTATTTTATTAACATATCTTTTAGATAGAAATCCTAGTATATTTTTTTTTAGATTTTATAGATTGAGAATCTTTATTTTCAGATACCTTCCTTTTAGAATCTCTCTTGATTTGTAAATAATTTTGAGATTTTATAGGCTTATATTCGGATTCGTTATCTGAATTTGTCATGCTAGGATCTATTTCTTCTTAGGCTGAATCTTATTAGAAATTGAATTTGTTTGATAAAATAAATTCTGAATTTGGTCCAATTTCGTTTAACAAACCCTAACAGGCGCAATAGTTAAAGACTAACTATTATAAATTTCTTAATTATGCTAGAGAGTTCTATTTATAGCAATTAATTTACATTACATTATGAATTTTTTGATTTATTCTAGATCGCACTCTGAATCTCCTTAGCTATTTATCCTCATGATCATTTTTCTTAAATAGTCTTAAACTATTTGGTGTATAGAATACAAAAGGACACTTTATGAAATCATGATTTTGGTGACACAATTCACATCCTCCCATTTTAACACTTCCACCGAATTCTATTTGATGTTTAACATAATAAAAATGCTCTCTGTCTTCTTGGTTGTATTTTAATAATTCTAATAAATCATCGTATGTAATATAAGCTAGCTTTGAGAATTTGATAGCTCTGGTGGAAAACAAAGCAGGATGTTGTGAAATGAATGACTTTTCATCTATAGCTTAACTTCTTGAATAGAATTTAATTGTTTTATTGTTACTAATATAAGCTTCTACCTCTCCTTTGAGTATAAAGTAAATTTTATCAACCTTTTATCTAATCATTAATTTTTAATTACCCTTCTATCGAGATTATTTCTTCTGGAACAAAAGATTATTCTTTCACGAGTATACATAACTTCTCTATAAATTGAGCAGAAAAGTTTTGTCTAATTAATTTAGAAGTGCACAAGATGTTTTTGTAAAAATCAATCTTAACTTCCCTATTTAAAGTCCCTGATAAATGAATCATTAACTTTTCACATTCCGATTCTTAATCCCTCTCTTATTTCAAAAAGTATTCAAAAAACTTCTTCACTTTCACTTACAAATCTTTATTCAAGCCTCTTTTTTTAAGAAAAGAATCTATCAATGTCATTCTATCTCTGAGGTAATTTTTGTTTTCACTCATTTAAGCAAAAATTGAACCGATACTCGAAATTGTATAACCAAAGATAATAGAACTTAAAAGCGTTACGAAAATGACAAATATTTTCTCATATTGAGTGACCTTTTCACTAATTATGATAATATTTACTGGTATTATATCACCATAGCCTATAGTCAATGTAGTTATACAAGCCCAATAAAAACTTGTGATATATCTAGCTTGCCAATTGTGTTCAACCAGATTGGCTCTTTGAATCCATGTGTTTTCCTCAAATGAAGATTCTTAAATCGCTATGAAATGCCAAATGCAGGCTATAATGTGTGATGCAAACAAGAAGGTTGACATTAATGAGATTATGTCAATGACTGATGCAAAATTTACTCGAAGGTTCGTAGTTTCAACTATATTTTCGAAGATATACATAACCTTTAAAGATATTAAAGATGAATACCCTGGATACTCTAAACAGCAACACGAACTCAATATAGGGTACATTAGATCTCCCTATCATAAACGGGATAAGAACAATGAAATCAAGTGCGAATTTTCCCTTCAAATAATGTTTGAATATCTATGTTCTATTTAACACTAATACTCCCCTTGAATAGTAAGCAACATTAAAATTAAGCAATATTTCGAAAACGAACACATATTAGGGTAGAGTGTCTAGAAAAAAATCTGCTCCATCAACTAGGCTTATTTGAAATGAGATCTTAAGAGGTATATAAAGGATATTTATTAATAAAATGAGAAAAACTACTACATCCCAATATAGTTTAAGCGAATTATCAGGCCTGATTGGTTTTATGATTGATGAAAACACTCTTAAAAAACCTAGGTATAACTTAATTTTTGTAGATAGCAATTCCTTTGGATAATAAAGTAAAATACCAATGAGCCTTATTTTGCCTTGCCTCTTATTAATTTATGTGTTAAATAAAAATTAAAATCAGAAGCCTTATCTCCAATAACTTTAAATTACCTATGATCTAAGTATCGCAATTTAAATTTATCCGAATTAGTCAATAAGTAAGTAACAAAACGAGCAACAAGAACTATAATATTTAAGGCTCGATCCTTCCATATCTTAGTTTTAAATCCTTATTTGGCTTCGAAATCATATGAGTCTTAGGAGACGATACTCTATTCACTAACCTCTCTGGATAACTTTACTTTGTCCAGCATTGTGAATTAAGATTGCTTCATTTTAAAGTTATTTAAGAAATCATCATCTTCAAAAATAGATCAATTTTTACTCATTAAAACTATTGAGCTTGCCATATTTGGACTGGAAAGTGGGTCTTCGTATGCAGACATAAAAATTAAATAATTAAAATTGAATATTCATAACTTAATGGCAATAATACTTTCAATATAATTAGCTTTTCAAAACATAATTGCAATTTAAGTATAATTAGTAAATAAGTTGATTGCATTAATATAAATTTTATTTCTTAACAATGATTAATACGACGACAAAAAGGGAGGAAAGCTTTTTGACAACAAAGGTATCTGATCGAGTGATTACAGTTGAAAATGAATAAAGATCAACTTATAGCTTTGTAAGAAGAAATTATTTGACAACTACATTTGCTACCTTAGCAAGCAGATAAACCAATGGAGTTTATAACGTTGCTTTCAATACTTCATGTTGTCAACCTTGCCCATAACCATGTCCTCAACCATAAGCAATGCCCATGCCAATTTATATTCCCATGCCATACCCATAATAATGTGAAAAAGAATGTCATTGCGAGGAGGAAGAATAATATAAGGAGGAAGTTCTTATTTTGAGAAAAAGAGTTGCTGAATTGTTAAGTAGATAGCCATAAGTAAAAATGGAAAAAGAAACAGTCAAAGTTGAAAATACAACTAGAGTATTCTAGCAATATAAAATTTTAGATAGCAGATTTGTAAATGGAAATAGAAAGAATAAAAATAAACCTTAGAAATGAATAGGATAGATTGAGACAAAAGGAAGGATAGTATCTAGAATTAAGAAGTGATAATTCATCTTAATCTTTGAAAGATAGATTAGCAATTTTAGAAGTATTTTCATTTTGTTAAATTAGAGTTAATTATATAATTCAAAATTGGAATTAGAAAAACTTTAAGGCCTTCTTTAATCTAAGTTATAAGAATTAGATGAATGGGAATAAAGATATCATCATATGGAAAGCACTGTTACTGTCGAAAGCACTGAAACTGTGACTTTAACTAATGTAATCTCTCATTCTCTATGAAGGAAGTTGAAGTTTGGAAAACAAGATTTAAGAAATTAAACAATGATTTTTTTGAGACATAAGAAAAATTGATTATGGCGTAAGCTGAATTAGAAGCCCTTAAAAAAGGGGGAGTAACCGAAGTTAAATAAGTTACTGTACAATAGAATGTGACTAGTTCCTCTGTTAATAGAGTAATTGAACAATCCTCGAGGGGTTCTAGATTCATAGATTAAAATCTAGTTGGAAAGTTATATCCTTGATATTATTTGAATCAAAAACAAAAATATAAAATATTAATATTTCAATTATTATTATAAAGCATAAAAATAAAATAGGACCTACTTGGATTCGAACCAAGGTCTTGAGGGTTAAAGCCTCAGGTACTAACCACTATACGATAGATCCTATAGTTATGCATATACTTACCTGATGGTATTTCAATATATCTGTAAACAAATTATCAATAATCTTTAAACAAAATTATAAAAAATTGAAAAAGATTTGGAAAATTCTAAATGAATAACAATATTTAAATTATAAATATCAATTAATAGCAAATATACACTAAATTCATTTTGTATTCATTTTTTTAAATGTATTTTTAAAATTCTATGATAACGATAATTTTCCATAATTTTCAGAATTTGAAATTTTGTCGATTTACTCCTTTTTTCTTAAAGGACTTGCTTGGGCTCTAAAATAGACCTTATTCGGCAATATTTTAGGACTTCCGTTTGGGGATGAATTTCTTGAATTTTTGAAGATTAATGGCTTCAATTTTGGAGAAACAGCTTTACTCCTATTTAAATCAAGATAATTTCTGACTATTAATTAATTTTCTTCATTATATAAAAAAGGGTGTTTTAATGCTTATTTTGCTGATAATCTATTAATTGGATCCTCATACAATAATGATTTTAAAAAACACAATCCATTATTAGATACCTAAGGTACATTTAAAAAATCAATATGCCCAAGAAAATTTTTTAGAATGGTTTCTTTTGTTGAACCTGATTAATAAGGGTCTTTCCCAAATAAGATTTGATAGCCCAAAATTCCAACACTATAAATATCAACTTTTAATCCATATTTTTGTTTTCTCAAAATCTCTGGTGCTACACACCCAGGAGTTCCACAATATTTAAATATATAATTATTATCATCATTTGCTTTTTCAGCTAGTCCGAAATCAATTAAACATACAGAATTAAAGTTATCTTACGTTCTTAACATTAAATTACATTTTTTAATGTCCCTATGAAATATGCCTTTATTATGCATATAGTTTAATCCTTTTAGAATTGATCTTAATATTTGTTTAGCAGCTACTTCGTTAACTATCTCATCTCCCAATATAGTTTTCAAGTCTCCACCTTCTAAAAGTTCTTACACTAAGATGATCTAAGCATTTGATTCAAAAACTCCCTTATATTATATGATATTTGGATGATTTAATTATCTTAAAATCCTTACTTCCATTTTTATTGATTATTAGATTGTTGAGTCTTTTTAGGATAAGGATTTATCAAACACTTTTATAGCATAATCTTGATTGTCAATCTTTGATTTCACTTTATAAACCTAAGTTAAACCTATTTAGCTTACATTTGCTGCGGATCCACTACCTAACAATCGTACTATCTGAAAATTGGAAACAAAGTCTAAACATATACATTCTTTCATAAGGATAGCCAGCCAACCACTTATTTATCCGAATAACTCAATTCTATTGCAATTTTTCTCCAATCGAAATCCTACTATTTCATCGTTAGAATTCCGTAAGATAGTTAAAAATGCCTCAATAAAGGAGATATATTTCTAATTTATATACTTTTCTTACATTTCTTGAATATTTTATGTATTATGCTCCAATATATAAATTTTTTTCCTTAACTTTTCCTAAATATTTAACAACAATTAAAGCATTTTATTATGAAACAAAGTTTATATTAGTGGTCCACAAATTTGTTTCTGGCGTAAAGAAAGAATTGCGTAAATCTAAGTTATTTGAAACTAACTAATTTCTCTGCTACATTAATTAAATCAATTTAAGATTTCTATAATACCATGAATTTATTAAGATCCATCAACGATAAATAATATTTGATATATGAAAAATAACTTAACTTCCCCTCTATTTAAGGTTTTAGTAATTTTATATCCAGCCAATTAATTTTAAGTTGTTTTCATTTAGTTCAAATATTTGAGAAAAACGATAAACTGTAATAATACTTATATTAATAAATAATTTAGAAATAATAGAATCATCATTATTCAATCAATCTTCAGACATTTCTGGTCCAAAATTTTTTTAAAAACAATACAGGATCTTCATGGATTTGATTTTCAATCATAAAATCGAATTGATATTCATTATTCTTCTTATGGACTTCAAGAATTACTCTTATTAAATTAGTATTGGAAGTAATTCAGAATTCTTGATAGATTAGAACCTTTTGGAAATTATAGATTTTTTTATGTATTACTATGAGCAAATCGAGAAATATTGTAAAAATCCTTGTCTATTTAATAACATATTTCATAATTTTAATTATTTATTTATGCTTAATCTAACGAGTGTATTATTTTATTTTTTAAATGGATGGCCTTTTTAGGAAAGTTGTAATTGAATCAAAACAAATAGGATTGAAAACTTGTTATTATCTGAGTTCTGCTTTCCAAATTTGATTCTACAAGTGAAAATTATTTCTTAATTTTCTTTATTGCTTGAAATTGTTCTCAAATACATATATAGTGGAATCCTTTATTCATATGTGTATTTTTTCATTTAACAAATTTGTTTAAATATGTTTCATAGCAGAAATGTTATTAATTAAATTAAATGGCGTTAATAATAATGAATTTTGATTCATCTTAATATGGTTATAATGTTTCTTATTTGTTGAAAAAATAGTGTGAAATTTATAAAATAGGACTTTTAAATTTTTATTTAATCAATAGAAATTCATCAATTATAAAGAATAAATTAAATATAAAGTAGTAATATTTCTCAAAAAATAAATGAAATTATTTATGCTGTATCTTTAATGATTAGCCTAATTCCTTTTTTTGAGAGATACTAAATGATATTTTAGAACAAATATCTTTGAATTTCACACATTTTGTATGTTTAGGTGTTTATTAATTCGTTTTTTTGAGTATACTGTTATTAGCACATATTGAATTTTCATATGATGAGTTGGAATTATTAGAATCAAGATTAAAAAAGGAATCAAGAATTTAATCGGTATTAATTAAATATTTATCGTTTTTCTAAAACGGGCTTTAAGCTAACTCTGAATCAACATGATTTCGAGTAGAGAGTGTTTGAGTTTCTTTTCTTAATTGTTTCTCTTCATTATCATATGCTTAAAAATGAGTTATAAATTTCGTTTGTATTTAGTACTAATGAGCATATTCAGGACCAAAGTACTCAGCTTAGATCTGTTATGAATAAATTTCTGATAGACTGTCTTCTTACTTATTACAACACTTTACGCTCTATCCCATTAAATATAATTAATTAGATACATCTAATTAATTAATAAATTAAATAATTTTGTTTAAAAGGCATTTTCCTTTCTCATGAATTTGAAATTTCTTTCTTTTAGAGTTTTACAAGCAATTTAGATTTTGTAAACAAATGAGATAAATATCATGTTCATATATCCAAATAAAGATTCACAGCAGAAATTAATTCTAACATATCATACTGTAATCGAAAAAGCAATCTTTTATAGAATTTCGATAAAGTAGCCTAGACGAATTCTAATCAAACTCAAGAGAAAATTGTTTAATTACAAAAAACAATATTGATTTATGGAGAACAATTACTTTTTTGAAATTAATTTACAAGAATAATGATTTCAATTTCAATATAAATAGGGATTACTTTCAAGAAAGTAAATTTGAAAAAAAGGATTAAAGAAATTAAAATTGCATCAAAAGAAAAATAATGTAAATTTGAATTAAAATTAGGATAAACAATATTAAGGTAAAAAATGAACAGTATAAACAATTTTTTGATGAGACTTATGACGTTTCACAATGCAGGTATTTAAAATTTTACATGCACCTAAATCTTGAACCTGTGCTGCTTAGTATGAAGAAAATTTAAGTTATAGTATTCTACTTAATGCTCCCAACTTAATTTTCAAGTCAACTTAATTTTTTAAATTTTCCTCTTCTTTATTAAATCTTTTTTATGTAAATGCAAAATCAAATTTACCGTTTCCAAATACCTTAATTAATTTCTTTTAATAAATATATGAAATTTTGAGCTGTCTATTAGATGATATGAATGAAGCTAAACATAAAAAAATAAACAAAATTGTTATAATAATATAAATTTATTTCATTATTAATGGTTGAAAACAAGGAAAAATGATTTAAAATTAAATTTAATATATATGAAAAGGTGTCAAAAGAAAGTTCTTGACTAGGTTTAAAACAAAATAGAATACGAGGCATCCCATAGAAAAAGCTTTTTTTAAAGAAAATTTCTCCGAATGGAATGGAGCAGAAGAAAAATAGCAAAAATTTAAGGAGAGTTTGATTTACAAATTGAAGTTATTTTGTTAGGGAAGCATAATTAGCCCAAGAAAAAATAATTGATGGTATGGTAAAATATAATGAAAACAACTAAAAGAAACGTATGTTAAAATGTTTATTCTAGGGTGATAGTTGTTGGTTAGATTACGAAAATTCAATTCTTGAGAGACTTTAAAATGATCAATATGGAGAGGGTATCAAATTAATAAAATGCTTTGATGAAATAGTAATTTTTTGTGATGTTGTCCCTTTACTATCTTACATCAAGAGATTTACAATTTAATCGGATTTTTTTAAGTACTTTGAAGTTATTAAGTAAATTTCTTAAGAAGTACTACTATTTATTAGTTTAGACTTATAGAATTTAAAAAAGGAACGAAACTCATGATTATTAATGTACTATTTATTAAAAAACTACTCTCACATCATAAATAGAAATTCAATTAGAAAAATCCGTATATATTCAAAGAAGAATTAACCATGAATATTTGTAAAAATTTTATGAGGTGTTTGAGAACCCGGAATAGATTATTGTTGTCACCTAACTGACACTAGGAGGAACATTAAATAATTATATTTAAAAATTTCCAACACTTTCTGAAGAGAAGGCCCAGAAATTCATGTTTAAGATTTTCAAGGGATTGGCTTATCTTCATTCAAAAAACATTATGCATAGAGACATAAAACCAGAAAATATTTGGCTTGGATTAAATGGAAGTTTAGAAAATCCTTGTCTAAGTTCTTATGGACTGGCAGAGATTGTGTAATAAAATGTAGATTCAGCTGATTCAGATAATGAATAATTAATTCCTGATTATCTTAGAGTAAGATTTGGCACACCTGGTTTTACAGCACCTGAAATATTAAGAAATGAATATTATGATCAAAAAGCAGATGTTTTTAGCGCTGGAATCGTTATGTATTACTCTTTATGCGGGAAAATCCCTTTTTAAGGGCAAAATTTAGAAAATATAATAGAATCTAATTAAGAATGTCATATAGATTTTTCTAAATTATTTTTAAGTGATGAAGGTATTGATTTCATAAAAAGCATTTTAAATGAAAATCCTCACGAAAGGCTAAGTTCTTAATTAGCTTTAAACCATTAATGGTTAAGAAAAGAGAGATTGTCAGAAGTAATGGAATTTAAAGCAAGTTAAAAGTTAAAATAATTAACTGAAAAAAACAATTAATAAAAAGGATAATTGCAATTCTGTAATTAATAAACATTTTCTTAAGATGCAAGTCCTTTAAGTCCTTAATCTCCTTAAATCAATAAATTATAAAGATAGAATTCAGATTTTCGTATTCGCACATAATGCAACAGTTTCAGTCCTGATGTAAATTAATTTAGAAAATAATCATCATTTACATCAAAATTAAATGGAAACACCTAAAATCAATTAAGTCATCTGAATGAAAATGATGAGGTTAGGAGATGTAAAAATTCAATTAAAAAATCCATATTTAAACAATGAATTTTTTGAAATTTTATCATTTCAAATGTATTAATTTTTCTCTATTATAAATAAGGATGGTTTTCATTTTATTATAATAATATTAAATTATTAATTAGTAAGATTTTCTTATTAGAAATTCAATTAACCCAAATTTATTTATGTAAAATGCTCAAATTGTGGAATGTATTTGAATGTCTGCTTAGACTTCTTGTAATGAAATTACTAATCTTGATGAGAGAAATGCCGAAGTAATTTGGAAAAGTAACACCAAAGTTATGTCAAGGAAAAATAATTAATAATTTTAGTGAAAATTTCATTGAAAATTAAAAATATAAAGAGAATTAAATGATGTTTAACGATATTTAAAGTAACTATTAAGATTGGCTCTAAAGGATGAGCTTCTATTGGTTAGAGTGAGTCTTTTCTACTTTGAGATTCTCTATAAAATACATTATTAAGCATCTGTTTAAATTTAAATTATCTTAGAATAGATGCCTAAAGCCAAGTTTACTTCAGAATAATATCCTGCTTATCAAGATCTACAATTATTGAATTGATGTTGCATCACAAAAAATTAACTTTAAACTATTCATGGATGACCTTAATTTACTACTTGCTATGATACGACCATAGCAACAAGGGTATTAATAAGTTATATGCACAGTCCATATTGGAAGCACAGGCTCAAAATAGATATACAGAAATATGACAACATTCCTGGAGTAAAAAATACTTGTTCATATTAAGCATTGATAGACAAATTGAACCTTGGAAGCCAACATAATGCTTTAGGTATGAAGAAAGTACATACTTATTACATCAGCTTATAATGACTAGTATAATAGCTGATTCACTTATGTAAATATGTGAGTATTGATTTAATTCATTTAAAGCAATGGTACACAGTTATTCTTTCAGCACACAACCAGAAATTATCACTATTCATGTTAGCGTATGTGAGAAATGCACTTTATCTATTTATTAGGCAGGCTGCGTACAATGCAAACTCAATTTTGAACAGTAATGGAATATTAGGATTGCTGCGATTTTTGATCGAATCAAACTAGACTTTCCTAACATTAGGTATCAGCAACTTAATGTTATTTGATACAGAAATGGTTTAAACAAATTGCAATATCATATTATAAAAGTTTTGAGTTGATTGTAACAAAGCATTGTGTAATGGGTGCTAAAGCCTTCAAATGATAGACCAAAAGAGAGAAACTAAAATTGCCAACATTCCTTAAAATCGCGTATTAATTCATTTGATAGAAAGATAGATCTCTAATTGAATGTGCAACAACTCTAGCAATAAGAACCTTATTATAAAGATGATTTTAAGAGATATATATTGTAACCCCAGACACTTTATTAGACCGAAAAACAGAAGTAATATCACAATAACCAAATGAAGTTGTATGTGTAAGCATAATTATTACTTAAATATTTATTAAAGTATCCACAGAATAATCTACCTTATTTGTAACTCTTATCATTTAAAGTAACAATAATAGTCGCCAGAGTATAAACACATATGGCAAGATAGTTGCAGCAAATAATACTCTTAATAAGTATGCGTTACTGCTATTAAGATCTTCGAAATGAAGGGTTACACGGGTTACATCTATTTAAAGAATGAATTAAATCACGAATTAAGCAGCAAATATTGTAGACTGTGCAAGTAGAATAATTATAGGCAATATGGCAATATTTATTGGAAAAGTTTATTTTTAACTAAAAAAAGTCCTCAAAAAAACGTAATACATATAGCTCAATTATGAATCCATTTTATTGTTTGATTGCTATCAAAATAAAATATTCATCCTAAAACAGATGTATGATTATACTTCGGTGTTGCATTTAAGATGAAAGGTTTAGATAGTCAGAGCATTTAAAATATAGATGGAAAGAAGTAACTTAGACTATTATGAGATTTAGTAAGTAAATCATTCTTTTTAGAAAAAGAGACATATTTTAAATATTTACAAACTAAAAAAAGGTTGCATAAGATTCTTCTCTTACGTCAGATGCATTTGCACAGCAATCCATAATTGAAAGAGGAAATTTAATATCAATAAGAGGAAGTTGTATAATATTCAGAAGAAAGAAAGAGCATGCTTAATAAGTCTTAACTGAGGGATTGCTGCTTCTAGAATCAATACTAAAAGAGTAAAGCATAATAAGTTTAGTCCATGTTGAATTGAGCATCAAGCAAATGGAGTAATTACACACAAAGAGCTCTTAGTATTTATAGTTACTATATATCTGAGAAGAGAAGATGTCAAAATATATGCACCATACTTCGAGTTATGTAGTCATCTGGATTTCCAAATGTTTTATATAGTATTTTTCAAGCAGTTACCATAAGTATGTGATGATATCCTTGAATAGTTCTAATATTTTACAAACAGTGTAAGGAATAAAATATCGAGTGTTTCAGCATTAAAATTTTATGCACAAGGTGAAAGTAGAAATATTACAAATAGCATAAGGTGATGTTTTTTGGTGTTTACATTTAATTAGTAGCCATTTTACAGTATATTAGGTTGCTAACTGCTGCTAACAAATGTTGCAATATTCGATGAGTTTGTTTCAGCATTGCATAAAATAACAAAGATTGGTAGGCAGCTATAAAAGAAGTGATTATTCTTTGAGTATTGTGTAAAATGATTACTAAATTGAAAATAAAAACACAATAATATTAAACACAGAAATTGTGTTCAAGGAATTTTTTATAATACTAGGTCGACATACATTATTGATTGCGACTATAATAATTAATTTTAGGGACAATGAATTGCATATTTCGGTTAGCTTACTATGTTAACTATATTAACAGCATTTATTATAGTTTTGGGTGATGATCCGAAGTTTAAATTAGAAAAATTAAAAAAAAAAGTCTTTTTTCTTTAAGCAACGATATGGATATTATCTCCTTAAATAACATTAAAAGTACCAGCATACATCATATTTGAGCAATTATTTAATCAATAATACTAATCAGAAGTTATTGTTGCTAATTGTTACATGCTGGATTTCAAATTGATCAATATGATCCAGTGTACTTCTTACATCATGAATCCTATTTCTTTAAGATAATAGACAAACGATTGAAAATTTTCAGCTATTTTTTATTGTTATTGACTTAGTATTTGCAGTTTTTGAAATAATTCCTACTGCATTCATCTTAATAAACAGAGAAACATCTCTATCTCTATTATGAATTTAATCTGTGTAATTTAGTAGACTTAAGTTTTGGAATTAATACTAGAAGATTCAGTTGATCAACCAACAAATCATTAGAATCTCAATTAAGAATGAATAGATTTCAAAAGGTTTTCAGCAGTAGATTTTGGGTAATCATATCTTTTAGAGGTATAAATAGCTCTAGATAACTGAGGTTATCAGTAATCAATGCACTAGGCCTGAATCTAACCATTTGCTTAGCATTTATATACAACCTGGAGACAAATTTTTAACTAAATTAGCTTAATTGACCGTTGATATTGTGTGCTGCTTTTTTCATACCAAGTCCTTCGATTGTCTCAAGTAAGAGGTTTTCCAATATGGGCAATAATTTTAGCATTAAATTTGGATTAAAAATGATTGTCTTTCTGCAAGTTTAGATGAGATTACGATGAATCTACATACCTTCTACTAGTTAGAAAAAATCTTTTGAAAACTCAAAAAAGCAATTTACACTTTGTTTAAAAAACAAGAGCAGGATTCTAAGCCATAATAATCCTAGTAATTTCTATGAATAGAAACCAACTATATTGTCAATTAATTTGAAGTTCTAAATATATTAAATCTTCTTATTAATATATAGAAGTTTCAACTGATGAAAAAATTTAGATGTATAACTCCAATTAATTAATAGAGCCATTAATAATTTTTTTTAAAAAGTCCAAATGTAACAAAAAAGATACAGTTCGGGTTCTCAAAGAGGAGTCCCTATTAGGGATAAAAAAACTCAACATCCCCCTAATAGGCCAACTATGATTACTCTTTGACTGCGGACTGCTTGATTAGGACATTAATGGAGAAAGGGGATATGGAGGACCCTGTTTTAAAATGTTATTCATCTGCGGATCAAGACCAAAGGGAGGAGAAACAGAGAAGGACTTACTCTTCAGGAGAATGAAGACGTGCTGGATGGAGAATGAAAGAATTCTTGAAGACAAAATGAAGGAAGCATTAATGGAGACGGATATCGACAGTAGATGGGCCAGATTCTCCCTTATCGGCGCGCCCCTCGTTATTAACCCCCCAAAATTTGGATTAATGAACAAGGAGACGAGAGAAGATTTATAAAAGATTTTCAGTTAGGAAAATTCAGGTATGATCGGACTTTATCAGAAGGTGCAGCAAGAATTTAAAAGTACGGGTTTATGAAGGCGATACCAGAACTGGTCAGTGATAGTTTAGTCATCCACAAATGGGATTTATTCCCTGACAGGAACCCTGCAGTGATAAGAACTGCCCAAAAAAGAAAAACATTCCGCTTAATGATAGACAATTGGGTTTAAAAAGGGGT